GTCATGAATATGACAGTTGTTTTCCCTTTGTTTGATGTGTTTGAGCTTTTAATTTTGCCATTTGATAAGGGACTTTTCGATTTTAATTTTCCTTGTAGATCGGTTTTTTGTTATTTTATTTTTTCAATGTAAATTTCACAACCAAATGTATGAAGAAAAAAAAAAACGTTTTAATATGCATCAATTGCATACAAAATTCACCTATAGAATTTTACAGAGATATACGTACATATAAAATAGTAACATAAAGGTAACTGGAAAAGACTATTCCATTTTCCAATCAGTAAACCATTTTTGTCTTTTTTATTTATATAACCATTTGATAATTGCGGTACTTAAAAGTGGTCAAACCAGGATGTAACCATATTGCCTAATCAAGATAAACCACTTATTTGTTGATGTGTCTGTAAAAGTTGCTATGCAGTTTACTGGGAGTTTTAATTGCTATTTATCGTGTTTTTTTTTTAAAGATTTTTGTTGTTGTTTTGTTATGTAAAAACAAGATATTTCCTTGTTTTTCTGGTATTGTTTGTTGTTTGTGTTTTTAATGTAGTTAATATATAGTCTATTTGTATTGTACCGACCGTGCGAGGTCCTCCTGGTAGTTAAGGTCATTAAACACCCCTTAGTAATAGTATTTTTATTGTTCTCATTTTTTAAATGACTGTTTATGACAAAAATGTTAGGTGACATAAGTCTAAAGTATATACGAATTATTCAGGAGTATATTATTTTCTTTATCTTTTAAGAAAATTTTCCAAGTGCAATCGATAGAATGGAAAACAATCGATCACGGTCCACCACTAGATGAACCGGTGTGTGGTTTCAATCAAGAGAAGTGTCAACAGTCCAAAATAGGTAAATTTGCTACTAATAAAGAATGAATTAAATACAAAATGGACATCAAATAAAAAAAGAAACAAAAATAAAACACACATAAACCCAAGACACATATTGAATATAATTATCCACGGCTTTCACATGTTTAGGTTTAAGCATTCCGGTTGACAGTTATTCCACAATAGTATTGGAACGCATGAAACTTATACAGTGTTTTGCTCACTATATGTTGATATCGTCAACATGATAAAGCCTGATTAATTGTTTGTAAAAATGTGTTTTAAGCCTGTTGTAGACATTCACATTTTTTCTGATGGTGGATATTTTTTTCACTGTTTCCCTGGTTGTTATTTATACCTCTTTTCTATTTTTAAGTTGAATAGAATGGTTATTTCTCTATAATTTCTTTTCGAAAACCTTTATATTTGAGACCATAGAAAATGAAAAGCTTCATGTTTGAAGTATATTTAACCTTCAGATCGTGACGAAACCAGCATAAAAACGCATATTTTGCATTTCTTCCGCTAAATAAACACAATATTTAAACTTATTACCAACACAATCTCCAAAAATCTAGATTTGTCAACAGAAAGTATATAAGAACCTTCTCCGTCGCCATGCAAACATCTTGATTAGAAGTACGGCTGTTGACTAATTTTGCCGATTCGGAAATTATTGTATATTTTTGACTAAGATTTCTCAAAATAATTTTCATTTTATCACTTATCTGATTTCTGATTCTTTAATCTTTTAAAAAATGAAATTATTTTCAAAACAATACAACAAAAAAGATATTTGTTTTATTTATATCAAAAGTTTGGGAATAAATGCCTCGGCTTTAATTATTCTCTTGGTTAGTTAGCTTTATACCTACCCTGCCTTCAAGAATATGCGTAAATGCGATGTAATCAAACTACGTCGTGACAATGCATTGGCAATTTTGGATGATTAAAGATAACATCATTAGGCATAAGAAATTACTGACTTTATCTTGAATAATAAGAATCATTAGTGTTTATTCCGGATATAAAAAATTTTATTATATACTTAGTAGTAAATACAGATAAATTGTATGTGTAATACAATCATTGGCAAGCGTGCTGTATCAGCCACCCGTGATGATATCGATATCAGCACGGTTGCAAAGGCTTTATCACACCTTTAATCTGTATGACGTCACGTCATCGATTGCAGTCACTGTTGCAAAGGCTTTATCAAACCCCTAATCTGTATGACGTCATGTCAAACCTATAATCTGTATGACGTCATTTCAAACCTCCTTACCCGTATGACGTCATGTCACATAAAAAACAACTACGTGAGGTATATGTATATAATAAAGTGTATATGATATGGGTTTTTCAATATCACGCACCGTATCAACCCTCAACCAATATAATCCCTCGAGCAGAGCTCTTGGGATTATATTGGTGTCTCGTGTTGATACGGATGAGATATTGAAAAAGCCATATGATATTCTCTATGCATTACTCGGCTTACAGAAAAGGAAAATATTGGAAATTAGAATATTAATGATTTATTGTCCAGCTTGCCATGAATTTCAAATACATACATATTAATATTTGGAAATTGTAGCATACATATGATGAACAAATGTATTTTTCATATGTATTGCACTTTTCTTATAATAATTTAAAATCATTTGCATTTTGTTATGACGTAAATTTCAATGTATTCTACTATAAATGACTGTAAGGTTAATGCCCACTTTATCATTCCTCTTTAACACATACTTTAGATTTAGACAGTAATATACAATGTGTATAGTAATATAAAATCCTGTATTTCTTACAATAGCAAAACGTCTGAATATTTCCCTTTTGAAAATGTGGTCAACAGAATGATAGTTAATCCTCATTTCAGTTTACCTGACATGGAAAGCAATGTGAACTTTGCCATGACTTGGCGTCCTTCGTCATCTGCGTCAATTGTCTGTCTTTCATCGGTGTTCACATTTCATCTTCTTCTCTGAAACCAGTAGACCAGTTTGATCAAACTTGACAGGAATGATTTAGATTTACCAGTTCTTAAAACTCTTCATTTCTTAAACTATGGGCGAAATGCTTTGAAACTATACAGGATTGTTTAGTATGAGACCGTCTTCAATCGATCCCCGTTTAGTATTGATCAGATGACAAACAAGGTAGCATTTGAGGAAAAATCCATTTTCTTCTAAACCACTGGCTACTGCTCAGGTCAATCTTTTCAACTGCAGAATTTCAGGTAAGAGATTCAGGCTCATTTAGAACCAACTCTAGATTTTTTAATGGCTCATAACATTTTATCTCCAGGAAAATATATATATCTGAAAGTAATTTTTGACGATGAAGAAAGTAAATTCCATGTGTTCCTAAATAGATTTTGTTTTTGGCAGAACACGACCAATATTCTAATGTTTACTCTAATAATATCGAGATTACTTTTTTTATCTTGGTATTACCAGATAATTGAATCATAATCTATTCTATCTCAAAAGACACTGGAAGCGATGTACCAGTTGTTCAAAATTGGCAAGATGTATTAACTGTTCTTTAAATATCAGCTGTAGTATTTTTAAAGAATAAAGTCGTGTTAACTACCGAAAGTAAAAGGTCTTTTTTCTTCGATTTTGACACAGAGGGCCGACTTCAAACTTGAATAAATGACGAACGTGTTGATCTAATATTTTCTATTTCAGAAGATTTACGATCATCATCATGAATTGGTCGATTTACATGATTTGAACACCATGTAAACTACGGTCGCCTGAATTTTGCATTTAAAAAAGTCCCAAGAGGACAAAATGTGAAACAATTAAAAAGAGAAAACCGTCGACGACATTAATGCTTTAAGAATGAACGAAAAACAAATATTGCAGACAGCAACCTACGACAATCATTTAACTACAGACTTCTGACTTGCGACAGGCGCTTAACGAATGTGGCGGGGTTAAACATGGTGCCGAACCTTCTCTTTAACTTGGGACAATGGTGTAACAGGTAAACATAAGAACAAACTGTAAAAATCAGCTGGAAAAGACGGAACGAATGAGATAAAAAACAAAAAAAAAATATCTTAGACTTCTCACAATTGCTGAAAGGTATAATCTTAAGTTCTTTTCAACTTATTAATAGACTGAAATATCAATCAGCGCAAATCAAATGGATTGAGTTGAAAGACGTCATTAAAAGTCTGAGAAATGCATGACATCGTGCAATGCCAAAATACAAGTACCAAAAGCATCTAGGGCCATAAGTGGTCATTACTTTTTTACAGTATGTGACTAGTTATGTTTTCATTTGATAAAACAATAAGTTTACATGACTTCGTATCTACGGAATCAACAACAAAACTTCCAAGTCTCTGTATCTGGGAAAGAATTTTGTAAAGGTTTAAGTACTAGAAATTTATGGCAAACCCTGACTTTATACAAGTTACCAATTATACATTAATATAAGTCATTAAAATCTGCATAGTGAACGAATTGGGACAAAACACACCAGAAGAATGGGAACATCATCGTCTAGAATGAGGAACATTAAAAATAGGGAACAAAAAAATCGTCTCTTTTGTTGATGATATTGTATAGAGTTTTCCGTTAGGAACTGAAATATCCAGATCTAGAAATCAGATTAACTGTTGTTTATATTAGATTCGTTTAACTAAGTTCCTTGGTCGTACAATTAGAAAACTATCGATTACTTATGAAAATATTACCAAAGAGTCAACTATCCACCAAAGTTCAAAATGAAGTGGATGTAAGCAATTATAAGCAACCGTACGGCCTTCAACAATGAGAAAACCCAATACCGTATAGTCGGTTACAAAAGGCCCGACACGAAAAAATATGAAACAAATTCAATTCAGAAAACTAACGGCCTAATTTATAACAAATCATTTACGAAAAACAAATATGACAGACATGAACCAACGACAACTACTGAAGTACAGGCTCCTGACTTGGGACAGGAACAAATAATGTGGCGGGTTCAAACATGGTTGTGAGCTCTCAACCCTCCCCTTATCTGGGACAGTGGTGTTCCAGCACAACATAAGAACAAATTATGAAAATCAGTTGAAAAGGGCCTAATTGACCTTATATTTAGTCGGTTATTTTCGGTCCTTTTTAGTCATATAGCTCTTCAACTGTTTCGGTTCTTATGGATCCTTTTGGTTTCAAATATTCTGCTTTGGGCGTTTCTGATGGAGGTAAATCCACAAAAAGTACTTTGGACGCATGAAATTTATAAAGTGGATTTTTTTTCTTCATTTTTCAAAGCAAAATATATCATCAGGGTAATGGTAAGTATTATTGAATGTTTCTATGAAATGAAAATTAGACGGATTATTACCGAGTTTGGTCATTAAGTGTGATCGATAAAAACACAGAAATAAGTCTGTTATTAAAGAGGTGCAATTGGTGCTCATATGAATACCGTCAATCTATCGATTAACTTTACTGCAGTAACGTTCATGCAAGTTGTTTAAGAGAAAATCAACAACTCAAATCATCTCGTTACAGTTCCCGTAAGTGTCAAATCTCGTAAATCGATTAAAAAGAGACAAATCAAGGTTACAAACTAAAACTTGAGTGAATCACATGAACTCCCAAAGGAGTGACACCGGGTGCGTCGACAGCGTAAGAGTGTCCTGCTATGCATGCATCACCAGCCATGCAGATTCACATTTAGTCAAATTGACACAATCGGGAATAAGACACTATATTAATAACGCATAGCAGAGAGGGTTATAGAGCAGATTGCAACCCCGAGAAAATATTGTCAACCGAGGCTGTCCTTAATATTTTGTTTAACACTTTTGGTATTTTCTTATTTTTTAACGAAATCATAATGCACTCATTTAAAGGGAAATCACACTATTTATACTACTAATAATAATTCATTGAAATTTTGCATGTAGACAGATCATACTTATTAAGGTATTTTAGGCGAAAAAAAAATTGGGGTCACCGATGTTGTTTTCGAGATATGACGTCATCAAAACTTAAAGAATCTCGTTATAACGAAATATAGAAATACCGCTCTAAATTGTTAAAAAAAGACAAACTTATTGAAAAATCATGTTTAACTGGAAAAACAAAAACAGTCAAATGTAACTTGTACCTAATGAACATTTATTTGTCTCGGTTTCCTTATTTTTTAAGGCATTTGAACATTTCCCGCCATTTTTAATTGCTATTTATAATAGATTTTTCTTGAAATAAAAAAAATCTACTAATGTTTTTCCCTTCAAACTTCTGCATAAGTTGTAGCTTCAGGGAAGATTTTAAAAGCATTAATAAAAAAGGAGGGTCACCGATGTTTTAAATCCGCTAAAACGGAAATAATCTTTATTATTGAATTTTGGCGGGAACTATAACCTTTTAACGTTATAGAACTACGTTGCTGGCATAACGGCATTTCTTGCAACGCTTGGGTTGAATTAAACCTTTTCACTACAAAATATAATATCATTTTTTGAACATTTTTTAAGGTATTTTGATTATTCATTGATATCTTTATCAATCTATCGCATCGTTAAACATACAATACTGAACAGTTTACTATTAAGTAATTGTCAAAGTTGAAGTCATCTCATTTTTTAAATTGCATTTGTTGTATGGGGAAAACGAATGTTTGCCTCATGCCGTATTATAGAAATAATTTAGATATAAATAGTCAGAACTTTTTTATTATTTGATAGATTATTTAAATTTTTGAAGACCTTAGAAATATTAGACTATATTTTATGAAAATCAAACAAAAAAAAAGTTTACCGGACGGATTTCACACTCACTGATGTACGCTTTACAATATTGAACTGATCGACAAAAATTGATACTAGTAATATCTCTTTTGTTTTACAATATTTTTTCATACAACTAAGAAATCTGCGAGATTATTAGTTATCTTATATGAAAATTTAAACTTCATAGTAAAACAAAATGTTTTTCTAAAAAAAAAAGTTGACCGGACGGATTTCACATTCGCCGATGTACGCTTTGATTATACTGAAATGATCGACAAAAAGTGTTATAAATATCTCTTTTGTTTTTAAATATTTTTTTTCTTCGTGAAACTAAAAAATCTGCGAGATCGAAAAATTTGTTAATAAATGAAAATATAAACTTTACAGTAAATAAAAAAAGTTTTTCTACAAAAAAGAGTTGAGCTGACGGATTTCGCTACAAATAATAAAGACCAGATCAACAAAAAATGTTGATATTTCTCATATCTAACAATATTTTTCGGTGAAATTAATTAACCTTTAAGAAAAATATTTGTATAAATGGTATTGTATGTAAATACTAACTCAATAATAATAATAATAATAATATCTTTATTTAAAGAGAGTAACTCATTTGAATTAAACCCAATCGTAAGGTAATTCAAGACCATATCAAGACCACTTTCGGCTTTTTTTTTTGCCATACATTTTGTCCGTTTCGAGTAGCATTTTCATTTTTTGCACTAAAATTAAAACGTCATTTGCATTTTCCTTTGAGCGGGCCGCCATTTTAGAAATTAGCAACCTTTACGACGGACTCGAAACGGCGACGTCATAATACGGTCACGACACTATAGCGGCGCCGAGAGCGATGCGTATAAACAATAGTGTGATTTCCCTTTAATATTTAAAATACAAGATTTGATCTTCAACTAATTATTAGTCACAAAAAGCTCATCGCTACCGCTACTTTTATAATTTTGAAAGCATTATTAAACACAATTTTTACAGACACAAAACCAGACTTGACGTTGTGTTTATACTGTACTTTCCTGAATAGATCCTATTATACTTAATAGGTATGATTAAGACACCAAGTTAACAACAGATGTTGATTATGAATCTTTATGCTTCTTCGATTATCAACTGTTTGTCGATTCCTCCAACGATGCATATTGATATTACATTATTTAGTCATATGGTTAGAAATTAAAGTGTTACTGCCAAACAGATATTTTGTTTTTATTATTTTGTTTTTTTTTAAGGCAATATTTCAACATAAAACGATAAAATATGATTAATTCTTTGTTTACTATTTTATTATTTTTGTTTCAGATAAGACCATTTTAATAGTATGTTTATGTATGGCATTGATTATGGTTCTTCTTGTGATAGGATCATTTTATTATTATCGGTAAGTTTAAGATGACATGTCGTAGATGCATATAATATAAAAATAAGGAGATGTGGTATGATTGCCAATGAGACAACTATCCACCAAAGTCCAAATGAAGTGGATGTAAGCAATTATAGGCAACCGTACGGCCTCCAACAATGAGAAAAACCCATACCGTGTGGTCGGCTAATAAAGTCCCCGACATGAAAAATATTAAACAATTTAATTGAAAAAACTAACGGCCTAATTTATAACAAAACAGTTTACGAAAAATAAATATGACAGACATGAACCAACGACAACCACTGGACTACAGGCTCCTGACTTGGGACAGGTACATAAAGAATGCGGCGGACAAACTATAAAAATCAGTTGAAAAAGGCTTAGCTCATCAGATGGATACAAATAGAAATACATCTAACAAAAACACAAAGTGGACGTGGATGGGTACTTGTACATCCCAAAAACAAAAAGACACTGAGTACAGATCAGAGAGTACTCGCAGTTACTGACAGCTAGTTCAAAGCCAATAACAAATAATGAAAAAAATCATGTATCTAAAACTAAAATATCAATCAGTAAACATCCAACATCCAATGTATTTAGTGTAAAGACGTCATTAACAGTCAGAGAAAAACATGACCTTGTGCAATGCCAAACTATAAGTATCGATAGATTGTAGTACCGTGAAAGTACATATGTGTAATATTTAGTATGATAAAAAAATCAATGTTTACACCAATAAAATAATATTCAAAGATTTAATTACAGTGTTGAATGGGTAACGTTTTAGAATAAGTTTATTTAAAGGATTGATTAGTTTACCCGGATCGTATCTAAATTTCCGGTCTCGGTTTACAACATCACCGTAAAATTTAGGATGTACTATTCTGTTTGAAATTAGTTTTCTACAGGTACAGCCAAACTTGCAGACCAAATCTTTGTATCTATAAAAGAATTTAGTAAAGGTTTTAAGTAATTTGTGGTAACGAATTCCCCGACTCAATAATTTACTAGTTATACATAGATAACGCTCATTAAAATCCGAAACGTCACTACAGACACGAGTATAGCGAACGAGCTGGGATATATAAACACCATAAGACGGTGCCAAAGGAACATCACCGTCCAAAAAGGGAAAATTAACAATAGGGAAAGAAAAATTATCCCTTTTGTCGTAAATTTTTGGTGTAATACCGAAATATCTAAATCTAGGAAAGGACTGTTAATGCTGTTGATATTAGATTTATTTAAAGTAAGTTCCTTTGGGTAAATTTCAGCAGTATAGTTAGAGAATTTTTGATTATTTAACGAAAAAATATCATCATGATAACGGTAAGTGTTGTTGAATTTATCAATTAAATGGAATTTTGACGGTTCTTTACTGAGTTTGGCCATACACTGTGATTCATAACAGTAAAGGAACAAGTCTGCTATTAAAGGGGCACAATCGGTGCCCATGGGAATACCTACAATCTGTCGATAAACTTTATTGCCGAAAAGTACATAAATGTTGTCAAGGAGAAAATTAAGTGCTTTAATCATCTCATCACACCTCCAGTAAGTATTTACCTTTCTCATCAGAGAAAAGGGCTTTATATGAGTTGCAGCAAATAAATTTGCAACCAGATTTATCAAACGACCATTTAATTAGATAGGAAAACTTTTGTTTGATAAGATTGTGTGGAAGTGTAGTATAAAGATTTGAAAAGTCAAAACTGTCAACCGAATCAAAAGGACCATCAAATGCACGTAATTTAACTAAAACATCCAAAGAATGTTTTACACTCCAAAATGGTTAATTCCACTTTTTTAATGTTTTATTACAAAAATTAACGATAAGTTCTTTGATAGTAGTTAACGAACTCGTTAAAAGCACCGAAAGATAAGTAGTAGAACATTTACTAGAGGCCGAGATGAAACGATATTTTACGGGTTTTTTGTGTAGTTTAGGTAACCAATACATAGTGGGGACCTTCAAATGTTCCGAGGAGGCCTTAAGCGGAGCTGTGGTAGTGACATGATTATTTACTATATGACTCTCTGTGGAGTGTACGGCCTTGAATGTAGTTGAATGTATAATTTCATTCTTATTTACGTCATACCACCACCACTGTGTCCACATTGTTAGCTGCTTTGTCGGCCGGTACGAACACAAAACGATAGTACTTGAATTTGTTTTTAATCCTAGAAGTAGGCGTATTACTTATTCTTTTATTTATTTCTAAATTATTTTCGAAATGTGATTTGCGAATATCAACAATATTCATAAATTTATTTAAATAGGAATCAAGTGACTTTTTGTCAGATTTCTCCCGTTTACACCATTTTTTACAATAGGATGAAAGAGCATCTTTAATAACCTGACGACATTCTTCCCAATTTATTTTCGACGGTGGACGATAATTTGGTCCTTTTTTCAGAAAGTTTATAATCTCTCGGCCTAGAACGATGTTGAGGTCCCCTGTATTTACATGGCCATAGGGATCATATCTAAACTTCGATGTATAATTAAAAAATAAACTTCTACTGGGTTTTTTATACGAATAAGAAAATATAGGTGGCTCAATGTTATCAAAATATGGAGGTATAAAGTTTTGAACGGAAGAGTCATGAAAAATACAAGACGAATTAATAAAATCGATACCTCTGTTAATATAAAAAAAAGATGTGGTATGAGACAACTCTCCACAAGAGACTAAATGACACAGAAATTAACAACTATAGGTCACCGTACGGCCTTCAACAATGAGCAAATCCCATACCGCATAGTCAGCTATAAAATGCCCAGAAATGACAAATGTAAAACAATTCAAACGAGAAAACTAACGGCCTAATTCATGTACAAAATAATGAACGAAAAACAAACATGTAACACAACAACAAACGACAACACATTTTATTTTTAGAAAATACTTTTTATGATCTTCAGGTTTGTCAATTTGAGGGAACAGTCTATGGTGAAAAAAGCTGTACCGTGTACACTCATATTTTGGACTGAAAAAACGATATTGTATCACATTCGTTATAAATATTATGTAATTTACTAATTGGCATTTGATCCAGTTTGCATAATAATTGATGTCTACCATTGGTTTTAAATATAGATAAAAAATCATCAAGTGTAAAATTAGAACAATGTTTATTTCGTTGATGGCGGTCAATGCGATTGCCATGAGACCTATGCTTGCGTTGTCTTTTATCAAAAATAGTCATGATATCAATAGAGGAAGTTTTAGATATGTTCCCTTGGCCCAGAATATTATCATTTAGACCTAGGGGATACGTTGTCTGTAGTCGTTTAATCCAAGACAGTTCGCAAATTTTTCGGGAATCTTCAAACTGTTTATGTGATTGTCCTGGTTGTTTATGAACTGTTTGAAGTGGTTAGAATTTGATAAATTTAATATTGTGTTTGTGTTTTTCTGAATGTTGGTAAATTAAACTTTTGAATTTCTTAGGTCTGTGGAAGCGGTATAGATGTTCTTGTGTTCGTTTGAAAAATTCACGTCCAGTTTGCCCTACATATTGAATACTACATTTCGGTTTTGTTCATGTTACAAGATATATGAGGCTTTGGGTTTTTCAAGTGATGTCATATGAAAAGGAGAGAGAAAAAGTTCTTCCGTTCACTGATGATCGAACAGTATTATTTGAAGATAATCTGGATCAGGTTTGTCATTTTCTGGCATTGCACGGGCATATTTGTGGATATCCACGTGCGTTTTTGTTGAACAATCTAGCAGCAGAGGCATTGCCTCCTTTAACACAATTGTGAAAGGTGCTAAATTTTGAAGGTGAATTGTTTCTTTGAAATAAATATCTGGAAATTATGATTGTAAGATTGTTACAAACAAAAGATAATAGGAATAGAATTGACAAGAAAACAAAGATTCAACCTGGGAACAGTAATATATATGTTCCTGATTCAACTAAATAAAAATTTGATTAAACAGAAAAAATATAATGAACACAATTTCAAAAAGAGCTGAATACGCATATCCAAGTAATATTGAGTAGACATCCAAGCAAAAATGGGGCTCTTCACTGTAATAACAATAATTTAATAGCAATTTGTATTTGATTTGAACTGAGACATGGTCACACAAGTAAGTGAGTAAACATGCCGTGATGATAAAACGTGTCTGTACAAAGTCAGGGCTATGACAGTCATTCGTCAGTTTTTCCAATAATCTCATTTAAAGAGATTTCCTAGAAGTAGAAAATATATATTGACATTGATATTTACGAATATAAATTGAGGTTCAAATACAATTTGCTATTACCTATCCTCACGAGTGACACACACAAGTGGATCCTTGGATGTTGACCCCTCTATGTCTTTTTTAAATATTGTTGTCCTTGTGTTGCTATCCTGCATCTGTCTTTATTCAATATTGACGCTGGTCTTAATTTTGCTAAGACGAATCTCGACAGATTTGCTTACTTTAATGAATATGAAGTATTTTCACTGCGAAATTATATATTACAATATAAACAATTTTGCATGAATTGACTAAGTGTTTTTATCAAATACGCTCAAATATTTTACAGACGCCTTAGATATGAAAAGGAACTTGTGTTGGAGTTATGGAAAATAAAATACGAAGATGTCCATAAAACAAAAAAGGCATTAGCTGGAAGTGGCAGTATAAGTATGGTAAGATTATATTATTCTTCATAGTACATACGAAACCCGAAAATACATACTGCATATACTATTTCTGCAAAATTCAATATACACAGACTTGGTTAACGTGGTGAGATTTTTTCAGGAAAAACGAAATTTTTGTGACTGTTATGAACTATTGATAATATTAATCCTTGTAGGGGATTTCACGATCATTCTGCCTGTTGAGTTTGGGAAAAGTTCTACTTTTAATTTCACAGAGGCTTAACATTGGGCCTGTTGAGAGGATAAAAACATAAATGTTGATTAAAAACCTGTCCAGAAATTCATCCTTTGATGAACTGTTTGTCGTATTTTCTCGCAGTGTTTCGTGTATCTTAAAGAGTTCTTGTTCAGTTTTATAATCAGTCTGTATAATGTTAGCCACATATCATAAATTACGTATAGTAGCAACATTGTTTTGATTACTTTCAGCTTAGTCTGTGCACTGGAATTACGGAGGACACTACTAATTCTCTGAATAGTGCTTGTCAAAACGTGAACGGTTATCAGGTTTTTTCAACGATTGGTCACTACAAGGGAATGATTGTAACTATAAGACAATTGAAAAAGTGCGGGATTACTATTGACAGGAACACACAGATGGAACTGAAAGAAGTACGAACATGGTTATATAGAAATATTTAGGCTATCAAATATAAATGATGTAATAGTTTATATTTCAAAAGTGAATCATGAAAAAAACGATAACATCCATGAGGAATCAGTCCTATATTAATCATTTAACCATTAAATTACATAAACTCGCCTTATTCATTTCGTAAAGTAAGATGATAACTGTAAACGACTTTTTTTTTTTACAGAATCAAGTATTAATTTTGCTTTTGTCATGACTGAAATCAAAAAGATAAAATGTTGTTTCCATAAAATGTTTGCTAATGGTATATTTTAGATGAGAGAATTAACCCATGAAAATGTTAACAGATTTATTGGAATGTGTGTTGATGAAAGGGGACCAATGGTATTGACACTTTATTGCGCAAAAGGAAGCCTGCAGGTAGATTTATTGGAATACATTTTACATATATACTTTTATATATTTGAATGCTAGTAAACCTTAAATAAGTAAAATACGCAAATAGGTACTAATATCTATTAAATTTTACATTGACTTACGAGATATTTATTAAACGTTGTGATACAGATTACAAATAGGAACTGTGCTGTACCTGATTATCAACATTATTCATCCATTTATAAAAACACGAGATAGCAGGCCTTTTATTGAATGATTGATTGATTACTAAATGAACTAATTACTTTACTAATAAAATTGTATATTCAATTATTAAAAAAATATATACAATGTTTACATTAGGCAATCCAACTCGGCGTAACAAAGTTTAAATTGTGCAGACTTTTAATCCTGGTATTTATGATGAGTAGAAAATAAAAGGATATGGAGTAAATGTACATGGGACAAAATCGCACACAATACATAGAAAACATAGAAAATCATTAATGAACAGGGATTTTATTCCTGTTCTTCATCTTGACAGTTGATGTAGGGTCTTCAACAATGAACGAATCATTCATACCCTACATCAAGGTCAAGACGGCCCCTAGCGTCGACTTAAGCGGTACTATTGATAAAAATAAACCACAATTCACCTTCTTGCTCCCCACCCGCCTCGGAGTGCCAATTCACAGGCAATTGCCCCAGAAAAATATTTCCTATATACCTTTATACAACACAAGGTACTTTTCAAAAAAATGTCACCCGGTCGCGAAATTCCGTTATATTTCGATTTTTCGGTTGTCAAACCCACTAAAACTTGTTATGCCGTAAATCTTAATTGATTTATCTACACAATGGTGTATAACATGACTACTTTTGTTGTCGAAATCATTCGTAACAGGCCTACCCAAGTATGTCAACCGTAATTATTTCGTCTACAAACACTCGATTGGAAATATAAGAATATATATATAATAAATATATTGACAACCGAGAAATCAAAGTATAACGGAATTTCGCGACCGGGTGACATTTTTCAAAAATGTGAGTACCTTGTGTTATATAAAGGTATACGGGCGAGGCTTTTCAACATATATTTGTCATGCATTGCCCAACAAGAAACCAATAATTTCGAAACAACAAATGATAGACAATACATATAAAACTAAAAAACAAATGATAGACAGCACGGGGCACATCGAAATATATGTAAGAAAACCTAGCAGTTTAAAATAGTATGAAAGGGCAATATACAAAACAGATGACCAAACTAGTATTTTGAGGAAATTAAGAAAATATTAAATAGCCAAACATGAAATTTTGACGGTGTTTAATATGAGAAATTCTCACATGAACAAGCACACCATAACTGTAAATATTATATTATATTTATTACGGGGAAACGTTCTACTGCCTTCACACAGCACTAGAGACAAACTCTAGAATCAATAGAAAATAAAAGGATATGGAGTAAATGTACATGGGACAAAATCGCACACAATACATAGAAAACATAGAAAATTATCAATGAACAGGGCTTTGTTTACAACCACTTGGTCGATGCCACTGCTTTGAATTTTTCGAAATGCTAGGGATTTTCTACCCCAGGAATAGATAACCTTAGCTGTATACGACAAAACTCATCGAAATTTTGGGTCCTCAATTTTTCATCAACTTCGTATTTATTTGGCCTTTTAATTTTTTTTATTCAAGCGTCACTGATGAGTCTTTTGAAGTAGAAACTCTATGATGAGTTTCTTTTGAACCTGTTAATTAGTAGATTAAATTCTCTACTAATAACAGTTTTTAGTATACATTCGTACATGCACGAGGATAAATTAATTTCAAATTGTAAAAGATAATTTTGGTACAACTGCCGCCTTAATGATACAACATCTAAATATATTTGATAACTCAGCTTATTGCTGAATATAATAAGGTTATAAGTTATTATGAATAAAGGAGTGCTTGTCTTTGCAGACCTCATTTTTAAAAATTTTTTAACATGTCTACATCATCTTTGCATTATATACTTAAATTGATGTGCTTCGTTCTGGGTTATTTGGTCTGTAGATTACTGAATAGCATTTCGAAATAATATTTTTCCACCTTTTTGTTTGGGCTAGGGTATTGTTAATCCTCTTTCGCTATTTTAAGTCACAATTCAACTTTGTGTTCCTAGATGCTAAACTGTAAGTCGTTAAGCAAATTTTATTTTTCATCATCTCCTCTTAAATAACTAGTCCTGAACCAAAACACATCAAACGAATGGGAAAAAAACTGCCATATTTCTGACTGGAACCAATCCTGACATAAATAATTTATATAACGTCCTTTATGAAATTTCCTTTTTTCGTTACTGTTTGTTGACCATGGCCAACAGAATAAATCTTTGATTCTGATCGACAACTTAAATAGAAATCCACTCCTCTGACACATCATGGCGAAAGTTTTGAAAATTTAGGAGATGCGTGATTGAAAGACTTGGGAAGATTTTACAACCGTTTTTAATTTAATGTCGATTGGACGACAAAATAGAATAATTGGTTGTAAATAGTTCTTATATAGAAAGCCTTTAAGAAAAACTCCCATTTTATTATTAGACTCCGTATTTTTACCAAGCTTTGTTATTTGCAAATGACCACCATTCTTATTTGACAAAAGACCTGGCAGCCAGAGGCAATGCTTTATTCTGATCGACCAATTAAAAAAATCTTTTCCTCTGAAACGACAAAGTGAAATGTTTTGAAACTTTAAGTAATTCGTTAAAAGGTAATGCTGTCTTCATTTGAACAAATAAGACACAAAGGAGATGATTTTATAAGGCCACAACTGGCTGCTTGTATCCGAAATAAAAAAAAAGTACGAAAGATATATCAAATACCATCCTTCAGATGTGAACAAGAGTATGCATATAGCAATTATACAACCAAAAAGACATATTTTGTTATGAGTCCCCTCATTTTATAACAATGTGTAAAGTCCACTAAAGTAAAAGAAGGCCATTAGTCTTTGAACTGAAGTTTCCAGGTTATATCACCCTTTGCTTATATTAGCTAAAATTACACAATTTTAGAAGGATTGAAGAAGTTTTGCAATTTAGGGGATCACATTTTGACCCTAACCGTATCTCTAGTTTGCCAGGTGAGCGATATAGATTGCTAAGACCCTTTGGTTTGAGCTGTATTTTTGATTGCCCCCTTCGTCTTACAGTTTCTTACTCCCCAACTGACAGTAAAGGGCATTGAGTAAGTAAGAAAGTATATTTTATGTACAATTAGCAATAAAATGAACTTAAGAAAGCTCTTTAAATGGACTATATAGCATATGAAAAAAATCAGTTTTTTTTATTTGAGACAAGTACACATCAGCAAAAAAAAGCGCAAATAATTATCAAATAAGATTAGCACACCTAAACATCAAACATCAAATAGAACAAGCATCAGATTGAAAAAAGAAAACCAGAATATGGGTCAAAACACTTTTAAAATGTCACATACGCACATAAATTATTATCTAAAACAAAGCGATGAGGTTTTAACAAATTTTAGAATTTACAACAAGCAGAAAGCACCATTATAAGCTTATAGCAAGACATATAGCAAAAAAGAAAAAAAAACATTTATCGTAAAAAAGGTCGAAAAATTAAAACAGATATTGCAGAAACAGGAAAATAATTCAGCCATGAGACAATATAGTTTGTAATTAAAAGGCACTATAGAAACAATTTTGCCAATCACACCAGCTAGATGAGTAACTTTAAAACTAATCAAATGAGAACAAATATCGACCCCTCGTTTAGGAGTGTATTCAAAAGTCGCTCGGTCCCATAACTGAAAGAATTCTTATCATACTTTGTAGTTATGAATATGACATGGTAAATCTGCAAAGTTCGAATATATGAAATTATACGATTTTTTTTCAAGACAATTAAATCTAACAAAAAACAGGACTTTTCTTATTTATCATTTTTAAGGTTTCCAAGGTAATATTTCTCATTCTTCTGGTTATAAGTTACGGTAATTTTGATTTTTTTCAATAAATGGTTCGAGATCATTATACAAAAAACGAAGTACCCGTTTACGAATTTTCTGAATTTTCTTAGTATTTGTTCCCGAAAAATGCCACGTAAGCTGACAATAACTAAAATTTTACATAATAAAAGAATGGTCAAATAAGGGGTAGTTTTCCAAGACGGTTCAAATGTTTTCCCTGTCCGCTTCAGAGCACATTCAATTGTCTTGCAGCCTTTTTCAGATAAAAGTTATAGCTTGAAGTCTATAGTGACACCTAACACCTGAATTTCACCATCACTTGTAATATCATTATCGTTCAAATTCAACACATTTTGTCATAAGTTTTTGTACCAACTTAAATGGTTTTAGATATTAAGGATTAGCCTGCCTTTTTTCCCAGAAAGCCAATTAATTAATGAATTACTTTCTTCTTGCATAGCAGTAATCAACCTTAACACTTTGTTGTTAGCTCTATGCCACGCCACCTGCGTAGTTAACTTACATGTGGAACTTGACCACTGTTTGTCGAGACGGGTTGTTATACGAAACCACCAATACCGTTACATGTAGATGAAATAATTTGTCCACTTTGTCATAATGCACAGTGACAATTTGTTTCACAGAGCTCTTGTCATGGATATTTTTTTTTTTACAAAGTCAGATTTTACCATTTTGTATTTTTAATACAGAATGTTGTATTACACTACGAGTTATATAATTTGTTGTATGATAATTTGATAGACAGACGTTGAGCATTGAAAAGCAATTTTCCCCTTTGATTGTATACTTCCGTAAAAATCAAAATTATATATGTTATATATCTTATTGTGAAATTTCATGTTTTATTTTAACTGAGAGGCTATTTGTATAAACCAGATTATATACATCTTGATCTGCAGAAAATGTTAATATACATATATAAAAAACCTCTTTTATATTCATTTTATTTGTTTATTTTTTAAACCCATGCTTTTTTATTTGTTTATTTTTTAAACCCATGCTTTATTGTGTCGTTTTAATCCAAATTCTTACTTTTAATGTGACAAAATTCTGATAATTAACATTATTGACATTTTACTAGGTAACAAAGTTTGTATTTTAGTTTTAAATAGTTTAGAAAATGTATAGATAGTGTCTCATAAGTCAACTTTGGATGGTTGTTTGTCTTATTTCATTACTGTGCGATGTACATTATATAATTTGTATTCTTGTTTTTTTTTATATATTTTGTGACACTTTAATAGAATAAATAAATATTACTATAGTAATTACCTTTTCTAAAGACTTCTCTGATTTTGATCAAGTATTATCAATTGCAGAATTATATAAATCACACTTGTTTATCTTTTTATTTATATAACAGTGAAATTTAACAGAAACGTAGTAGCTGGTAGAAGGATTGAGTAATAACATGTATAAGGCAAATATCCCGATGAGTGAAAAAAATACGCCTTCTCTTAACAATCAAAACTTAAAATAAAGTATATATAACTAAATGTAGTTATCTAGTTGATTATATATTTTAGGATATTATTGCAAATGAAGATATTAAGTTAGATTCCTTGTTTAAATTGTCACTCATAACGGACCTAACAATTGTAAGTATTCAGTAACCAAAATGATTCAGATGCGCTCGATTTTTGTTCATGTTTAATGTAATATATATCATATGAATAATACATCCATGATCATGATAGACTAAATTTGTTTGAATATACCCTATACAGTAAACTTACACCCAAAAAAAATCATAAAAGACACCAAGAGGTCAACATAGACAGAGGCGGATCCAGGATTTTTGAAGGGGGTTTAATTCTATTAAAAAGAATTATATACCTTTAAAAAAATATGCTAAAAACTATATAAATCACTAAAACATGATATTAAAAATATTTTAGCTATCAAAGTAGGGAAATGTGCTTCCGCCCTTTAAGGCCCCTGGATCCGAAACTGCTAGAGAGTCTTTAGATTCAGTCTTGATTAAATGGTTGATTTTATTCATGAAAGTAAATGTGGGGTATACGTCAATGACACATTAGTTTAACGTAATAAATAACATAAGACATCTAAACATACCTGTTTTTTTTTTTGTTCGTATTATTACTGACTAACAAGAATTAAAGTAAACCCATGATATTCTTTAAGGCATAGAGTTTCGAAAGACTGGACATTTATTACACACATGTATATAAGTACGTCTGAACAAGTGACAACTCTACGACAGATCCATCCATTGGATCACCAGTAAGGTGATACACGACTGAAAACACAAATTCTATTCATAATTACTCTAAATAACAGCACAACAATGTTAAATCTTCCCTCGCCGGGATTCGAACTCATGCTATTCGGATATCGTGACAACACCGCCTGCACTGTGTCCAGCGCTCTAGACCACTCGGCCACCTAGACTGAACAAAAAATTCAGCTTTCGGTGGCCTAGTGTTACCTTTCCTCGTCAGTAGAATCTAGAGTTGTAACACAGTACATGATATATTAGGCATGAAGATGGAATTGATTGCAGATTAGCTAAATTATCTGTCGTAAAGGATCTTAAGATGCAGTCACTGAAAAAAATATTTGATAAGTACGTCTAAACAAGTGACAACTCTACGTATATATATCGTATATATATATAAAAGTCTAAATTGAAAACAACGTTCAAACCTATGATTGCGTTGGATAAAAACCGCAATTTTTATACGTGTGCATGTAAAACAAATTTCTTGGTAGAGGGTTCTAAATACAGCACAAACAACAATTTCCAAAAGACCAAAAAAGTGAAAAAGTCTATTTTAACAAAACGCATTTGACTAACAGGTCGAACAACCGATGTTCTTAAACCCTGCTGACTGCCATTGGCGATTGCCAAATAAATTGATCACCAGATCTAACATATATATATATATATATATATATATATATATATAAGTACGTCTGAACCAGTGACAACTCTACAACAGATTTATCCATCGGATCACCAGCAGTGATGGTGATACATGGCTGTGTACATTCTGTATATACGAATCCATCTTCATGCATTATATATCATGTACTGTATTACGACTCTAGATTATAACTGACGAGGAAAGGTAACACCCGGCCACCGAAAGCTTTATTATTGTGAAGCCTAGGTGGTCGAGTGGTTTAGCGCGTCGGATACAGTGCATGCGATTTGGTGTCACGATATCTCAGTAGCATGAGTTCGAATCCCGGCGAGGGAAGAACTAAAAATTTGCGAAAGCAAATTTACAGATCTAACATTGTTGGGCTGATGTTTAGACGAGTTGTATATATATATTTGGCAATCGCCAATGGCAGTCAGCAGGGTTTAGAACATCCGTTGTTCGACCTGTTAGTCAAATGCGTTTTGTTAAAATATACATTTTCACTATTTTGGTCTTTTGGAAAATGTTGTTTGTGCTGTATTTAGACCCCTCTACCAAGAAATTTGTTTTACATGCACACGTATAAAAATTGAGGTTGTTATCAAACGCAATCATAGGTTTGAACGTTGTTTTCAATTCAGACTTGTATATATATATATGTGTGTGTGTCCGTATGTGTGTGTGAATGTTCGTTCCTGTAGTATATCATTGTCTAGAAATTATTTAAATTTACTTTGCCAATAAAGACAATTGTTTGAAATAAAACCTTAATGTTGATGGCTATACACGAAAGTTGCCTCAATCATTATTTGAATTCATTTATTTGTTGTAAGATAGATAGTGAGTGTGCTGTGAGAGATGTGATTTTTTTTAGATTAATCATTTAAAATAGAAAAAAAAAACACAGATACACATTGTTTTTCCTAAAAGAAACTACCAACTTACTATCGGGAATAGTTTAATAATAATAATAATGATAATAATAATAATAATAATAATTCTTTATTTAAAGAGGGTTACACAGTTAGCTATAAAACTAATCTTCCCTGAGGCCCTCATAAAGTACATGGAAATATAATAAACAGAAAATTAAAAAAAATCAAACAAACACACACATAAGAAAAATTAAATAAGAAATGTTATGAAATATACAATTTTCAAAACCGGTAAAAAATGATGAATTCATATAGTATTAGCATCATTCAAATTACCTCAACAATATTTAAAGTTTAGGTGAGTGTTTGAAAAAGAATTACCGGTATGTCTCCGACACATTTTATGGTCTGGTTGTTCGGGCTACCTCGTTTCGAGTGGTCGTTCGTGAATTCCATGATCGCTAGTACATGTGTGTTTTTTTCTATGCGAATTCATTTTGTTGTTATGTTAATTTTATATATTCAAGTTGAAATATCTATTGTTTTTTTTTCCAATATTATGTAGGGTTTTTAAAACACGTCATCTTGCATTTGTTTCTACCAGTTGTCAATACACAAATATTCGATAGCATTTTGATAGCCATTATTTTGTTAGAAGACACTCTAATAAATATCCAATAAGGTAGCAAATTTTATCAGTTGTCTTTACAACATTAGCATGTTTTTTTATTTACCAATTGAGTTACATATTACATTATGAATATATTTTTTTATCAGGGAATGAACTTCATTCACAATTCATTACTCAAGTTTCATGGAAATCTAAAGAGCAGTAACTGTGTTATTGATAATCGTTGGGTGTTAAAGGTCACAGACTTTGGATTATCAAAGATAAATTATTGCTATAGGAACACTATACCATCAGAACATCAGCTTTTTAACCGTATGTATGTCGATTTAAAACGGTACTTAATTTCGATGGTGTTGAACTTTCTAAATTATAATACAGACACTTTCTAGTTATTTTATGTTTCATAATACTCTACAGAAATTCATCGCACATGTTTTAAAAAGAGCCGATCATTTGATCTATTTTCAAAATACAAACTAAGTTTATGTCGGACGTATGAATTTAAATATTATATTCATATCAAATTAGGAATTGTAACTTGAAATTCCATTTCGTGATTTATCGTTAGATTTTATGAATCATATATGTGGAAAGGTACAACATCCACATTTTAATGAAAGATATTTATTTAACTTAATTTATAATTGTTTAATTATGAAAATAGGATTTTATCGTGTAATTACAAAATGTTGATTTGAAAAAGATGACTTTGAAAATTTAAACAAAACAATTTTCTGGCCGCTAACAGGGAAAGACAATTCCCGATGTTATTCAAATATTTGTGTCTAGTAAATGAAGAATCTTCGCGTCAATTGAAGATATAGATTGATTTTATGTTTATATTTTTTCTCTCATTTAAGATCAGTTTTGGACAGCCCCAGAACATGTTATAACGGAAGACGCACAACATTATGGTTCACAAAAAGGAGACATCTACAGTTTTGGAATTATTCTATATGAAATTATTTTCAGGACAGAACCATACAATACAGATCTTATTTCACCTCAAGGTAAGAAATACTTTTATTTCTTTTATTTTCCATTTTCACAGCTGTTTGTGAACATGTTTTATGGTCAATACATAATACATTAGCATCAACAATAAAACAACACTGCATAAAATATTTCATGATTCTAGGACATCCGAATAAATTTAAGGATATCCTTATTTATCCTTAAATAACAATGAAATTGTCTTTTGTTTGTCCTTCAACTTGTCCGTTTATCTATCCATTCAACTCCTTGTTAGATAAATAAAATTAGCTTCAACGACTTTTTACGATTGTTCTTTTTAATATCATTTTCTAGGCGCTTTTTAATTTTGACAATTTTCAGATGTGCCATTCCAGTATCACTGGAATGGAATCAACTTATTTTTGACGCGTCTCTTATAACATTAAGCCCCTTTTGGTTTTAAGAAATTAACAATCATTTAATACGATGTTTGGTTCCATAAATAAAAGCTCCCCATATACGATTGTTTTAGTTATAGGTTATGGGACTCTATTGTTGAAACGAAAATCTAAATAAGTCATAGAGAAGGTTCATTTTAAAAAATCCATTATCTCTTGATCACGGCTGACCAAACATCCCAAGAGACATTGAAAATAGGGGTTTCAAACTTTCACATATACATGTTAGAACAAAAATACTATTTTCAGTTTTCACTTGAATGTTGCATATACAGTACTGTATGTTGTATTGCTTAATAAATTAAAGCACAAAAGCTTGAATTCTTTAGCGAATTGAAATTTCTATGTTTTGCATGAGAGACAAAGGTTCAAGTAAACCATTTGTGAGATAAAGAATTGAATGGTTTTACTAAAATGAACGTTAAAAAATATATTAAACCAGAACTGTCTCTTAGAAATCTGCATTTAGACACTTCTTTAAATTGTAATTATTATCTCAATTTGGCCCCACTTCCGGTCGTCTTGTGTATTCAGTTAATAAGGAATTTTATCAAATAGTTTATTTACCAATTACGCATTTGATTCTGTTAAAACACACAAATAAGTTGTTTCCCTACGTCAATATTGTAGTCTGGTTCTAAACTAAACAAAATTGGCTGCTGTCTAGGTTTAGCTTTCTATAAAACCAGGTTTAAATCACCATTTTCTACATAAAGACATTTCTGTACCAAGTCAGGAATATGACAGTTGTTTTCCATTCGTTTGATGTGTTAAAGCTTTTGATTTAGCCATTTTGGTAAAGGACTTTCTGTTTTGAATTCTCCTTGGAGTTCAGTGTTTTTGTTATTTTACTTTTTTACTTTTTATAATCCAATTTCTAATAAAACAAATTATAAAAACGTTTTTAGATTGACAAAAGAGTAAACGTAATTAAAGATTTTGAAGAAAATAAAGATTTAAAACATTGCGCACAATTAAACTTGCTCTTTCCGCTAACTCTTCATTGTCAAAAAATGTGTGTCCTTCCTAAGGGATTCACATAGAAATTAGTTTGTGTTTCTCTTTGAAAAATAACAGATACAATTTCAGTTTTGAGTTCTTTCTACCTTAAACATAAAGTCAAAAGTATATGATAATCAGATCAATCAATACATGTCCTTTTCCATATCGACCCATATATCAAATATTATACCTATTCCTTTGTAAGTTTAACAGACATCATCACTAGAGGTTGACCGTTATGGAAATTCTTTGTCACACATGACCACGGATAAGATCCAATTGTCGTATCCTTGTACAATCCCGTCTTCTTTTTCTTTATTTTTGCATAACCGAATAAGACTATCACCGAATTTATACTTACAATGAATAGCAAAATAGTTGTCACAAGTGGACCAGAACCTGATTACTCTTCTAGATTATCTAAGATCATCCTTTGTTTTTGGTGGTTCTTGTTGCTCAGTCTTTAGTTTCGTGGTAGTGCAGTGTTTCTGAAATTTATCTGTCTGTTCGTTGTCTTTCGCTTTTTGCCATGGGGTTGTCAGTTTCTCTCGACTCCGGAGTTTTAAATGTTCTATTGGTATCATCCGCCTCTTCTTGACCCATATCAGACCCTTGCATAGCGACTTAGGCAGATACGTGATTCCCGGGATGACAACCAGTCCGAAATGGGAAAATCTATGTTTTTATCTTTATTCGATGTTTATAAATGAAAGAAACATAGGTTATATTCATATTTATATTGATAACGGTCACGTCATTTTCAGTATGTATCAAACAATTAAATATAACGTCACAGTACCCAAATTGCACCTATTTAGCAAAAATAGCAGCGAAAATCTTACAAGTTTTCTTAGAGACTAAACAATTTATGTTTTTTATCATTTGACACTATGCACGTCTTTCAAATAGGTAAATAAATTTAAATATTCAGGGAACGTTCACAGTATATATCAACAGATAAAGTGTTTACTGGAAAAGTAAAATCTACGAAAACGTCACCATGCGACTTCCATAAAAAGTCATCTTTTAAAAATAAGCAAATACAATATGTTACAGGCATCCATTTCTTAAAAAATGAATAGCAAGCATGGACTATTGTCAAATTGTTCTAAATACAAAACATCAGTTATTAGATTTTTACGGACGTGAATTTAAGCATGGATGCAATTTGGGTACTCCTCATTACAGAATCATGGGTCGTTTGGAGGTCAACTCAAACCCATTTTTCTATAATTCAATATGGATTAAAAATTAAATTGGTGGGACTATATAGTAAATAAGGATACAACTACAAAATAAACACAAAATGGAAACTTTTGTCTTGATCATAAAAAACGTAGGTGAAAAAAAAACTGTCAAAATAGGTGCAATTTGGGTACCCCCACGTTATATATATTAATACTGCGCAGATAAGGAAACCATTATAATAGTCTAAAGATTTGCGCAACTGTACTAATATAACCAATTTTATTTGCTAATTGAAAATTAAGCTGAATAAAATCATTTAAGACAGCAAGGAAGATAATTCTGTATTAATTGTTTATTACTAAGACTTAAACAAAGAATGAGCTATTTATACTGTAAATTTAAGATGTCTCTGTACTGGTCAATGGGTCAGACTTGTCATACTTAATTAAACGATAAATTGTTGAAATTAGATAACATGTTTTCACGTGTAGAGAAATTTCACTAATGACCAGTGCATGATAGGATTACATCTTTCTTATTGGTCAATGATCTTGTGGGGTCAGCACGAGTTCCCGTCTATATGCGTTTTTGGCACTTCCTTTTATCATCAGCTTTTGACCTGTTAATTTGTAAATCAAACAATTTGTGAAATATTTCCTCCCTTAATTTTATCTTTAGAAGTAGATATGTATATATGTTTATAAGTGGGTCAAATTTTCCTCACCTTTGCTATTCTTTGTCATTTATTTAATTGATATGATTTTAGTTGATGTAATTTCGTATTAATTATGTATTATAATTTCACATTAATTATGAACTTTTATGTCAAATGTTTTATTTGCAAATTGTATTTTTTTGCATTTTATGATTTTGAATAAATGACTTTGTTTCGTCAATTTAGTTTTTATATTATATAGCAAAACAAAATCAGACTCTGGTCTGTGAAAACATTAGTATGTTTATGGTATCTAACTGTCTGTCTTAAAAGATGGTTATATACGAAGATGAAATATAACAAATAGCCTACGTCAGTGTCAGTAATTTTTGCAAAGATCAAAAAGTTATTGATACTGACCTCGTTAAGCCGAAATATTTGTCAACACTATTTTCTAACATCATCTTCGTATATTACCATCTTATATTAGTATTGTTGCGTAAATCTTCACACTTTTATATGTATATAGATCCGTTTATTTGGCAATCGCCATGGCAGTCAGCAGGGTTTAAGAACATCAGTTGTTCGACCTGCTAGTCAAATGCGTTTCGATAAAATATACTTTTTCACTTGTTTGGTCTTTTGGAAAATGTTTTTTGAACTGTATTTAGACCCCTCCACCAGTAAATTTGTTTTGCATGCACATGTATCAACATTGCGGTTTTTATCCAACGCAATCATAGGTTTGAACGTTGTTTTCAATTTAGACTTGTTTATATTTTTTCGTTTGGGCTTGTATTATATTTTGCTTCGGGTTTATATGATCCGTTCATCCTATTTCGACTCTTCAAAATTCAAGAGTCTATCCTAAATTGAGGTAAATTATATGGCCTTCCAAATACCGTTTCGATTCCTGACATCACTGAAGAGACATTAATTGTCGAAATCCGGATATGTTGTACTAATTCTATAAAAGTCTAAATTGAAAACAACATGTATATATATATAAATCAAAGATATTTTACCAAACTCACTGTTATTTTTGAAAGTTACAGTAAATGCAAACACATATGAGTGTAAAGACGGGTAAAACAAATGAACTCCAAACGGCAAGCTTTCAGGAATGTCCAGGAAAGTCGACCAGAAAATTGCGTTCCCATCGTGTACTGGATATCTATTATGATTGCAACAAAGTTGAATTAGTTTATCGAAATTGACTCATAATTACAAAATATGTTGTGTTTTGTGTTCTTTTGTTGTCTTTTTCTTTTTTTAGCCATGGCGTAGTCAGTTTATTTTTGACTCATGAGTTTGAATGTCCCTTTGGTATCTTTCGTCCCTCTTTTAGGTTTGGATGGAGAATTATATGTTTTGTATAATAAACAAAATAGAAAATGATTTTTAATAGTTTGTGGATTGCAGAATTGGAATAGCTTTGATGAAGTGCCTTGCAATATGATTTTGGCTCTTCTGTGTGTTTCTTTTATAGAAATGAATTTCTTTCCAGAAACAACATTGAAATTTTACAATATGTTTCATTTTTCTTTAAGATGTGATTAAGAAAATTCTAACTTCATCAAACCCCCCTTTCCGACCAGATTTAGATGAATATAAGAATAAAAACTTCGACAAAATTCCAGAAATGAAGACCTTGAAACATCTAATGGAAAATTGTTGGAATGAAAACCCGTTCTATCGACCAACTGCATCGGCCATTAAACAGAAAATTTCCCAGCTTCAAGGTGGAAGGTATATAACTAAAACACAAATATTTTTTATCTAGTTTAATCTATCAGACGCTTTTTAGTTTTTTTAAAATGAATATACATTGTAACTACAATGTGTTCACAATTTGAATAATTCCCCGACTTTATGGTTAATAAATAAAAAAAAAATGCTCTCATTTTATATTTATAAAAAAAAAAAATCTAATACTTTAAGTGGAGAAAATAAAAGGACCACACCATGGTAAAAACGAACATTTAAAGAACAATTCACAAAAAGTTTCATAGAAAACAAAAGACTGATAACACAAACACTATCAAAACACGTGGTCGAAAGTTCAGGAAAGGTCAGCAGATATTGTTCAACTAGCGACACCCATCTTGTTGCCCATAGCAAGGAATATTAGGAACCCTTGATTCAAGAGTTTCCATGTAGGTAGAAACCCCCAATTCAAGAAAATCAAGAAAAAAGTAAGTTATGTTATAGCGTATCAACTTGGAAATATATATTCCATGTACAGGTGCTTTTTGTTGTAAAGTTAAGTTCTTAAATGATCCTCACCGTAAATTTCTAGATGCAAGTCAAGATATGAAGTAGAACATACTGTATCTGTGGCCTTTTTTGTATGGAATTCAATGAAAAAGATGTAATCAACATATTCACCAAATTTTGAATTATTGAGTTGAAGGACAAAACGTGACGCGGATAGATAATTTAAACTTTTTTCATTCAACTTGACTCATACAAATAAACAAACATATCAGAGAACAGAGGCGCATTCGTTCCCTTTAGGAAAGTTTACTTCATCTTGAGAAAATTGGCCATCAATCAGAACAAATATTTTGTGAAGAAAAATAACGATTTAAAAATAAGGAGGAAGATGTGGTATGATTGCTAATGAGACAACTATCCACCAAAGTTAAAATGAAGTGGATGTAAGCTATTATAGGCAACCGTACGGCCTTCAACAATGAGATACACCAATACCGTATAGTCGGCCCCGACATAAAAAAATGAAACATTTCATTTGAGAAAACTGACGGCCTAATTTATAACAAAACAATTTACGAAAAACAAATATGACAGACAAGAGCCATCGACAACCACTGAACTACATGCTCCTGACCTGGGACGCGCACATAAAGAATGTGGCGGAGTAAAAAATGTTTGTGAGTGATCAACCCTCCCTAAACCCGGGAAAGTGGTGTAACAGCACAACATAAGAACAAACTATAAAAATCAGTTGGAAAAGGCTTAACTCATTAGATCGTTTCAAAGAAAAACACCAAACAGAAACACAGACAGGATGTCAGTTTCGAAGCACTTTATTGTTTTGTATTTGGCCCCTCTTTGAATAAAAGGTTTGTATCTACATTTCATCTTTCTGAAACAAATTTTAGTTAATTTTCTCAGGCTGTCTGTTAAAAGAGAGAGAAGATACCAAAAAGTCAATGAAAAATCACAAATCCAATAAAAAAGTAAGACGTATTCGACGATTCCCTTTTTTTTAAAGTCCGAGTAAGGCCCTTTATTTGGCGTTATTTAAAAGGATATTTTTTTAAAGTTTGAAACAGAAGTAGCAATTAAAGCTTAGCTTCTTAGCATTAAAGTTAACATTATCGTTTTATATAAATTATGTTCTCTCATTAAATAATTCAAAATTTGAATGAGATAAAGGATACAATATTTACAGTTAAGTCTGCCTCCTATCTTGACTTACATCTAGAAACTACGGGTCGGTTGAAAACAAAAGAGAAGATTTCAGCTTCCTAATTGTAAACTTTCCATTTCTTTATAGCAACATTCAACAGCGCCAGCATACGGTGTATATATCTCCAGGTTGATATGATATTCCAGAGCTTGTATTTCCTTTCATGATTTCCTTGATAGAGCATTGTGTTGCTGTTCACAAGAAAGCTATTACACGAAGAATTCCAAGTGGTGAAGTTGAAATCATCCCTTCGTAAATTTTACGGCCATCACAAGTTGGTTGACCGTTATGGAATATCTGTTTCACAGATGACAACGGATATGTTCCAATTGCCATTTCCACAATCCCGTCCTCATTTCCCCGAATGTGACCTACCGAGTTAGACTTATCACCGGCTTTGTACTTACATGACGGGTGCCACATGTGGAGCAGGGTCTGCTTACCCTTCAGGAGTACCTAATATGACCGCGGTGTTTGGCGGGGTTCGTGTTGCTCAGTCTTTAGTTTTCTATGTTGTGTTTTGTGTACTGGTGTTTGTCTTTAGTCTTTTTTTCCCATGGCGTTGTCAGTTTATTTTCAACTTAGTAAGTTTGAATGTCCCTTTGGTATCTTTCGCCTCTCTTTATTGCAATTTTTTTTATGTCTAATTCAAGAAAGACGAATATTGTTGATAATATGATCCAAATTTTGGAGAAATACGCAAACAATTTAGAAGAAATAGTTGAAGAAAGAACTGAAGCCTTGATCGAAGAGAAGAAGAAAACGGATAGATTATTATACCAAATGCTACCGTCGTAAGTAAATTATTTCTAATCTTTATTTATCAATTTGATGTTTTTGGAAAAACATGAAATTATAAATGTCAATAAACACGATATAGATACATTGTCAGCAAATATAATGTAGAGGTAGTATGTTCACGTAACATATCTAAGGTTAGGTCCAGGTATAAAACATACACACTTCAAGATGAAAATAATAACTTGAAGAACTGCATAAACTATAAACAGAGTAAAACCAGGAGCGTTGATACGGTAAGTACCTCTTTACCTCCTTGTATACATGCATTTATGATCATTACAAACCAGTAAAAAGGACAGAGGAACTGTTTAAGACATGTCGAAAGTTCAACCAATGAAAACAACACGTTATAAATTTTATGCGTCTCAAGCGTTTTTCTGGATTTATCTTCATCAGGAACGCTCAATGCCAAATATTTGAAAGCCAAGGATGAGTAAGAAATGTCCCATTCAGAAATACTCACTGTAACCATCAGTTGAGTCATGATGAATCCACAGACCTTGTATATTGACAATACACACTGTCGTCCTCATTACCTTCATGAAACATATTTTGATTCGTGTGTATATATTTTAATGTGTGCAAGCTCTGGTAAATCTTATCAACCGATACAAGTAAACATCATAGAATATTGCAGATGGTATGTTATAATTAAAGAATTGGAAGTACCTTTAATCATCACATTTGTCATTCATCTCAGTTTAAAGTTGTCCATCATCATCGATCTAAATTAAACAAACTAGATATGAAGAAGAACTTTTATCTAATGGAGTATCAATTCACACAAATTTAGAGGAATATGTGAGAAAAAAGTCACAATGCTCTTAAAATAATTCTCCAATGTCCAGTTAGATGACAAATGTACGTTACTCAACTTATGAACCTTATGGGACCGGTTATTGCCGATTTGTGAACTTTGTGAACTGCGTCGCTCAAGTTTAAACTTAGTATTGTAAGACTATTTAAACAATACACTGGAGTTTTTGTCAATATGAACAAAACAAATTGGTGATAAAAGTGAGATAAATCATGTAGTTTAATTTAACAGTTGATTCTCCAGATTCTGGCCTAAATATGCACTATCATAAGATCACTTATATACACTTATCCCTTACCTATCATACGATTGATTGGAGCAGAGAAATATGTCTCTGAATTCAATTATCTTTCATGGTTTTCATTATGACAATTTTATTTCAAAATACCTTGTAGATTCTTCATTTTACTTGTTTCTTGATTTAAGTTGAAAAAGTTCAAACTCCTGCAAATTATAAGAAATAAGAATATGCATTTTATTAACTATCGATTCCAGTTAATTTGTGATTAAATTTGTAAGTTTCTATATTTGTCCCTTGGAAATAAATACGAATAAAAGTATGTGTACAGTTAAACAAACGTAGATGATTCTTATTGAAGAAAGACGGTGTTTAGCTAAACCATTATATAAACCCCATTTAAAAAAAAACATGCAGACCTTGTACTTCTTCAGGTTTTAAAGTATTATAGATTATAGCTCTCCGTCAAACAACCCTCTTTATAAAAATAACTGATAACTGAAAAGTAAACTGCAATCTAACCTTATCATCCCCTTGTAAGCCGATGCGCGAAAGATCAATAATCAGGCAGCAGAAGATATTCATAAGGCCTCAAAAGTTGACTAAGTTAACACGCTGTATGGTAAGCTCTAAATTGAACATCAAGTAATCAATGAACTGCACACATTTTTATGTACCCAAATTTTTAATTGAGAAATAAACATGGAGAATCGGGAAATACTGACGAGAGTCGGGACCTTTAACATCATCTAATACAGCGATAGTCTTAGATGCATGATTTTTTTTATTAGTTTTTGTTGGCTTTGAACTAGCTGCCAGTAACTGCGTGTACTCTTAGATCTGTACTTAGTGTCTTTTTGTTGTTGGGATGTATAAGTACCCTGCCATGTCCACTCTTTTTTTAATGGTCAATGTTACCATGGAAACAGCAGAAATGTGAAAAATTTCGAAATGCTCCAAACGTTATGAAACTTAATATAAATGTTAACTGGCATGTATAGAAGAGACTTTTGACTATGGAATTTCCAAAATAGCTACCGTTGCAATGGAAACAGCAAAACATTTCAAAATTTCAAAATGCTCCAAACTAAATGAAACTTTACAGAAATGTTAACTGACATACATATATCTTGCATCCGACTTTGGAATTTTCAAAATGGCTGCCGTAACCGTGGCAATGGGGGCGGGTGACATCCGCTATTGCTTGCAATGGCAATTCTAGTTATGTCACCCGATCGACAATGTCGTGTGACATATTGCTTTTCCACTGTTTCTTTTTCCCTATTATTATGTCACCCGATCGACAATGTCAGGTGACATATTGCTTTTCCTCCGTTTCTTTTTTTTATTATTATGTCACCCTGACGGAGGTCGGGGTGACATATTGTTATTGTACGATTCTTTTTTTTATTTTTATTTTTATTATTATTCCACACATTTTGTCCATACTATTTCTCGGAATCGTATGGACCAATTGTAATGGAACTATACAATAATGTTAACCACCATTGCCAGAAGTGCAGTGAGAATTGGCACTTCCAAGATGGCCACTGTTACCATGGTAACAGCAAAAGAGTTAAAAAATGAGATTTTAGTTTTTAGTTGATAATTTGAGTATACCTGAACATTGGATCATCAAATTTTTACACATTGTAGCTGTCCTCTATATACATGTTTTGGATGATTTTTGGAATCCTCAGATCTACAATGTTGCCATGGAAACTGATAAAAAATATCAAAATTTTTTAAATTCTTTAAAAAATGAATGAAACTTTACAGAACGGTTGACTGGCAAATCTAGATGTAGCATTTCACTTTGGAATTTCCAAAATGGCTGCCGTTACCATGGAAACAAGGCAAAAATATCAAAATGCTCAAAACTTCATAAAACTTTACAAAAATGTTAAACACCATACATAAATGTAGCTTTTGACTTTTGAATTTTCAAAATGGCCGTCGTTGCCATGGAAACAGCAGAATTGTTGAAAGTTGAAAAACGTACATAACGCTTTGAAAACCGAAAGAAAGATCTGTTGTAATGCATATATCTGCATTCACTGATGGAAAATTTCGAAATGGCTGCCGTTTAGTGGCAATTGGGGAACCAGGGTGACATCCGCTATTGCTTGCAATGGCAATTCTAGTTATGGCACCCTCACCGGAGTTGGGGTGACATATTGTTATTCTACGTTTCTTTTTTTCTTATTAAGTCGCCAAAACAGAGTTTTGGGGACTTTATGTTTTTGTCCCGTTTCTTATTAAGTCGCCAAAACGGAGTTTTGGGGACTTTATGTTTTTGTCCCGTTTCTTATTATTATTATTATTATTATTATTATTATTCTTAACCCTAATTTGTCCGACCATTTTCTTCCAAGCCTCAAATGATTGAAACTTTATATTTGGTATGATGATGGGGTAGTATCCCTAGGGGTGCATTCACTATGTTTTATTTCAAATGGGGGTGAACTTGGCACTATTTGGGGGCCGGAACATGGGTGGGGTCATTTTTCGGCTATTGATTCGCTACTGGTAGAACCTTTAAGTTTTGTGTAATACAAGAGACCGAAGTCCAGGTGTCCATTCCACATTTTTTATTTCAGCCCGGGGTCATCTTGGCATTATTTTAGAGGGTCAATTTTCATGGAACATTCTAGAACAATAGTCATGTGATTAGTCATGTAATAGTGTTGAATTATTCCTATGTACTTTTTATGTTATATAATGATAGATTATTACAGGTAGCACCATATGTAGCTGTAATTCGACTTTGGAATTTTTAAAATGGCCGCCGTTACCATGGAAACTGCAAAAATGTGAATTTTTTTAAAAAATGCTTCAAATTTAATGAAATTTTCAGAGATGTTAACGAGTGTATGTAGATTTGAAATTTGACTTTGGAATTTCCAAAATGGCCGCCGTTGCCATGGAAACAACAAAAATGCGAAAAATCTAGATTTGGTCCAATCTTTATGAAACTTGACAGTAATGTGACCTGTCATGAGTAGATGTGCCATCCGACTTTGGAATTTTCAAAATGGCTGCCGTTACCATGGAAACTGCAAAAATGTCAAAAAATTCAAAATGCTTCAAACTTAATGAAACTTTACACAAATGTTGACTGTCTTATGTAAATGTGGCATTTGACTTTGGAATTTCCAAGTTGGCCACCGTAACCATGGAAACACGAATGCCTAAATTTGAAAATTGGTCCAATTTTTATGAAACTTGTAAGTAATGTGACCTCTCATGTGTAAATGTGCTATCCGACTTTGAAATTTCAAAATGGCTGCCGTTTCCATGGAAACAGCAGAACAATGGTTGGGGGCCGTTTTGGCGACTTTTGTGTTAGCATCCTAACACAGGATTACTTGTTATTATTATTATTATTATTATTATTATTATTATTCTTAACCCTAATTTGTCCGACCATTTTCTTCCAAGCCTTAAATGATGGAAACTTTATATTTGGTATGATGATGGGGTAGTATCCCTAGGGGTGCATTCACTATGTTTTATTTCAAATGGGGGTGAACTTGGCACTATTTGGGGGCCGGAACATGGGTGGGGTCATTTTTCGGCTATTGATTCGCTACTGGTAGAACCTTTAAGTTTTGTGTAACACAAGAGACCGATGTCCAGGTGTCCATTCCACATTTTTTATTTCAGCCCGGGGTCATCTTGGCATTATTTTAGGGGGTCAATTTTCATGGAACATTCTAGAACAATAGTCATGTGATTAGTCATGTGATAGTGTTGAATTATTCCTATGTACTTTTTATGTTATATAATGATAGATTATTACAGGTAGCACCATATGAAGCTGTAATTCGACTTTGGAATTTTTAAAATGGCCGTCGTTACCATGGAAACTGTAAAAATGTGAATTTTTTTTAAAAATGCTTCAAATTTAATGAAATTTTAAAGAGATGTTAACGAGTGTATGTAGATTTGGAATTTGACTTTGGAATTTCCAAAATGGCCGCCGTTGCCATGAAAACAACAAAAATGCGAAAAATCTAGATTTGGTGCAATCTTTATGAAACTTGACTCTAATGTGACGTGTCATGTGAAGATGTGCCATCCGACTTTGGAATTTTCAAAATGGCTGCCATTACCATGGAAACTGCAAAAATGTCAAAAAATTCAAAATGCTTCAAACCTAATGAAACTTTACACAAATGTTGACTGTCTTATGTAGATGTGGCATTTGACTTTGGAATTTCCAAAATGGCCACTGTAACCATGGAAACACGAATGCCTAAATTTGAAAATTGGTCCAATTTTTATGAAACTTGTAAGTAATGTGACCTGTCACGTGTAGATGTGATATCCGACTTTGAAATTTCATTATGGCTGACGTTACCATGGAAACAGCAGAACAATGGTTGCGGGCCGTTTTGGCGACTTTTGTGTCAGCATCCTAACACAGGATTACTTGTTATTTTTTTTCTTCTACTATTTTTGTCCAGCTTATATCTTGAAATTGTATGAAGCAATTGTTATGGAACTATACCATAATGTTAACCAGCATGTGCAGATTTGCAATCGGGGTATGACATCATCAAGATGGCTGTCGTTGCCATGGAAACTGATAAAATGTAAAAAAAAATGCAAATTCTAAATCTTTCATTATAAGACCCAACTGGATGAAACTTTATGGAAATGTTGCCTGGTATCCCTAGATGTGCATGCAATATTAGGAAGTTCCAAAATGGCCGCCATTGTCATGGAAACAGGGTGAAAGTTTAACATTGACCCTATGGGAAAACACATTGAAGCTGCATTTTCTGCAAGAATATTAGATCAAACCTTATAAAACTGAATGGATATGTAACATGGCATGTCTCAAAGTGGCACCTGTTTTGAAATTTTGAAAAATGTACCCGTTACCATGGAAATAGCAAAAATTTCAAAAAATTTTAAAAATGCTCCAAAATTGATGAAACTTCACAACAATGTTAATGGACATCTGTAGATGCGCTCTTTGACTTTGGATTTTTCAAAATGGCGGCCGCTCACCGGTCAATGGGGGAAGGGTGCCATCCGTTATTGCTAGCAATTACAAATCTAGTTATTATTATTATTCTTCCACCTAATTTTGTCCTGCAGTTTTTTTGGAGCCAATGGAACCAATCTTAATGATAGTTAAGTACAATGAGGAACACAAAATTTCGAGTTGCAGTAGGTCTTTAGAACAACTCTTACAGGCCCAGCAACTCTTCTTATAAGTAAAAATTGTCTTATTTCACTATTTTCATATTTTGCTATCTGCCTTTCTAATATCTACAATGGTTCAGAACTGAAGGAAGGCCTGGAAAGTCCAAACAACATCTTCAATCTCTTTGAAGAGAAGTCTCTACCTAGTGATAACGTTCCTGTCCTACATAGTAGGGTACAATGCTTTTGGATCAATAAGCGCCTAATAAACCCGTTTTCAATCAGGAGCATCATGAGCGAATACTTTACTATGTACTCTTTAGAGCCAGACGTGTTGTGGAGAATGCCTTTGGTATTATGTCACGAAAGCTCCGAGTTTTGCTCAAGACTATGAACCATAGGCGAGATACATGCAGAAAAATTATCACAACTTGTGTGATCCTTCGCAATCTCATCAAACTGAGATATTCAGCCACCACAACTACTTGGTGGACTTGGAGGACCAGAACCAGAATGTCATCACAGGGGCATGAAGAAATGAGAATTAAACTCATCATAGATACCAGGATTGAAATTTTGTATTTGCGCCAGACACGTGTTTCGTCTACAAAAGACTCATCAGTTACGCTCGAAAAGTACTTCTGGATATTTAACCTGAAAGACAAGGATACTGGAACTCAGGAGGGAGGCAAATATAATATACTCGGGTCACTACTTTACCTCAAAGGCTTGTTCGGTGCAATAGCAGGACTGGATGATCCCATTATTATTCCCACAAAGCAGTAACAGTAAAAATCAATACATAAACACTCACATTGTGGTGATGAACAAACTATTTTAACATATTGATTTCAAATTTTTAATTAAAGCAAAATGTGTATGGAGTAATAAATTTAGTTTCTGAAATTTTGATTGAAAATTCCATTAATGTAGAAATTAAAATAACTTGTAAAGTAAGTATAAAGTTCCAAACAATTAGGTAATTAAATTAAATTTTCCACGGTCGGCCAAAGGTTTTATACCATCCGGAGGTCTCGTGACGCTTTCGTTACCAAGTTCGAACGCATCGTACTCTCAATACGACAATGTATAGCCATCGTTTTGTCTTCGTGTGTCCTGCGTATAAATATCGTAATAAACATTCACATCTTTGTGTTGCCTTCGTGTGTGGTTCGGGTGCCGTCGTGTGACCTATGTAGGCATCGTACTTACTTCGGCTGATGATTGACGAAGTTCGGGACCATCTTCGCGCGAAATTCATATTTGTATGGCCAGTTTGTGTCAATATCGGGACAGTGTGACGGCTGCATCAAGTATACTTTTTGGCAGTGTTTGCACATTATAAGTATGGTGTTTAAACTGAATACTTATTGCAACCAAGGATGTCTTAAATTTATATCAAATGTTCCTTCAGTTCTTAAAACATCGAATATTGTAAAAAATTCATATATATCTTGCGACGTTTTTATGATTAAAAAAAATCCAGAGATAATAGGATTCGCAAAAATAATAACTTGCTTTTTAAAATTTCAAAGCATTTGTATGCAGGATTTACTGAGAACAAAAATCACCAAAGAGTCCAGGCTTATAACTTGTTACGCCAGAAGAGCGTTTCGTCTACATAAGACTCATCTTTGGCGCTCGAATCAACAGCTGGAAGAACAAAATCAAACACGAAGTTGAGGATCATTGCAAGCCAAACATTCTAAATACCGGTAGTTGTGACAAATATATGCCATTTATGCCTTGGTGTAGAAAAACATTAGTGTTTGAGTAGTTCAAAAAACGACTAGATTGTATATATAAAATCGAAATTATTTGACCCAATGCAACGAAATTGCAGAGCGGTATAATGTTTTGATCCATCCGTTTATTCGTTTGTAATCAATATGGTGTCGCAAGGATTGCACCTTATTTTTTTTTTCAAATTTGGATACGGGTTTCCCTTCGGAATTATTCCCTTAATGCTCTTTAATCTCGCAATTCATTTGTTCTTTTAACTTTCCGAAATCGAGTGACATTGATGAGTCTTTTGTTAACGAAACCACGCTTCTGGCATACAAATTTATAAGCCTTGTAATATAACACTCATCAAAGATTATCAGTTTTTTTCCACCCATTAAAACTGCGGTTGAGTTTGATGAATCACGAAATCTGAAATGTTAAAATACCATTTATCATTTATGTTGGGTTGAGGGATTCTTGAGCTAGATCACTTATGGTTCCTTCATTTGTACAAATATAATGGAAAATATATTTCCCAGACATCATAACGATGGAACTCTTGAATTTTAAGTCAAAAATCACAACCTTAACGTCACCTTACGGTCTTCAATATTAACGAAACCCATACCATATAGTCAGCTATAAAAGGCCCCAACATGAAAATTTGTTAAACATTTCAAACGAGAAAACCAAAGTCCTCATTTTTTATAAAGCAAAAAAAGGAAAACATATATAACGGACAGATTCCAACAACATCCACTGAATTTTTGGATCGTTTTGTGGGATAGACTCAAGCAGAATGGGACGAGGCTAGACATGTTTGTGGGCGCTCATACACCACCTAACCTGGGAAAGTGATATATGAGCACATTATAATATTTTCCTAGATGTTGTCTTAAAATGAGTTTAGCTGCTTTGTATGAACTCTAGGTTAGCAAAAAAAGCAGCTATTATCGAAGAACAAGTATAGATCATTTATATACCAATTCAGTAGCTTTGTAACAGAAAATATTTGAAGATGAGCAAAGCATTAGCGCTGGATAGTATGTTGAATTATGATTGATATGAATCCATTTTAAATTATAAAGGTAATATCTATGAGGGGGCTTCTTGTTATATTGTTCATTTAGGCAAATAAGTGTTTAAAAATATCAGTTACTAGTAACTATCGTTTTCCTCAAATCCTATGTTAACCAATGTTTTATGGTTCATCATAGTAAGTTCTGTTTTTATCATTTTGTATTACGATCGCACAGTGTACATCTTGATTTCAGATTAACAATGATACTTAACACTGCGATATCGATGTCATCATCAATTTCTAATATTATTCTTATATTTGAAACACTTTGCAAAAAGATGATGTAAACATAATCAACTCTTATGAAGTTGAATATTATTCTGCCCTGTGATGCTCTCCGTATAGGCCGACACAGCATATAGAAAATGTATAAAAAGATACAGAATTTTAAATGAAATTCATATATCACACCAAATAATAACATTTTCAGGCCTGTAGCTGAACAATTGAAGATGGGCAACAATGTACAACCAGAAATATTCGACTTAGTCACTATTTGTTTCTCAGATATAGTTGGATTTACAAAATTGTCATCGGTCAGTACTCCGATCCAAGTAGTAGACTTATTAAACGACTTGTACACGGGATTTGATTCTACAATTTCGCATTACGATGTGTATAAGGTATGCATCTTACATAATTAAAGGATCGCAAATTACAAACGATTTTATTTTTTTTATACACAAACATGTAATGATCAAAGCCATTATGATAAGCATGTTTTCCCTTGTATATGAATAAAAGTGAAGGTCAAAGAGACAGCAGCCCAACGACAAAAATTATCAAAAGACATTTAGAATAAAACATACAATCTTCAACAAGAGGAAAGTGTCTATACAATTTGTCAATCTTTAAATCACCCCAAGTCTATAAAAACTGTGAATACATTAAACAAAAATTCAAAGCTCTGCCGTTAAAGCCAATTTAAATCTGATTAAAGTCGGATATTTTCACTTTGCTGCGTTAGATTTGTTTGTGGTTCTTGTAATATCTAAAAACACTAAAATAAGGGATAAATTCGGATAATCTTTATTCAGATTTGCTTCTGTCCCTTGTCCGAATTATTGGGGAATGATATAATTAAGGTCCTTTTCGGTCATATAGCTCTTCGCGTGCTTAGGTACTTAAATAGCCTTGACTTTCAAATTTATAGATTAAATCTTTCCTGATGAAGATGAATCCATAAAAGCGCCTCGGACGCACGAATTGTTTAAGGTGTTATTTTTGTTCACTGGCACTGGGTCGATACCACTGTGTGTGGCTGTTAGTTCACGAGGGTATCATCAGCTCAGACGTATGTGCTTCGATATTGCCATTATTTATAACAAACTTTTCTTAAATTCTGTGTTGATTATTTAAGAATTTATTATAAAACTAAGGTTCCAACTCCCTCAGGCAAAGCTGACCTTAAAATAGTTTTGTTATTTTATGTCCCTTTTGGTAATATAGCTCGGCAAATGTGAATGTACTTTAACTTTCCAGGTGAATCCAGAAAAAAAAACGCTTTGGACGCACGAAATTTATAAATAGTTACATTTGTTTTATATTAAATTTATAATTCCTATTTATCTATGAAAGCACGCAAGCATCTGTTTTGAAGACCGATCTATTCTATGGAAAAACGTTATTCTTTTGTTTGATTTAATTTTGTGTTCCTGCCATTCACGTTTAGGTTTTTATATTCGAATTTAATAAAATTTTAACAATTTATTTCACACAAAACATTTAAGTTACTTCTGGAACTGTTTACGCTGGTAAACGGCCAAAAATCACCAATGAATTTGTTAAACAAATTTAAAATGTTCATCATTTTTGACAATTTCCCTTCTCATATGTCCATCAAAATAGAGGCGGAAGATACCAAGGTGACATTAAAAAATCGTAAGTCGTAGCAAAAGTGAAAACGCAAAAAAAAAAGAATAAAGACGAAAACCGAATAACGAACGAGTCCACAAAACACTATATAGATTGATTGATTGATTGGTGTTTAACGCCACTTTCAACACTATTGTGCTATTTCGTGGCGGTCAGTTTTTATTCGTGGAGGAAACCTGAGTGCCCGGAGACAACCACCGACCTTCGGTAGGAAACTGACAATCCTAGTCAATTAAGATTGGAGTCGAGTGCACCTGCCCCGTGCGGGATTCGAACTCACAACCTCAGTGTTGACAGGCTAGTGATACAGTAGTTCAACTACTTAGACCACTCGGCCACCGAGGCCCGTCACTATATAGAAAACAAAAGACTGAGCAACACTAACCCAACCAATATACTAATATATTATATTTGTATAAGTCATTCCTAGATCAAACATATTGTTAACTAGAATGATTTGCGTAACAGTTTAAGGATAAACTTCTTGAACATAGTGAACCTTATTTCCGAATTTTGTTTCAGGTTGAAACTATTGGTGATGCTTACATGGTTGTTAGTGGGCTACCTATAAGAAATGGTCTGAATCATGCGAGAGAAATAGCAGATATGTCTTTAGATTTACTGCAATTTGCAGATAAATTCGAAGTTCGTTTTAATCCAGAGTACACATTAAAGTTAAGAATTGGATTACATTCCGGATCTTGCGCTGCAGGTAAAGTCTTCAAAACATATTGTCTCATTGTCAATCATACCACATCTCCTTATTCTATATTTATAGTACATTTCATTATTCGTTGAACAGGACTTCTAATCACAGAAATACTCTAAGAAAATCATTAATGTGTACTTTATTTCACATCCAGTATAAAGATAAATGTGTTTTATTGTTTTTAGTTTTTACATATTACAAATGGGATGATGAATGGTTAGACATTCGTCATGTACGGACATATTACAAAGCGTCAAATTTTTTACAGTTTTTTGCTTGCTTGCATTTAGATTGACATTTATCATCTTTTTGGCTCTGGGGATGTATAGAAGCACAACCGGTCTTTCGTTTGTGACAATAAATTTAATACAAGTGTTGAAATCTTCCAGGGTCTCCAGATGCATGTCAACACATTGGGTCCTTCATTAGAGAAATTTAAATAAATAAGTGATGCAATATGCAAGGCTCTCCCATCGCAAAAAAAAGCCTTTTATCAACTTTTGCATAGCGTTCTTCCATAGATATAAAGATTTGGTTTTGAAGTTTGGTTGTACCTGTAGAAAAACTTATTTCAAACGGGATAACACATCCTAGTTTTTACGGAGATGTTATACCGAGCCCGTAAATTTAGATACTATCCGGGTAAACCTATCGATCCTTTAAATAAACTTATTCAAAAAGGTTACCAACTCAACTCAGTGACTGTAATTAGATCTTTAAATATTGTTTTTACTGGTTTTAATATTGATTTTGTCATCAGTAAATTAAAATCAAACTAAATATTGATTTTATATACAAATGCATATTCATGGCTTTACAATCTTTCGATACCTGTATCTTGGCATTGCTCAAGTTCATGTTTTTCTCTGATTGTTTATGACGTCTTTATACTAAATCCATTGGATAATGGACGTGTGCTGATTGATATTTTAGTCTTAGATGCATGATTATTTTATTAGTTGTTATTGGCTTTGAACTATCTGTCAGTAACTGCGTGTACTCTCAGATTGGTACTTTTTGTTGTGGGGATGTATAAGTACCCTGCCACGTCCACTCTGTGTTTTTGTTACTTGTTTTTGTGATTTGTATCTATCTCATGAGTTAAGCCCTTTTCAACTGATTTTTATAGTTTGTTCATATGTTGTACTGGTACACTACGGTCCCAGGTTATGGTAGGGTTGGGCGCCCGCTAACATGTTTAACCCCTGCCTATCCCAAGTCACGAGCCTGTAATTCAGTGGTTGTCGTTTGTTGCTGTATATCATATTTGCTACTCGTTCATTATTTTGTACATAAATCAGGCCATCAGTTTTCTTGTTTGAATTGTTTTACATTTGTCATTTCGGGGTCTTTAATAGTTTTTATTGAAGGCCGTACGGCGACCTATAATTTTTACTTTCTGTGTAATTTGGTCTCTTTGGAGACTTGTCTCATTGGCAATCATACCACATCTTCTTATTTTTATAACGACTAGTTACGTCTGCGGGATGTGTGTAATAGTTATTTTGAAATGAAGTGATTGTTCTGAAAGAGCGTGAGTTTAACCTGTTCAACCTACCCTTTGTATTCGAAAGTGGCTGTATTTTGTAAAATGTTCACCTGAGTATCGTTTTATAAGATTTAAAAAAAAAAGTATAGATTAACAACGTTTTTTATAATACCGTTATATAATTGAATTTGAATAACGTGTGTTTGTCAAATACGTACATGAAAACGATTAAAATTACGAATATAGTAGGAAATTTTTAAAGTCACATAAAACGAGTTTCTGGTTATCATAATACTATTATTGAACCAATGCATAATGCATACATATTATACTTAATTTAGTCATTTGTGCTCGTTATCCACATTTATCAAGATTTTAATGTGTATTATTGACACAACAATATTTCATAGTATGATTGATTATCGGACAATTTGACTGCTTATTAACTGTTTGGTTTTTGAAAAAAAGGACTCATTCTAGATATCAGGATTAAAATTCTGTACGCGTGATGGGTGTATCGTCTACAAATGACTCATTAGTGACACTCAAATCAAAATCTAAAACGTTAAAAAATGGCAAACAAAATACGAAGTTGAAAAGCATTGAAAACCCAAAATTCCGAAAGATTTTGATAAAAAAATTTAAAAAAACTTAAGTACATTTCTTCATGCAAAATCCTTAGTGTTTCGAATTTTTGCAAATAGTTAATTCATAATTATGACTATATCAATTTACCGATCGTTAATTATGGATCAACAATCAACTTAGAATCATGGAGCACGTAAAATATCAGTGAAATGATAGAGCGATGTATATTTGTTTTTTGCGTTCCCATTCGGTAATTAAACTTTGTCATAATTTTGTTATATGATTTGTTTTTTTTTCAGCATTGATTGAAAATTTCTATTTTCACGTTTGCTTACTTTTTTATCACTGGTTTTCTCCTCGAACGAATTTATAAAGAAATGTGTTATGGTTAAGGTCACTTGATATGGAAAAGATATCAACGAATAGAGTACGGAAGACAACAGTTCAATGGCAGTACATTTCTGAAAATTTTAATAAGATAAAGATAAAGGTGCTAGTTTGTTTTTGTTCTATTTGATGTTTTTTTAATGTACTGCTTATTGTCATGGCTTTTTTTGTCTCCTATGTTGAGTTTACAACGAGAAAATATGATTGTGTGCAAAATTTTATCCTGGAGGTATAGTACTAACAAGATTTTTTATTCGTCAATTTGAGCCATGTTTTTCATTTCAAATTCATTCTATCAGAGCCTGTGATTGTGTTTATATAATAAAAGGAGATTAGGTATGATTGACAATGGGACAATTATCGCCTAAAGTGGTTAATTTCTTGTTTATAGTCATATTCGAAAGAGTTTGTACGTAGAGCGTTGTGGTGTTTTAATGTTTCTATTTCATTTTGTTTTAATATAATAGAGAATGAAAACGGGAATTTGTCAAAGAGACAACAACCCGACCAAAGAGCAGTAAACAGCCTAAGGCCACCAATGGGTATAGAATGCAGCAAGAAAATCCCGCAACCGGAGGCGTGACTCAGTTGTCCCCTTAAAAATAATATATACTAGTTAAGAGAAATGGAATGGACACTAAACTCCAAAACATACAAATGAACCAAAATTAGAAATTTAAAAAAAACAGTTTTTTTGTTGATAAACATACCTAGTGCAACGTTGTTCCTGTTTACTATTTACTGTTGTCCCGTCTGGCTTTAACTAATAAAACGCAGATAGAAGGTTATAATAATTGATTATATAGGTAGAATTGATCAACTCCGACATGTTCTGAGGGACTTGATAAATTTTGACCTGGAACTTTTGTCAATATTCAATCCCTTATTAGTATACTTGGTGCATTAGGGTGCATTGTTTTGTGTTTATACAAATTTTCTTAAACAGTTTTCTTGGATTCCAGTCTAATATGAGAACAGTCCGGTAGTTATTTTATCAATATACACTTCATGGCGGGAAAGAATTTCATTATGATTCCGAACGGAATAGTTTTAAACAACGAAAAAGAAGAACATCTTTTTTGTATGATTGTCAATTCTATATGACTGTCATAGAAGTGAGAGGTTTAGCTAGCTATAAACACAGGTTTAATCCACCGTTTTCTACATAAGGAAATGCCTGTACCAAGTCAGGAATATGACAGTTGTTTTCCATTCGTTTGATATATCCGAGCTTTTGATTTTGTCATTTGATAAAGAACTTTCCGTTTTGAATTTTCATTGGAGTTCGGTTTGTTTGTTATTTTACTTTTTTCAACATTGTGAAGGTTTGAATAAATGTCTTGCAGGACAATCACACCATTGCAGTTTGTCAACATAATTTCTTATTTCTTTTGTGATTTGATTACAATCAAGTCTGTTGTTGTTGCAAACGCACATCTTGTGAGTTTTATAATTGTGTGATATCTAATACATTGATTTTGATATAAAAGTTTTTTTGCTTTAAACAGGTGTAGTAGGGAGAACAATGCCCAGATATTGTTTATTTGGGGACACAGTTAACACTGCATCAAGAATGGAATCACACGGAGAAGGTAAAGAGCATTTCTTCCACACAAACAATCTTACAAAATCTACATTCAAAATCTATAATTGAAAGTAGATATTAAAGAAGAGAATAACAAGAATGTGTCCATAGTACACGAATGCCCCACTCGTACTATCATTTTCTATGTTCAGTGGACCGTGAAATTGGGTTCAAAACTCTAATTTGGCCTTAAAAGACGGACGGACGGATAGACGGACGAACGAACGGACGCACAGATCAGAAAACATAATGTCCCTACTACTATCGTAGGTGGGGCATAAAAAACTGAAGACTGACACAACAAATAAAACCTTCTAAATTGTCCTTCACTAACTTATCAAAACTTAAGCGGGTTGCTCTTGTTTTCAAAAAGGCAATGCTTTAATACAATTAGAATTTCATCAAATGGGTAACAACATTAACAGTACCTTTTTTTTTATAATCAGATGCGCATTTCGACAATAAATGTTTCTTCAGTAATAATCCTATTTTAATTGCAAATGTTTCATTGAGCGACATTACAAAATTACAAGTACTGAGTAAGCATGAAAACAAAAACAATTAAGAAATTTGCGAGAATGTTTGTTGGATAAGATTATAACGTCAGTCATGTAAATAATACTTCCGGATTATTCATAGGATTAGACGATTAGTATTATTTCGTTGGGATCAGCTTACATTTATACTCAATACTCAACTAAATTTGTTCTGCATTGACTTTTTCATTTCGTATGTTGAAACTCAACGAAGTCAAGATGGTAGCAGAATGAAGACGGAATATCTTGGATTTTAACTCTAGTGAAGAAGTTTTCAATAGTTTTGAATGGCGATTGATATTAATAATATGTAATTATGCTGGAGATTATTGATTGAGTAAATGTACTCCAGCATATATTTATTTGAACCGGGAGAGTATGAACATCGATATATCTGTACCAAATCGAGTGTTAGATCAATTAATAGATTTATTGTTTTTTTTTTAGATTCGAGAATACACATTAGTCAGCAAACATACGAAATATTATATCCAACAAATCGATACGACCTGACCTTCCGTGGGGAGCTTCCAATAAAGGTATTAAATATACTTGTAAAACTTTCAAATTATATCCATTGTTACTTGGTACCTTCATCGTCTTAAGAAATTGTATATATAAATACGTGTTTTTTTTTCAGTAATTCAGAACACAAGAGTCAATATTGCAAATTATTTCAAAGAATTGGAAGAAATCACAAATTATATGTACTAGCAATCTGCGTTTTATTTCAGGGGAAAGGATTACAACGAACTTATTGGGTCCAAGGCAAAAAGGATCTAATAAACGACAGTTCTTGAAAATCAAGCGAACCGGAGGAAGACAGTTATGGATACAAATGAGGAAAAAGGAGAAAATACAGATTTACGAAAGCAATCAAAATTGTAAAATTGTTAATGACCCGCTTTTCTTTAAATCTACTGGTGCATTTCAGGAATATTAAATAAATTATCCAGCATCTCATTTATTGAAACTGTTCTTTGTTGTTTGTCTATATATATGTCATTAACTTGAGCCTTTATCTTTTTTTTGAATTACCAAAGGGATATGTGTAGTCTCAACAATAATTATATGGTAATTTTTATAAATTTCCTGTTACAAAACTTTGAATTTTTCATAAAACTAAGGATTTTCTTATCCCAGGAATAGATAACCTTAGCCGTATTTGGCACAATTTTTTGGAATTTTGGGTCCTCAATGCTCTTCAACTTTGTACTTGTTTGGCTTTATAACTATTTTGATCTAAGCGTCACTGATGAGTCTTATGTAGACGAAACGCGCGTCTGGCGTATTAAATTATAATCCTGGTACCTTTGATAACTATTTACACCACTGGGTCGATGCCGCTGCTGGTGGACGTTTCGTCCCCGAGGGTATCACCAGCCCAGTAGTCAGCACTTCGGTGTTGACATGAATATCAATAATATGGTCATTTTTATAAATTTCCTGTTACAAAACTTTGAATTTTTCAGAAAACTAAGGATTTTCTTATCCCAGGAATAGATTACCTTAGCCGTATTTGGCAAAATTTTTGGGAATTTTGGGTCTATTTTGATCTGAGCGTCACTGATGAGTCTTATGTAGACGAAACGCGCGTCTGGCGTATTAAATTATAATCCTGGTACCTTAGATAACTCTTAATTCGCATTCTTTTCAAATGGAGTGTCATGGGTCAAATGATAAAATACGCCAAGAAATATATATATGGTCTCCAATTTTAAAGGTCAAATGGTTAACAACATTACACACTTTTGTTTCACAATATGCTATTATTGTCATGCTGTTGACTTAAGTCGATGCCACTGCTGGGGGACGTTTTGACCCCGAGGATGCATGTATCACCAACCCAGTAGTCAGCATGTTTGTTTTGACATGCAATATCATTGATACGCCATTTTGTATGCTTGAATTGTTTAAAATTCATTCAAAAAAGCCTTAGCCGTATTTGAGACTACTTTTGAAATTTTTGGATATAATTACTCTACAGCTTTGCTTTTGATTTTAGCATTCTAATATTTTTGATTCGAGCGCCACTAATGAGTGATGGATGGACGAGTCGACGTCTGACGTACCAAACTTTAAGCCTGGTTAGATCATATTTCTCATTTTATCATACAGGTTCATTATGGATACTATAACGTGCTATACCAAAATAGTTATCCTCATTTTATTGATTAAACCATGGATACAATATTGAAGTAATCAAAGTATACAATTAATAATGCGTATATTTATGAAAAGTATATTTATGAGTAAAAAAATCTAAGTTAAAAATAATGATGTGTATATATACATTTATACTTATTTTAAGTATATCAATCATTTGTTGCTAATATTTTGAGATCTTAATAACAGATGTCTGTGAACAAAGTGAGAAAATAAACCCCTTATGTTAACAGTTTCGTATTGATCATGTTTTAATATATCAAACACAGAATTGATTCCTATCTTTTTAGATTTAAAGTTATTATTTGCATTAAGTCGTATATTTCAAAGGTTTGGTAACCAGTTTTGGATTATTTTTATGGTCTTAGATGGATGAAGTGACATCTGTTTTTTCATTTTTTTCTACTTTTTTTCACTCGTTTTGTTATAGATATAAAATAATGAGATTATTCTAGTACTTAGTCATATTATCAGCTATTACAACGACCTTTTAAATTTTTTGTTATGCTCAAAATATCGAGTAAATTTTCTTCAGTCGTTAATTTAAAAAGATTTACATATATTTCAATTTTTATCTCTTTTGTCTGACTTCCCAAGCATAAAGGCTCTTGAGCTTTTCTGATTTCACAGTGTCATTACTGGGATAGTTTTTTTCTTTTCTTTTTTTTTAATGAGTTGCGTTTGTATTAAGCCTAGTTCAACCGAATAAAATATCAAAAGGAAATTTCCAAAGATTCAACTGTGAATGAAATAATGTAAAAAAGTTTTATGATCATAAACTGCATTGACGACTTTTATCTATGTCAATACCCTAAAATACATAAAAAGGTTGTATGTAAAATTTTCTTTAAACATATAATTCTAAGTTAACAACGTTTGACAAAAAAGGTAGATGAGGAATGATTGGAATTGAGACATTTTATATATCAACGTCCAGTAATATATCATAAGAGATACACTATACGTGTACACAATATAAAGTTTCTTTTATTTCGTCACATGATTTTCTAAGAACTCTATTAGCAGTCTATTTTATAAAAGTTAAGCTTTTATCGTATCTTCATTTTGAAAAATTGTAAAATAGGACAGAAAAATTGTTAATTTGCAAGTTCTAAAAATTTTGGTTTTGCAATATGATAAGAAATTGTCTACAATAAAACAAGTTAGCATAACAACATTTAATGTAAAATATATTTTCAAGCCAAACCACCAAAGACTGGACATGTTCAACACCAGTTTAGTAAATACATGCAAATATTTTTTGTAATGAAATTTACAGGCAGTATAAATGTAAAATATATGCTAAATGTGACAATAGATGACTATGTATATATTTTTTACGTTATTGGACTGGCATATTTATCAAAACGTTTGCATGAAGATAAACCACACATTTCTAATTCTTTTGAATGTGTCAAAAATTCTCAAAATGATGTGAATATGTGGGAAATCCCTCTATCTTGTTAACTGCAGTTTTTGCTTTCTCTACCTGTAAAGTCATTGGTGGAGGACCACAGCTGAAAACTCCTATTTGCTTAACCTGAAAAAAATCCACAGGTATTAACACTCATTTCTAGTGAGACAGATATCAATAAGTTAGTGATGCAAACTGTTATATGTTATTTTGATTTATCTTCATACTTTTTTGTTTATTTGCAGATTGTTTTAACCTTACTACATATATACTATAAATTTATACCAATTCAGCTGTAGACGCACCATTCTTTTCGTTGTGAACAATACTTTATAGATGCTACAAAATCATATATTTCGAATCGAAAAAGAATAATTAGACGTTTCGGAAATATTTCCTTACAAAACGAATTAGGTGCATGATTTTTGTTCACTTACATTAGGATGTTCATATTTCAGTGACTTCAGAAAATCTTGAAAGTTTGGTCGTCCAAAATGTGTTTTTGCCTCCAAGCCAGTAAACAAACTCTTTCCTGCAATCTTTTGGAAATGACGCTCACATATGTACTAAAAATACAGAAAAACGAGGATGATGGAATCAAGATAAAAATATCACTAGTTAATACAATAGAAAGACAGCTGTTGATCAATTCAATATTCGCATCGTAAATAAACGCAAACAGATTGACTGTCTAGAATAAGTTCGCTACATTTTACAACTGGTTTCTTTAAACAATTAGTACAGCTTCTGTACGCAATGAAAAAAGAATATATCTAAATAATTTCAGGAGAAAATGTTTACAGCACTATCCTACTAAATACTAGAAGTTAACTAACGCAATGTTTAATTAAAAGTTTGAAAGCCTTTCAACAGTGTAGTCATAACCAGCACGTGTTCAACTTTGATGGAAGTAGATAAAAATGTTGGTGAAATGCTTATTTCTTTCTCTCTTTCCTCGTAAATTGCTAACTATTACAATAGTATTACCATACATACCAGCATAGTGGTTCTCAAATCAAATTTCTGCTGAAACTGAGTGATAAATATGTGTGTAGCCACCAGGTTATTTGTATCATTGGTTTCAACCTCACGAATCACGTCTGTCAACCATTCAAATTGTTTTTGAGATCGGGTAACCCAAATGAAATAGACCTAATGAAACGAAATGAAATACGGCTTAAAAATATAACGACTAACAATTCTAATAGAAAATTACAGTAAAGGGGGTTATGCTAATGGACTACTACGTGGGTTTTAACGACATTGAGATATTAGATCTTTAACAAATATCATGCGTTTTCTTATGACGATGTTACTAAATAAGATAAATTGTTATCTCTAAAAATCTACTTCAGCAAAAAATGTGGCAAACTGACTTTGTCACAGATCAAGTAAGTCAACGCTGCCAATCTGACAGAGATGCTTAATTCACTTGATATAAATTTATCAAAAAATACACCAATTATTTAACAATTGTTATGACAAAGTTTAATCAACAATTAAAACGCATGGGAAATAAAATAACTATACATCGCTCTATCATCTCACTTAGTTTTCGCGTGCTGCATGATTTAATGTTGATTTAATATCAATAGGCCACAATCGGCAAACTTCGGCAATAAAACCCGAAAGTTAATTAGCAGCAAAAATTTCCGATTAATAGTCCCAAGAAATGTTTTTCGTCGATTATACGTTATGGATTCTTAATAAAAAATAGAATAACAAAAAATCGAACTCCAAGGAAAGTTCAAAACGGCAAAATCAAAAGCTCAAACACTTCAAACGAATGGAAAACAACTGTCATATTCCTGGCTTGGTACAGATATTTTCTTATGTAGAAAATGGTGGATTAAACCTGGTTTTGATGCTAGCTAAACCCCTCACTTGTGTGACAGTCACATAGAATTCCATTATATTAACAACAATGTATGAGCAAAACAAACAGACATGATAGGTAAAAATGTCAACAATTGGGGTACAGCAGTCAACATTGTGTTATACTCTTAATCACTATAAAAACAAACAACTATATCAACAAAGAAAAACAAAATGGCATATAGACAAAGCACATAAGCAAAAACGAAAGACAAGAAAACAAAAAATGACGTTAGCACAAAAATAAAAGTTAAAAAAAAACTGTTCACAGAGGACTTCGTTTCGTATGTATGCATGCATTGGTTCAACAATTTCCTTGATATCATAATACCTAGAAATTGGATTCCTAATTTTAATCTGCTGTCGCACCTTTTCTCACTACGTTTTAAAAATGCTTGCGATTATTCCCACTTCCTGTAGCTCTGCAATCGAAATCTCTATTGCTATAGCAAAGCTTACTTTGTTCGTAACTACTTATGGAACTTAAACTTATACTACCTTAATTGACTGCAAGGGTGACATTGTATGTAAAGTGAAATTGCACCGACATTTAAGTTCTAACTGAAGAAATCGAGAGGGATTGTTAGATTTTTAAAGCAGGATAATTTCCATAAATGTTTTAAAAAGGTTACCTTTTGACATGGAAATTTTACAGGAGATTTAGATCTGTAAACAATGTCCTTTAGAATTGATGCGAAAGGTGTGACGCCAATGCCACCACCAACTAATACAGCAACGGGATATTTATACCAATCTTGATGGCCTTCGCCGAATGGACCATCAACATATAACTGAAAAGTAAAATTGCAATTATATTAAAAACATATTAATATCAATAGAAACGAATCACAATAGATTAATGGTGTCAAAGGGTCAGCACCAAAACAACACAAAAAAACTGACATATTCGTCAACGATTACATTGACATCGTCAACGATGGACAAACAAGTACCCTTGACAACACTAACTAAAAAGTCTTTTCGTACCCACTGTAGTTAAAGTGTTAATATCATCGCCAAAGATGGCAAAATCTTTCTAAATATTGATTTATCTATTTGAACCTTGATTCGTATTTAAAACGATAGTAAGGCAAACATGATAAATTCCTATAGACTATTAATATCTCGAATAACAGCCAGTGTCGCCAAATGTCAAATATCTGTTTAAGTATAATTAGAACTTGTGCAGTGTGTATGTATCATTTTATTCATGCCAATAATAAAGCCCTCTACTTTACGGTTGGCAACTTTGGTGACTTGCAGTCAACAAGCAGTTGAATAGACACAGTGGTTGTAAAATAAACGTATGATACAGATAACAAGTGCTTACGGCATGAGTTTCTGAAATATCAATTCTCCAATGAATAGCAAAAGTTTAACTGATATGTTCAATCTTTCTTCAAATGCGTACGAACATTCCTTATTTCATAGCATTGATTCAATTCAGCTGTTGAGACCTTTTGTAATTTGATTCACCTGAATTAATAATTAGTTTTTTTTGGGGGGAGGGCACATTTTCATTCTTTATTTTGTGTGATATTAAACACACAAAAACTTGTATTTCACCTCCATATGTGTATGTCCATTACCAGTCATGACTCTTTGTCATTAATCGATTTCAACACGTTTATATCTATTGAGATATTTTGTAGTCTTTGTAGAATTGATTATTTGTAAAAATGTCAGTCAATATGGTGACGGTATGCTGACCTTCGCTCGTTTATATGTGTAATATTGTGTTCCTGAATTGCTGCCTTATTGCAGCTAATACCTATAGCATGGTCGAATGAAAAACCATTCTATGTATGATGCGTGTGAAGCGCATTTCCAAATAAAATTCGTTAAGATGGTTATAGCAAAAGTATGGATTTCATCAAAAACTTTTACCAACATTACGGTTAGCAATAAAGGATCAGAAGAGAAAACAAAAATTAATAATAGGCATTTGACTTATTTGTAAATCTTACTTTGCTGAACAATTTTGTCATTTACACTTTCTTTCTTTCTATGATAATATTAAAGATAATACAGAACCCAAAACTGTAAAATTTCCTAAAATTTAACTATTTCTGGACAGTAACCCAACAATAAGTTGTCCTATTGGTCTGAAGATTACTTCAAAGGTAGATCTAAACCTGTTTAACACTTTCACCTATGTCAGTTTTGCTCTTACTGCTTTAGTTTTTGAGATGAAAGCCAAAAACTTCATTTAACCCCTATGTTCTATTTTTATAAACTGCCGCCATGTTTTTGAATGGATCAAATCCCCGAATACAATCTATAAACTAGATACCCTAAGGTTTTTAGGTATTTGGCTAAGTAGTTTCAGAGAAGAAGATTTTTGAAAAAGTAATAAGACTTTAACAAAAAATGTAAAAAAAAAACGTTTTAAGGGCAATAACTCCTTAAGGGGTCAATTGACGATTTTGATCATGTTGACTTATTTGTAGATCTTAATACTATAGAAAATAACCAAAAACAGTAAAATTTGATAAAAATAAACTATTTCCAACAGTAACCCAAATAATGGGTTGTCGAACATGTCTGAAAATTTCATAACAGATAGATCATGACCCATTTATCACTTAAACTCCGTTTCACTTTTGCTCTAACTGCTGTAGTTTTTGAGATATAAGCCAAAAACTGCTTTTGTCCCATATGTTCTATTTTTAGCCATGGCGGCCATCTTTGTTAATGTATCAATACTTCGGATACAATTTACAAACTTCATAACATAAGAAACATTCATTTAAAGTTTGCACGAAAAAATGTAAAAAATAAACGTTTCAAGGGCAATAACTCATTAAGGAGTCAATTGACTATTTTGACTTATTTGTAGATCTTACTTATCTGAACATTTTTGCTATTTATACTTTCTCTCTATCTATCATAATATTCAAGATAAGAACCAAAAACAGTAAAATTTCATAAAAATAAACTATTTCGGACAGTAACCCTACAACGGGTGGTCCAATTGGTCTGAAAATTTCATACCAGATAGATTTTGACTTATTCATCACTTTAACTCCATGTCACTTTTGCTCAAAAAAGAGGGACGAACCATACCAGAGGGACAGTCAAACTCATAGATCGAAAACAAACTGACAACGTCATGGCCAAAAATAAAAAGACAAACAGACAAATAATAGTACAGATGACACAACATAGAAAACTAAAGACTAAGCAACACGAACCCCACCAAAAACTGGGGGTGATCTCAGGTGCTCCGGAAGGGTAAGCAGATCCTGCTCCACATGTGGCACCCGTCGAGTTGCTTATGTTATTACAAATCCGGTAAATAGTCTAATTCGGTAAGTCACATTCGTGAAAAGACAAGGGTATTGTAGTTACGACATAAGGAACATATCCGATATCATCTGTGAAACGGTTATTCCATAACGGTCAACCAACTCGTGATGGCGTCCGTAAAATTTACGAAGGGATGACTTCAACTTCACCATTTGGAACTCTTGGTTTAATAGCTTCCTTGTGAGCAGCAATTCTCTATCAAGGAAATCATGATAGGAAACACAAGCCCGGGAATATCGTATCAATTGGGAGATATATACTCCGTATGCAGGCGCTGCTGGAATGTTGCTACATAGAAATGGAAAGTTCACAATTGGGAAGCTGAAATCATCTCTTTTGTCGTAAAGTTTTGTTTTCAACCGACCCTCATTGTCAATTTCTAGATGTAAGTCAAGATATGAGGCAGACTTAACTGTATCTGTAGTATCCTTTATCTCTAGTTCGATGGGATAGATTCGTTCAACATAGTCACCAAATTTTGTATTGTTTAGTGAGAGAACATCATCTATATAGCGGAACGTAGAGTTAAAGGATATTGCTAACTTCTTATCTCTCTTCCTAAGAAGCTCCTGTATGAAGTCAGCCTCATAATAATAAAGAAACAAGTCGGCAAGAAGAGGGGCACAATTGGTTCCCATTGGAATTCCGACAGTCTGTTGAAAAACACGTCCTCCAAACGTAACAAATATGTTGTCAATCAAGAAATCAAGCATCTTGATAATGTCAGTTTCAGAGAATTTTTTGTTTGAATCAGAGTGATTCTTTACAAAGAAGGATTTATCCCTCCCCAAGACAAGATACTTGTATCTACGTTCGCCATTCTTTTTAATGAAACAAAGTAATATCAACTCTTTCAATTTGTCTTTTAGTTTGGAATGGGGAATACTTGTGTAAAGTGTAGAAAAGTCAAATGTTTTAATACTATTGCAAGATGAGAGAGTCTTAGATTGTATGTACTCTAAAAGATCTTTGGAATTTTTTAGTATCCACATCTGATTCACGCCACCTCTAGAATAGGCAGTTTCACAATAACTTTGGAGCCCGGCTTTGATTGCTGATAAAATAGATGTTAATAATTTAGAAAGAGGTTTCGTGGAGCACTTGGAAGACCCAGCAATGTACCGTTGTTTGTAAGGACACTTATGTAGTTTAGGTATCCAATACAGTGATGGAAGATCCAGTTCTTCGTCTTTGGTTGAAATTCCAAAGGAACATAGAACAGACCTATGATTATCTAGGATTTCCTCTTTGGTAAGTGTCGTGAGGGTATATGTTGAGTTTCCAAGTGAATTGTCAATACCTAATTCATTTATCAAGCAGTTTATGTAATGATATTTACACACAAAAACGATGTTGTTTGGGGCTTTATCTGCGGGGACAACAACATATTTGTCATGGAGGTAGGACAAGTGTTTTGCAACATTTGGGTCTTTAAAAATTGATGTAGCGTGGGTATTGATATGCCCATATAGTTTCTTAATTCGGATTTGTATCAACGACCTCACAGCCTTAATCCATTCGGAAAGAGTATCTACGTCTTCTTTCTCGCGTTTAGCCCATTGCCTGGCATAATCCTCGACTGAATCCATCAGTATTTTGAAGTTGTATTTCCAATTGATGGATTTAGGCTCACGATATTTCGGATCTTTGGATAACAAATTTGGCAGGGAAGTGTTATCGACAATGTTGATTGTCAAACTGCTATAGTTTTGGAGATAAAAGCCAAAAACTGTATTTGACCCCTATGTTCTATTTTTAGACATGGCGGCCATGTTTGTTAATGGATTAAAACTTCGGATACAAGTTTTTAACCAGTTACCCTAAAGAAAATTCAGTTAAAGTTTAGAAGTATTAGGCCAAGTAGTTTCAGAGGAGAAGATTTTTAAATGTTAGCAAACATAATGAACAAATTGTGTAAAATTGTCTTTAAAGGGCAATAACTCCTTAAGGGGTCAATTGACAATTTTGGTCATATTAACTTTTTTGTAGGTTTTACTTTGCTGAACATTTTTGCTGTAACAGTTTATCTTTATCTTCAATAATATTCAAGATAATAATGGATCAAAACTTCGGATACAATTTATAAACTAGATACCCTAAGGACCATTCAGTTAAAGTTTGAAGGTATTTGGCCCAGTAGTTTCAGAGGAGAATATTCTTGAAATAGTTTACGACGACAACGGACGACGACGGACGCCAAGTGATGGCATAAGCTCACAAAACATTAGAAGCTATCGGACGTAAATTGTAGCAATTGGAGCTAGAAACAATAATGATATATATTAACTACCTTATAATTTATTTGCGCTCCAAATGTATTTCTGATTTAGAGTGACGATCATTCAAAAGAAATAACAAATAATGTTTAACACTATTTGATATGTATTTCTTATTATTTCCTAGTAATTTTTTCTCTATATTCAATCAGCTTTGGTGGTATTTATTTTCGTGGTGGATTTGTTTCGACCAAGATGGGGAATTATTGTTCACGATGATCAAAGCAACTAAAAACTTGTGTCGTTTTTAAAATGTGCGAAATCTATGATAATTCATTTATTTGAATGACTTTTAAAAATGTAAGAAGGTTAGATATACATTTGGATATTAAAACAAATTCTTTAAAAGTGCTGAGTCATCGACCTTCAACGAATATTGGAAAGACATTATTACATCAGAATAGATTGAGAAGTCATCGTATTTATGTATGACCAGAACAATTCGGAATTATTATGAATGCACATAGCTTTAACTTTTTTCTTTTGTATAAGATTGATTATTTTATAGTAATTTTGTTACAGCGTTTTAAAATCTACATATAATTATGGTACCGCCAACCCTGGGCATTTTTAATTTTCTCTATCAAATTAAAAATGTGAAAATAAGTAGATGTGGTATGCTTGCCAATGAGACAACTATATACAATAGACACAGTAATTAGGTTGTAAACAACTACAAAGAACTGTGGTCTTCAACATACATTTAACCTGCAGCTAGTTGTAAAAGGTCCCAGCTTGACAAATTATATGACAATGCAAAACGGAAAACAATTTGCCTGATTTACTCTTTAACCAATATATGAAAACAAATATCAAAGACAGAAATCAAAGACAACTACTGAATCGAGCTAAGCACATAATGAATATGACGGGGTTAAACATATCTGTGGGCACTCAATTCTATCATAACCTGAGACAGTGGTGACACAGCATAACAAAAGAACACACTATAAAGATCAGTTGAAAAAGTCATAAAGCATAAGTTCGACATTAAGCACATTAGGCTCCGATCTAAGAGTACTCAGGGCTACTGAAAGTTAGTTCCTATTTAATTCTAACTGATAAAAAAAAACATGTTCTTAAGAGGCTTATTGTAATTTTGAGACCCTATGATCATGTTTAAAAATCATGTAAAAAATATAACCTATATCTTAATTACCGTTTCTTGTTCATTGGTCTTACGTTGTATGTTCTTTATCCACGATTAGATGGTAGATCGGCGACAAGGTTAACTCGGAGCTTGAAATTGCTATTTCAATTATTACCAGCGTAGATCACAAGTTCATATTTACAAACGAGGCCAATCTGTATTATGAGTACCGATTGGACTAAGATAATTATTTATTTTCTGTTTTCCGTCAATACGGTTTTGCACAAATATTAGAAATATTTAGTTTGGATGGCAAGGTAATAAATTACGCTTATCAAGGATCTTTCTTGCAAGTAATGTTACAAATATTTATATGTAAAATTTATATTTACTGGTGGATATTTGTCTCCCTCTTCTATTTGATTTGCATCGTAAACTCTTCTGAGATTCGTTGTCCACGGTCCTACAGCCCTGATATGTAGACTCAAGAAGTCCTCATGAGGCGCAGATGTTAGAGTAAATGGGTGATATTCCGAATCTCCCAACTTTATACAAGCTATTCGTACCCACTGTCCAGATTTGTACTCAAAATTCAATGGTCTTTTGAATTTCAGTGCAGTCACTTCTACAAATATCAAAACATTTGTGTATGTTCCTAATATATATCATATTTCACGGTGATTTAAAGAAGCACTTCAATTAATAACGGAGATTGCACCGGAGTAATTTGAAGACAATTTTCATATAAGAAAACAAACAAATGTAAATCATTTGCGAGCCGCCTGAACAGAACAGCCTGAACTGTTTAATGTCAATTTTGCCTAAGTTGTAACGTTAGTTTAAGCACACTTACATAGTTCATTTTATAAAAATTTACAAACAAAATATATCACCATGCATTTACCGAAGCACTCGCGATAAGACGGACAACACCCTTTAAGACTGATTGTCTACCAGAAAGGATACCTAACAAAAACAAATTGTTTTAAGGAATTTATCATATACGTAAGTATTAAAAAACGATGACCGGCGGAAAATGCTGTCACTAGCCTTGAAAACAAAATTGCATGTACTTAGTTTGTCAACAAACATGTTCTTCCTCTTTTAAAAGTTTCTTTTCTTTCAATTATATTTTGTCTCAAGTTTTCGGTTCAAATAAATTGATATTTAGTTTAGTCTTCAAAAGCCTTGTATTCTATATGGTTAAGTAGGTTCCAACAAATGTCTGATTTCGACCATAAGCTCGAAACGAAACATAAATTTTTTTTCCATATTCCTTAATATTCCTCAAATGTATGCATGTACATGAACTAGTAATTGAAATAATGTCAAACTACACTTACCAGAGGGTAGAAGTTCGGCCTGTTTTACTTCAATCAGTATCTGATTCCGTGATAAACTGAATAGTTTGTCCAAAACAAACAGTACTAATGGTCCTAAGAGATAATAATGAGTAAGGGGACTCTGCACCAGTCTGCCAAGACCATGCATAATAAGGAAAATATATAGTAAGATATAAAAACTATGAGTTATCCAAAACGCCCTGAACAGGTTACGTCTGACAAACGGCATGGCGAACACATACATCACTATTACAATCAAAGTCAGAATAATTCCAGTCATTCCTAAAGAAACAGATAAATAACAATATCAGTAACAATAGATTTAAAGTAAAGCTATCAATATCTAAAAAAAAAGAACTTTATGCTAATACAATTATCACATTACAATGTGTGCTATCAAAATAAAGGGCATACAAATAGTCACCTCATAAAAAAATTCAAACAAATGCACATTTGATCAAAATATTCCATATCCCGATCGCACCTACCCATTTCCATATTCAGTAAACGCGAAATATGTGCTATAACCTTAGTTCGTCACATATTTTTAAAAATGTTCACATTATATTGATCAATAATGGACATGTAGCCTGTTGTTCAGTAGTTGCCGTTTGTTGGTGTGGTTCATAAGTGTTTCTAATTTCTTGTTTTTAGATAGATTAGACCGTTGGTTTTCCTGTTTGAATTGTTTTACACTAGTCATTTTGGGGCCCTTTATAGTTTGCTGTTTGGTGTGAGCCAAGGCTCCGTTTTGAAGGCCGTACTTTGAGCTATAATTGTTTACTTTTTACACATTGTGACTTGGATGGATAGTTGTCTCATTGGCACTTATACCACATCTTCTTATTTATATGTTTAATACTTTTTATGTTAATGAAACCATAGTGTCATGAGGGAAAATATAATGCTCCACATTTTCTAACATAGGGGGACATAAATATACATATTTTAAAGCAAATAATTGATTTAATGCTTGTAATATAAATATTAGCTTTCTTTTATGTAAACGTTAAAAAGTAAAGTTTTTATTGGACGTACCTGTTATTGTCTGGAATGCCCAGTAGTGAAAAGATGCAAGCACGTTCGTCCTGCAAGTGAAGAAGTGTAATTACTAGTTAAACCGAATGAAAAATATATAAATGATCCTAGTGACTGAATTATATAAACTACGTAAAAGATATTTTATGATATAATCATTTTTGAATTTACCTTTTAGTATGGTATTTTTGTTATTAGATTTTTCATTATGAATTTTCCTTTGACTATAACATTTAAACTAATGTAAAGATTATGTCTGCAATATAAGACATTTCCAAAAAATTGAATTGTTCTTATATTTTTGTCTGGATTCCTTGTATATTTCATGCTGTGTCATACTTTCTTCATTCAAATTTTCCGTGATATATACTTACGCCCTGAAATATTCCCTAAAATAACAGTTAGCATCAGATGATGGTTGTGTAGTGATATGGTACAAATTTATTCCATGTCCAACACAATGTACAACTAAAATTAAAAAGAAATTAAAACTATTATATTTAATTATCAATGAAACAAAAATCAATTTTAGCAATATCTCAGTAGGATATATAAATCTGGAGCTTTAAATTGAAAACAGTTCTCCAAGTAGGGGTCAAAAACATCTAAAGTAATCTGTATTCGAGTGAAACCAACCTTAAATTTGTTAAATTTTCAAAATTTGTCTGAGAATCTTTTTTAATTAACTAAATATCCAATTACTTTAGTATATCAAAATTTCCATACTAATCATAATCAACATTGGATGATGATAGTCTTCAGAGCTTACAGTCCACCAAATATTTTTGTAACATAATGATATATGTAAACAAATTAGGAACAAAGGCCAATCTTTGAAATGATAAAAATGTACAAGAGGCGCCATACCTGCAGAATATTATTATACAATAAATATCATATAACAAGGTACAGAATCAACTATCGACCTCCCAATAGGTGACCTTTGGTAAAAATTAAACAAATTATTTGGAAAAGTTAATTGTTCATGCTAAAGTATACTTTTTATCTTCTATGTCACTGTATTTTAGCAGGAATCAATCAATTTTACTCTGAAAAATTATCCATCAATATGAATTTGGGTTAAGACACGAAGATACCAGATGTTAAAAATTCCAATCTTTGGAAAGATTTTGGGATTTTTTTTTTACATTAGCCAATTATCTATACAATAAACATTGTTCCCCCAAAGGACAAGGTCAGCATAAATCTCAATACAGTCTGTTCACATGTGAGAGATATTGATTCAGGGTGACGGATATTTTTATTGAATTCGACCAAGACGCATTCACTCATAAAGTCATACACAGATATAAAATGATAAAGTGCAAAAACATTCATAGTCACAAGAGTGAATTCAGATTTTCCGAATTACAATGCACACTACAGGCGTCTGTTGAATATCTTTCGTCAAAAATAAGTGTTTAGGAAGACAAATATACGAAAAAAGGCTTTAGAAATTTTCCCTTCTTTTGGTCTCTTGTGGATGGTTAAATCATAAGTTGTCCTACCATACATCCCTATTCTTAAAAAAAAGCTCAGAAGTGTATAATTGTATAATTAAAACTTTGACTACGGGAGTTGAAAAGTATGGATCGTAATGCGCATCTGGTGTAATAGAATAGGTAACGTTAATGTTATCGCTACAATTACACAGTTAATCATCCAAAGTTTTACAATAGCGAAGAACAATTTGTACCTTTACCGTACTGCAGGAATGGCTGTTGGGTGAATTGTTCCTTGAGGGACTAACAACAGTTAACAGACAGATATTTTGATGGCTTATTTTTTTCGCGATATCAATTCATAAACTTTTCGCGTATGGGTTAAATTCACATATTAACGAAACCTTTTTCCTTCGTATTAGTATTGTTGCTTTCTACAAATCATTTTGTCACAACGATATTTTTCTTGCATTTAACGAAATCGCAAGAGGCGAAAATAAACAACATTCGAAAACCATTTCTTAAGAGCTTTGTTATTCGTTAAGGGATAAGATATTTATCTCAAATCAAACCTTATAAAAACTATATACATGTACCTGTGAAAACAAGAGCTAATGCTGCAATAAACTTATGCATAGCAATTGCAGAGTCAAAAGGAATAAATTTATGCAGAAACGTCTCCCTCAGAAATGTGATAGTGTTTCTGCTCATTGTCACTAGCAAACAAGAATATGCCCACATCATAACACTGGCAGCACCACGTGTTATTGTTACACCATATCCAGCAATTCGTCGGAGTCCACCATGCTCTCTATCCACGGAATAATCTATTGGAAATAGAAATTATTTTTACCACATAATAGCAATTGAAATGTTATCATTATCAATGCCAACCAACAGGTACTTTTTGTAAAAGGTGGAAAATAACTACATGTCGTAAATATAAATTGCAATGGTGCTGAAACTGATATAAAGCGTTTATTCTGAAACTCATTATTTCGAAGTGTTGGCTCATTTTTGTTTGTTGAAACATATATGATTTAACCTTTTACAAATAAGATGTATAAGAAAAAAAAAACTGATTTAAAAACTTACAATATGCTCTCTCTACGAATATTCCAACTGTTACTAAAGAGTATAAGGTAACCCAGAAAATTTGTAATCTGTAGTTTTCCACATAACTGATAAACTCAAACCATTTCTGTCTCAGTTTTGTTTGTGGATATTCTTTCTGTTTTGTAGTCACACGCACTTTAGATTTTCTGTTGTCTGCTTTACGGTCTAAAGTTCTGAAATGAAATTAAAGCAAACTATTAATTAAGTTTATTTTTCTATTCTTAGCTTAATTGAAATAGCTTTTTAAAAAAAAATATGAATTTCTCTCTCTTTTCAATTCAATAATTTAAATATCTAGATATGTAAACCTGGCGAAATCGGTATGATACTGTTACTTAGTTAAATCAAATACATCTAAATCGGTGTAAGAAGGAACAAATAAGTCGACTGCAGAACTGCAAAGCAATAAGAGGAAAACAAAATTAAAAGTTCGAAAATCCAAATATGAATAATAATCACCCACTTAACTCATGGAAATAATATCTTTATTGATAAGAATAAGTGGATTACCTCAGATTACTGTCTCGTTGCTAATCTAAGTACATATTTGGTGATGGCAAATTATGTTATAAATTCAACTATAAAAGTAAAATCCATGTCATTACCGATAGAAACAATACCAAAGGTTTAACTACTGTAAACGTATCATTGATAACATGTAAAATAAGTGTATTCCAAGGATCAATGAGTTTACATGCATCGTTTAGGAATTTTCGAGCTCTTTAAACAACATCATCGTCAAAAGTATTGTTTTGTTAGTTTATTTCCTATTGAAGCTTTCAATAAGTTACTGTTTTCTATGACGGATGTCAAACGACAGAGATGCTTTATTTTTAGCTAATTATATACATCAATTCATGCAAACCACTATAAAAACTAACACACAGAAGGACTGGAGAAAATGAAAAGCATGTGTCCTGCAACATAAGCGCATTTTAAACAAACTTGTTTTTTTTCTATTACGGATGAAAGCATAAATGTTATTATTTATCTAACGATACACATCAATTCATGCAAACCACAATAAAAACTAATACAAACAAAAGGACTTGAGAAAAATGAAAAGCAAATAGCATGCAACATAAGCGCACGTCATACATTATTATCTCAATGCATCACTATCAGGAAGAGGCGTGGCGACTTAACACAAAAATTTTACTGCATGCATTTATACTGTTATGCTCAAAACATAATGCATATCAATATTTTTTTTTTCCGCATTCAATAAGCAAACTTCATAAAAACATTCACATTCTATTTTTATATAATATATAGCAATATAACATGAAAGAGAGTTGATATCAAGTATGAAATATAACGCTTTCTTAAGGTGAAAATTTCCACAGAATTTCTGTAAGACAGGTTTAAATTCGTACGACCTAAAAACCATTAAATGCTATTAAATTTTGATTTCTAAAATAAATGTTAACTTGGGAATGACAATCAATATCCCATACATTTATTTTCATTGTTATCAAGTCATTTGCTCCTAGATTAGCCCTAAATGCAGTTGTAATAAAAACGTATTACCTATTCTCTTTGGAATCCGTGTTATTTCTAAACAAAGACATTAGCCAATTTGTTAATTTGCGGATGTTCATAAAAAAATGATAAAAGTAAATAGAAGTATATATTATAGTAGTTACTTTTTTATATTTCCATATGAATCTAATCTATATTTAATGAACCATGTTATATACTGGACATATTTGGAAACAGTATACAAGATGGTGCTGAACAACGTTGCAACGAACATTAGAACAGTCGTTACATTACCAACGGTTTCTTAGAAACTTAAAAAGAAGCAAAAGTAAACTCCTCACTTTAGCCTAAATGTAAAGTTTCAGTGATGAAATTAGCTTTGTTGATCAGCGTAAAACATTAGTATAGGATGATTCTTGATTAATTAACCCCTTTATCTGACGTCAGTCTTTTGTTTAAGGATATTCGATCCTCCTGTTGTTGACTTTTTGTCCGATATTCGGAATCCTCTAGTTTCATCCATGTTATGTCATAAAAAAAGCAATATTTGAAAATTTTATAAAATCCTTGTTATTTTTTCTTCGTTTTTGAAAGAAAAAAGGCGCCAATGTTAAATGTATGAAAAATCTAGAGAGAATTATTTTCCGCCAAATTTTCAATGGCTTAGATCTCGAAAACAAGCATGCAGACCCTTTATTCTTTTTTTCTGCTTTTTTAGTTTCTTTATTTATATACTATTAATTTATAACAGTCTTTTAAAAAGTAAAATACCGAACTCCAAGGGAAATTCATAACGGAAAGTCCTTTAAAAAATGGCAAAATCAAAAGCTCAAACACATCTAACGAATGGAAAACAACTGTCATATCCTGTCTTGGTACAGGCATTTCTTTATGTAGAAAATGGTGTATTAAACCTGGTTTTATAGCTAGCTAAATCTCTCACTTGTATGACAGTCGCATAGAATTCCATTATATTGACAACAATGTGCGAGCAAAACAAACAGACATAATAGGTAAAAACTTCAAAAATTGGGGTACATTGTAATATAATCTTAATCACTATAAAAACAAATAACTGTTTCAACAAAGAAAAAAGCTTTTATTTTAAAACAGAGTAGCGAACAACCTTATCAATAGATTATTTTCAAGAATCCATTGTAACCGAAGCTTATATTCTAACTTTCAACTTGAAACTTACAAACTGTTTACCTATACAAAACATACAACAGTTTCTGGGTTCGAACTTGCGAAATGATCATATGAACTAACGTCGCGTGTTGATTATCGGTTTCGAATCCACTATTTATCAATACATATATACATATACATATTAATATATTACAATAGCTCTTTGTCTAAAAAGAACATATTCCAATAACATACAAACATTAACAATTATTGAAAAAAAATTAAATAAAAAGAACAGTTTTTGCCTGTTTTTTTTTGTTTGTTTATATTCAGATAAGTATGCATTATAATTCATCGTTTATTACACCAGGAAATAATTTGGAATAATCTGAATGTATCGAATAGCTTCAGGCTATAAAATATATAAGAAAAAAGAAATCAAAGAACACGTTTTTTAGTAATTCTCATATACATTCCATTATGTTCCATGCAAAAACACACTGATGTATGCTAGAGGCTCTTCCTCACCTGGCAAAAGGTCATTTTGATATCTATGTTTACCTCTTTCGGAATCGAATTTGTTTTCAGAACCAAATTACTCATTTTCAAATGTACAGCTTTTCGAATCCATTCAAGTTATATAAAGACTAATAAATCATAGTTTCATCAGTATAAGACGATGTTTTTCTGCTTTGTAACGATCTGATGAGTTAAGCCTTTTTCAGCTAATTTTTATAGTTTGTTCTTATGTTTTTACACCACTGTTCCAGGTTAGGGGAGGGTTGAACACTCACAAGTCGGAAGCCTGTAGTGCAGTGGTTGTCGTTGGTTCATGACTGTCATTTTAGTTTTTCTTAAATTGTTTTCTTCAAAATTAGGTCGTTAGTTATGAATGACAACACGAAAATTTATAAGCGACAGTCTACAGATTATTCGGGTTAACTTAGTTTGAATTGGCCTGATGATCCAAAATATTTTAGAAAGTTTACGACGGTACAACTGTCGATAGCGGACGCCAAGTGATAACAAAAGCTCATCTGTTCCCTTGTTTTAGAAGATGAAATAAACATTTATAGAAAATAAAACATATTTCCACTACTAAATTGTCTATTCTTCTTACCAGTACACTTGGTACAATCAAAAACCTGATAATAAATTGTTTAAATAAGGCCTTCGAAAATAGTGGAATTAATTACTTTTGGAGTGTCAAGAACTCGTTGGAAGTACTTGATAAATTGCATGCATATATTGGTGATTTTGAATCTGTTCAAAGTTTTGATTTTTCTACCCTATATACCACATTGCCTCACATTCTCATTCAGAAAAAATTCACACACCTAATTAAATGGGCATTTAAAAAGTCAGAATGTGAATATATATGAGGTCATTTTTTAGTAGCAATAAACAAAAAAACTATGTCAATTGGACATGCTTTGATACTATATATGCCCTTGAATTTTTACTAGATAACATTTTTGTTCGCTTTGGAGATTCCGTATATCGTCAGGTTATCGGAATTCCAATGGGGACTAACTGTGCACCACTTATTGCGGACCCTTTTTTTGTATTGCTATGAGTTACAATTTATGACAAAAATCAGCAAAGACCCATCGAAACAACATCTGATACACAAATTTAATAATACTTTTAGATATTTGGATGATATTTTGGCTCTCAATAATGACGACTTCAGTATGTATACTAAAGAAATTTATCCTGTTGAACTTACTTTAAATAAAGCTAATACTAACAATGACCACTGCCCTTTCCTCGATCTTGATATCTATATCATTAACGGAAAGCTTAATACTAAAATATATGATAAAAGAGATGATTTTTCATTTCCTATCGTTAATTATCCATTTTTAGATGGTGACGTTCCCTTGTCACCATCTTACGGTGTTTATATATCTCAACTTGTACGATTCGCTCGTGTATGTAACAATGTTTTAGATTTTAACGAGAGAAATTTATGTATTACTGAAAAATTATTACACCAGGGTTTTCGATATCACAAACTAGTCAAAACATTTACTAAATTTTATCATCGGTATAAGGACATCATTCGTAAATATAGCTCAACATGCAGACTTCTTGTACGTTCAGGTATTTCACATCCAATTTTTTATGGAAATATTCTTTATAAAGCACGAAAATGTCAGTATTCACCTCTGAAGCTAACAAAACCTTTAAATAGACTTATTAAGAAGGGATATAGTTACGATACTGTTGTCAGGTCATTAAAGATTGCATATTTTGGCGTTAATATTGATTCACTTATAGTGTCTTTGCATCGGCACTAAACACATTTATTTAAAAACCAGTTGTTGGCATGACACGGGTTATGTTCTTCTCATATATGTTATGATGGTATGATACTAAACCCCTAACGGGAAGGATTGTGCCTGATATTCATATGATGAAGACATAATCTTTCAATCAGTTTAATTGAAGTCTGGAGCTGGCATGTCAGTTAACTGCTAGTAGTCTGTTGTTATTTATGTATTATTGTCATTTTGTTTATTTTCTTTGGTTACATCTTCTGACATCAGACTCGGACTTCTCTTGAACTGAATTTTAATGTGCGTATTGTTATGCGTTTACTTTTCTACATTGGCTAGAGGTATAGGGGGAGGGTTGAGATCTCATAAACATGTTTAACCCCGCCGCATTTTTGCGCCTGTCCCAAGTCAGGAGGCTCTAGCCTTTGTTAGTCTTGTATTATTTTTAATTTTAGTTTCTTGTGCACAATTTGGAGTTTAGTATGGCGTTCATTATCACTGAACTAGTATATATTTTTGTTTAGGGGCCAGCTGAAGGACGCCTCCGGGTGCGGGAATTTCTCGCTGCATTGAAGACCTGTTGCTGACCTTCTGCTGTTGTCTGTTCTATGGTCGGGTTGTTGTCTCTTTGACACATTCCCCATTTCCATTCTCAATTTTATTATTTAAACTAAAACTAATACGTGTGTAACATACCGGTAGCTCTTTATGAATGTCTTTCTTCTCTGTTCAAATCTTGCTGATTTATTTTGTTTCAAATCTCCAACTGCGTCAGCTGTCAACATAGGAATCATATATCTTAGTCTTTCGACAAAGATTCTCAAACCCTAAATCTAACACTAAAATAACTAGGTTTGATAAAGTTTATGATGAAAACTAAATATTTAAGCAAATAAGAGATTTATAGAATATAAGTTTCAGGTGCGAATACACATGTATTAAACATTTCCGATGTTTGACTATTCTTTATATGACACTAATACTTCTCAGAAGCAAAGGGAGTGACTTACTTCAGATTATGATTTAGAGTAAAATTCATGATTTCAGAAATAAATAAGTTGCATTGACCTCAAATGTGGGCCTGTTTGAAAGATAATACTGTATATTGTATTAACATTTTGCCGTTTTTCACTGAGACAACTGTAATATGTTTCTTGAGGATATTTGCTGTTTCAAAATAACAAGGTTTTTAAAGACTGTTTTAAATTGATAGTATATAAATGACCAAACTAAACAATAGCCGAAACAAGTAAAATGTTCGTGTCCTTGTTTTTGAAAAAAAAACCATTAAACATTAAGCGCGAAATGATTCGCTCAAGATTTTTTATAAATCGCTTTCTAGACTATATCTTATATATTTTTAAAAGAAAAGAATAGGTCAGCAGGCAAAATTTGTAATGATACTACATGGATAAAACCAGAGGATTCCAAATATCTGACAAAAAGTCAAAAACAATATAGGCGAACATCCTTAAATGGTGGAGTGATTAATTCTCGTGTATCAAAATTACTACTACAAACATTTGATATTACAAGACTCAGAGTGGATTAATTGAGATATCAATGTTAGGGATAGTTACATGTGATATTCAGTGTAGCATTTTGAAGAGTGCTTCCATATTCTTCAGAGGCAAAAATCTTCTTAAAACTCTCGAATCCAATCTTTTCTGCTGGTGACAAACCGGCTGATGAATACATAGTATCTATCAAATTATTGAGGTCTTTCTGGTCAATGGATGTGTCTGACAGGTCAAGAAGCGACCTACAAATTATGAGGCGGCTTAAATTGAATCTAATACTCTCAAAATGTACAAAATCATTTGTATTCTTTTGATAGAATGTATTCAAAATGAGTTTTGTTTTTACCTTAAACATAATCAGTATTATACTAAATCATTTTACACTTTACAAGTCAATTCTTGTTTGATACTTATATTTTTACATCCTTGCCTTTAAAATGGTTGGCTTTGGGCAAGGAAAATTTTGAAAAGCGCTTATAGGATATGGCAGGTTTTTTTTTAACTGTTTTGTTGACTGATAGCGTTTGATTTTGTCAGTTTTTATAGAGTTCGGTATTTTTGTAATATTTATAAATTGTTATAAATTCTTTATTGGGGGTATAGTCAAAGTTAACTTGTAATTTGAATCTGACTGCCAGAAAATGTTTAAACTGCGAGCCAGATGGACCAAACTTGTGAACATTTGATCTGAATAGATCAAAAGTTTTATATCATACATTCCCCCTCGCACTATTATCTTATCTGGCATTTTTTTTTAAATCGCCTTATAATACAAATATGTATTAAGATTCAAGTTGATGCAAGCACAACTTCATGGTAAACCCTTTAAACCTAAACTTAAACTTGATATGCAACGGATGAACGGACGATATAGCTGAAAAATGGCAATACAGACAAGAATTTTTTATGACCTCTCCTTTCGTATATGCATAAAATAGATATTTTTTTATTTACTTTAACATTTTGCTGAAATCTTGTCTTGTGAGATGCCCTTGCTTTTTAATGTCATACATATTGAAAATCATCTGTGCTTTTTCTTCGGCATCACCTATAGAAAAGAAAAGTATGCACTACTAAAGATAGGGGTAGACACATGTTTTTGTTGATTCGTTAATCATCGGCTAACTACTGTCGCCATGATGTAATATTTGTTGCCTTTTTTCTGCAGAATTATAGTCGATGAAAAAATATCAATGATTGACTTTCTCTCATTTTACAGTATATTTAAATTATCTGAAATATAAAAAAAATTGAGGGCAATTATTTTTAAAGGTATGCAATACTTGAAATGTTTTATTTATTCAAATGTTCGAGTTGAATATAGGAATGGTATATACACTGTAATAAAGGAAGTACAATTTAAAAAATATTATTATGATATGGTCATATTTCAGCACACAAGATAAAAACATTATAACCAGATTGACGGCTTTCAAAATAATAATTTCACTATACCAGCTGCTAAAATCTGAAAGAGATCTAGAAATTCTTCAAATCCAACAAATCCATTTTTGTCTTTATCAACCATAAGAAACATGTTTCGTACAAACACTGATGTGGGTTTCAGACCAAGTGCTTCAGAAAATTCAGTACGTGTCAGTTGAATGTTTCTAATCTTGTTTAGTTCTTCCAGTTGTATGTTATGACCCATGTCTACATTAGATCTTACATGTTTAAATCCCTGTAAAATGTTTATACTGTTAATTTATTTGTTTAAATCTACATCTCAATGAAATTAGAGCAACATAAAAATCATGCAAAATAATGAATTGAGTGGATTTAAAAAAAGACTTAGGGATAATTCATGTCATTTTATTCGAAACAAACGATTTAAAAAAAAAAGATAAATATATTTACATATTTGTGGATTTTCTAGACGTTTTAATGAAATATACTTACTGTACTGTCAAGGGACATCTCTCCTGATTAACAAAAAATTAAAAAGGTAAGGTCATGAGGATAATATGGCAGTTCTATGAAATCACCAGTCAGGACTTGACGATAGGGGAAATTATGTAATAGGAGGTGTGTGTGTGTACGTCATTGAGACAGTAACCCAATAAATAAAGGCAACAGTAGTATACCGCTGTTCAAAAGTCATAAATCGATAGAGAGAAAACAAATCCGGGTTACAAACTAAAACCGAGGGAAACACCTCAACTGTAAGAGGAAAACAACGGAACAGGAGAAACACTGAAGTGCAACAAAAACAAACGCCAACATTCATACATGTAGAAACGAACTATTAGATAACAACTGCCATATTCCTGACTTGGTACAGGACATTTTAAGAAAAGATGGTGGGTTGAACCTGGTTTTATGCTAGCCAAACCTCCCGTTTATATGGCAATGTTAAAAAATATCGCTAAAATGACAACACTACGTGACAGAAATACAGCACAAACAAACGCAAGAACACTCAGCACAGAGAAACGCACAAATAAATAATATAATAGTCGTTACAACATGTAATAACGATAATATAATACAGACATCCAATAACAGTTAACCAATTCATGATGATGTAGGTAAAACTTTCGAAGGGATGACTTCAAGTTTATCTTAAGAAATCGATTCAATGGCTTCCTACTAAATAACAACACTCTATCAAAGAATAATGACCGGAAACGCAAGCTCGGAAATATCGCATAAGCTTAAAGATATAAACTCGCTAGAATGTAGATTCACAGCAAATTGAAATTTCACTGACGAAAAGCTGAAATAGTCGCTTCTAAAGATGATCCTTAATTTCTACAAAGTTATTTTGGAAAATAAGGAAAAAGCTTTTGAATCTGTACTGTTGTAAGAAGCTGTTCATAAGAAACACAAAAATGAAAAATGAAAAAGCAGCATATGAATGAATAGGGTTAGATATCGCTGATGAAACCCTAGAGAATTCAATCTTAAAAACAAAACATTTACGAAAATGCATAATGGAAACCCTAAAAAGGAACTGGGCCTGAACGCATTGTCATAGACAATGAGTCTGCATGTAAATTTCGTCAATATCAAAATAGATCCCATTTTGTTATAAGTAACAACATTTTAATATTTGAAAAAGCATTGGCTGAAGAGTTCATAAATTGGGCCACCTGAGATCATCCCCGATTTTTAGTGTCGCCTAGTCTTTATTTTTCTATGTTGTGTTTTGTGTATGTGTGATGTTGTTTGTCTTTTCGTCGTTTTTCGGGGTTTTTTTGCCATGGAACTGTCATTTTGTTTTCGACTCATGAGTTTGAATATTCCTTTGATATATTTCGTCCTTTTGTTTTGCAAGGAAACGACAGAAAGTAAAATTTCCAATTAATCAAGGTCCATAACTCATATACGGTAGAAGGGAAAATCCTCAATATCGAACCTCCAACATTTTTTTTCATCAGAAACAGCATATTGAAATTTGAAAATCACTGGTTGAACAGTTATATATTGACTGCCGACTGGCAATCGTACTTCACCAGTTAAATATTTGGATTTTTTTCTTCGAAAAACATAACATCATAATAAATAGTTTTCTTGAATTGCTTATATTTTAAGTATTTTTTATCAAATCTTTATTTTGGGGGATCTGTTTGTAAATTAAAAGTTAAAAAAATAAGTGATATCATTTTGTATTTTTTTATATCGATAGTATTTCGAAAAAAATATGAATGAGTGTTGATTCGCATGGCTGGTGATTCATGCAAAGCATGAGATCCTTATCATATTGATACACCTGGTCTCGTGCCTTTTGGAGTTCATGCTATTCCTTTAAATTTTGTTTGTTACCTTGATTTCCAATGCATAATCATTTTTTTAGATATGAAAATCGGTAAGCTTCTGTTTACAAAATCCGAAAGTTGTTCCGATTTTGTTTGTTATTCCTGTAGAGATTGTGCTGATTATATCCGAGTATAATGGGGAATTACAGATCTGGCTTTCGTTTTGTTACAGATGGTCTGCTGTTCAAGAAATGGAATTCAATAGCTTGTTTAAGGTGTTTTATTTGTCTATCAGGTTTTTGATTAAAAGGGTAAATTGCAGTTCTAACAAAACTAATTTAACCTCATCACATGTTGTCAATTGGAATTTGTTGTTATTAGTGTCTTACATTTTGGCGTCTCATTTAAGGTCATTTTAATATATCAGATGATGATATAGAATCGGCTGTCTTTTGCATAATAACAAATTTTGCAGTCGGATTGGTGTCAAATTGACATAAACCTTAGATTTCATTCATATTAAAATGAAAAGTTAGTGAGAATGCTTGTACAGATGTTAAAAGGTTAAAACAATTTTTCGACTAAATCAATGTTCTCTGAATATAAAGTTTACTTTGGAGATATACAGTTGTGATAACTCAAATAACTTCTGACACTGTTAAAAAGATGTGAAGCTTTATAGAAAAAGAGCTATCATTTTATATACATCAAATGATTTTTAAAATCAAATCCACTAGAAATTGTAATAAACTGTTACAGCATCAGATGAAAAGCATTACTTCTAGAATCTTTTTTTTAACTTTTGATTAACAGGCTAATGTCATAGCAGAAGACATTGAAATATCTAGTTTATGACGTGACATACCTGCAAGCAGACAACACGGAAGAATGTGTCTAACAATTCTTGTCTTTTCTCTTTTGTATTAGCTTCATCCATTATGGTCTTTTCTGTAAACTGATGTTTTTCACGATTGATTTGTAGGTCTCTTAAAAACCCTTCCAATGCCATTGTAAATCCCTCTCTTTCTTCCATGTCATTAAATTTGAGAATCTGTGCCATTAAAATGTGATCGTAATTAACGAGATAACTTAATACCAGTTTTTCATAAAAGAGAATATTAAAAACTCATCAAAGATACCAGCCTTATGATTTGGTAAGAAAGACGCGTGTTTCGTCTAAATACGACTATTAGTAACGCTTAAGTCAAAACAGTTGGAAAGTCAAATCATATTGAAGATGAAGAACATTGAAAAGCAAAAATTCTGAAAAACTTCTCCTCATACGGCTCAGGATTTATCTGCTGAGGGTAGAAAAAACCTAAGTGTTTCGGGTAATATAACATTTTATGAACATTATATTTACAGAAAATGAACATTTCATTGATATTCATGTCAACACAAATGTGCTGACTACTGGGCTAGTAAAAAGGTAAGACACTATGTTTACTGTTCGAGATACACAAAGGACAAGACTTATGAAAATTTAAATAATTTTAAAATAAAAAAGATGTAGAAACAATTTTCCACCAGAGACCAAATGACGTAGAAGTTGGTAATGGTCATCCTACGGTCTTCAACGGTGAGAAAAACCAATACCGCTAAGCAAGAAATAAAAGGCCCCGGAATGACACATTAAACAATTCAAACTAGAAAACTTACTGCCTGATCTTTGTACAAAGCAATAAACGAAAAATAAATATGATATACAACAACAAACGACAGCCAATGAATTACAGGCTCCTGACTTATGAAATTCACATACAAAATGTGGCGGGTTAAAAATGTTTGCGGGCGCCGAACCTTTTACATAACCTGGGACCATAGTGTAACAGAACAACACGTGAACAAATTATTAAAATTATTTGAAAAACTTGACTCATCAGATTGAAACAAAACACACAAAAAAACTAACAAAAGCACTTAGACAATAAGTATAGATCTGAGAGCACTCACAGTGACTGAAAGTTAGTTTAAAGCCAATAACAACTAATGAAAAATAATGTATCTAAGATAAAATAGCAATAAATACATACCCAATTAATTAGTCGGAGAAAAACATGATCAATGCCAAAATATAAGTATCGATAGAATGTAGGACCGTAAATGTTCACAACTGTTTAGCAATAATATTTAGTTATGTTATAATTTTTTATTCATTAATAACAAAATCATTGTTTTAACGATAAAACAATATTTAAAAATCATATTACAGTGTTAAATTCATAACCTTTCAGAATACGTTTATTGAAACGATAAATAAGTTTACACTCATCGGATCTAAATTTTGTACCGGCTCTTTTAACAACATAACCGTAAAAAATCGGTTGTGGTATCCCGTTTTTAATAAATTTTCTACAGGTACAGCCACACTTCCGAACCAAATCTTTTTTTCTACGAATAAATTAAGTCAAGTCATTAGTGGTAACGAAATCAACGATTTGATAACTTACCAGTGATACATAGATTACGTTCATTGAAATCTAAAACGTTACTACAGCCACCGACATAGCGAACGAGTTGGGATATATATACACCATTAGATGGTACTAAAGGAACGACGCCGTGCAAAGTAACGAAAATTAACAATAGGGAACTAACAATCGTCCATTTTGTCGTTACTTTTGTATAGATTTTCCCGTGTGTAACTGATATATTTAAATTCAGAAAAGGACAGTTATTGCTGTCTATATGTGATTTTTTAAAGTAAGTTCCTCTAGGTAAATTTTGCCAGTATGTTTAGAGAATTCTTGGTTAATACTTTGTAAAAAGTAAAGATTATTTTAGATATTTATCAGCAAAGTTGAAAAGATGGTGCCATGAATTTATTGCTCGTGGATAAAATTACCAAATCTATTTCTCCAGGTAACCTCACAGAAAGCATGTTGTTTTCATGGTCAGTTGATATTCGGAAATGAACCTTCTGAGCAGTCCCCTCTATACGTCTAAAATCCAACATCCTAAGTGGTTTTCTACGTAAATCATTTACATGAATCTTCTTTCTCTCTTTGTCAAATACTATTTTATCTGTTCTCTCTCCGTTTTTAGGTCCAACCCATTCAACAACTAAATATAGAACATTAATTAAGTTATAAGTTAGAAAGTGTAAGCATAGCATGTTCGAAATACTTAAAGACATGAACGTTTATACACTACCAATACATTTCTAAGTGTTCTGTACGGTTTTTGATCCTTTTAAATGCTTATTGTGTATTACTTTCAAACAAGCCTTTCTCATGAAAGCTATTCAAGAAATACGTGTCATTGGCACTATAACCTGTAATATATAATACTATTATTTTGAAATACATAAATATAGGCTATTATACGAAATATTTAATATTTTTTTAAATACATCAAAGAGGCAATGACATTAAAAGATTATAACTGATCAGAATGAATAAAAGGGGTTATGAGGTAAACATCAATAAGAATTAAATCGGAGAACAAAAATAACTGAATTTATTTGAGTGCATTAATTAAATGTAATGCATATTCATTCCCAAAGATTAAATCGTAATGGACTTGTCATTTTCTATGTCGATTATAACTCAAAATTTTTTAAACAATAATGTTCACACTATAATATATAAATTATGTTACCAGTAAAAGTATTTGGATCAGCAGTTTTTTGTCGTTTTGGTGCAAGTCTTTTTCGAGCTTCAGCAATTTCTTTCTGTTTTCTTTTGTTTAGGAATAACATTATCCCGATTGTAGCTGAAAGGGAAACAGTTTCGTTGAACTGTACAAACATTAATTTTCTTCATAATTATAAATATGTAATAAGCATTGATAATTTTCATTGTAAGCACTATTAAACAAAATATATTTATTTCAATTACATTTGCTGTATAAACATAGAGTGGGCCTGTTTCCGTCTGTTGTATTCAGCATCTAATACCGAGAATATGTAACATCATATCACTGTTTTCATACTTTGCTCATTCCAGACAATATGAATATTTGCACTATACACGTGTGATGCGCATCTATATACGTCTTTCAGTATTATAAGCAAGTTCAGTAGTCATATAGAAGAATTCATATCATTGAGAATAATATAAAAATAAGAAGATGTGGTATAATTGCCAATGACACAACTCTCCACCAGAGACATAGAATAACATAGATGTTAACACCTATAGGTCACCGTACGGCCTTCAATAATGAGCAAAACCCATACCGCGTAGTCAGCCATAAAAGGCCCCGAAATGACAAATGTAAAACAATTCAAACGAGAAAACTAACGGCCTGAATTATGTACAAAATAATGAACGAAAAACAAATATAATATACAGCAACAAACGACAATCACTGAATTGCAGGCTCCTGACTTGGGACAGGCACATACAGAATGAGGAGGGGTTAGACTAGTTTGAAGGCGCTAACCCTCCCCTAACCTGGGACCGTGGTGTAACAGTACAACATAAGAAGAAAATATACAAATCAGTTGAAAAGGGCTTAACTCATCAGATCGATACAATAAATTCATAAAAGAGCCAAGATTCTATTATCCAAAGTTTTGAGGATTGTACATCGGTTTTATTTTATTCTTGATAAAATATTTGCTACTCTTCATCTGATTCGTGTATATTTTCATCAATTATCACAATATTTTGAATCAAATTTCCAAAGTAACATTTGTAAAAGAGAGATGAAAGATACCAAAGGGATATTCAAACTCATAAGTTGAAAACAAACTGACAATGCAATGGCAAAAAAATGAAAAATGACGAAAATACAAACAACAGTACACACAACACAGCATAGAAATTTAAAACAAGCAAAACGAACCCCACATAAAACCGGGGATGATTTTGTAGAATTGTATTCTTACAAATCATAACAGCTCCTAGTATGGAATTTATGAGTTTTGATTAATAAGTGAAATGATGCTAGTTTGAACGACCGAATGAAAATGTATACCAAAGCTGTTTGACTTGGTCGTTTACAAATGATGTTCTTTGCCTTTTTAAAACTGGTAATAGTATTCAAGACGTTTAATATCATTATCTTGTCTTTATTATATTATATTATAGAATAGAAAACATTTAAATTGTTATAGAAATGCTTCCCTAAACGGCTGTTAATAGTTTTTAGTGCATGGCACATGTTTTGAGGATGTTTGACTAGCAGTTATGGGTTGACCACCTCCTTAAAGATTGGCTAATACTGTCTCTAGCATAGTCAATTGATTGCCTATATGAACGGCATATAACATCACGCCCCAAATGCAGTTTTTATTTGAAAGCATAGTTAATTTAACTATGTCCTATAAAATAACTTATTTTTTAACTAGACCTTAACTATTACCAGCTTTGACGTGTGTCTGAAGTTGAATGAATGTAAAAGTTATTTATTGCTATTTATTGTAGACGATGAAAGAAAACATTTGTAAAGCTATCAATGGTTATGTTCGTGTGTGCAATCAATTATAGGATAACTTATAAGAAATATACTTGTGTACTAGCCTTTTTCTGGTAAAGTGCTGAAAATGAAAATAATAATATTACAATGAAGTATCTCACTTACCAGGGACACATAGTCCCAGGAAAACAAATGTTAATGGAAAAGAAACTTCACTTCCAGAGAAATAATCATAGTGTTGTAGTCTGGTGCAATTTTCAATGGTTATTGTCGAATTGACCATCTGGTTTGAGTCTGCCTTTAGTTGTACTGGTTGCGGACATGGGTCATCTAAAATAGAAATACATAGAGACCTAAAAGGCTATTCAATATACTTACAACTTTAATTACATAAACGAATATATACAAAAGTACTTCATCAACTACAATAAATAATGAAAACATAACTTTATAAATGACATGAAGTATGTGCTCATATGAAATTCCATAGATTTCCTAATGTAGAAAATTGTGAATTAAACCTGGTTTTATAGCTAAAAATACCGCGTCATGAGAATGTCAGTTGTATATCTACGGATTATGATCTGCAAGAATTGATCTTACATATACGTTGATCTCTTACAGAGGGTCTAACCAAACAGAGATAATTGGATTTGGTATGTTGAAATTGTTTAAGAAAACGTCTGAACTTTATTGAACAGCGTACAACATTTCGAGGATAAACATGAACGAATATATTTTACTGGTAAATATTTCTGAAAAGATACATGGTTTTTCTATCTTTTAATCGGAAATGGTTAAAGATAACAGTAGCTTAAGTATAGTAAAATTAATTAAAGAGAAAATCGTTCCGTTTAAAAGACGTTTGCCTACTGTTCATACGGAAGAAAATCAGTAGGGCTTAAACTGAACTTTTAAGCCAATTTTATTATCAACATATATCAAATTTCGAGAGAAAGACGTCCTGTTTTCACGAATTTTAAGGCTCTTGTTCTTAATATATCTTCTTCCGTTTTCATATAAAAAACAAGAGACGCAAATAACGGATAAAAAGTGCAAAACATTTCACTGTAAAGCTTTGGGAACGTATCAAGCATCTTTTTGTTTTCATATTTATTTTATCACATTTTCATTATCTCCTGTCAATAAACGTAGATACTTTTTGCAGTTTTGAGAATTCTTCGGTTCATAGGTAAATAAATAAGGAAAAAAACCTAAATATAACTATCTCTCTTCTTAATCCTTGACCTTGAATTGACAGCAATTGCACCGTTATAATGTTCGATTATCGAAAATACATATAAAAAGTAAATAATCATTCGAAATGTGTATGTTACAGTTACAGTTACATGAAGCTTGATCATTTTAAATTAAATAATTTGCCTAGTGTCACCCCACTTTAACACGCAAAAATGAAACAGGAAAGTTAGATAATTCTACAATGAAAAATGAGTTTCGTTAGTCTTCGCTAAGATAGGAAAAACTATTAAGTGATTTCCCCGTCTCATGTCAATTAACATAGATACTTATTAGTGTAGTATTGAGATTTCCTCGCTCCAAAGGTAAATAAAAACAACAACAACAACAACAAAATGCAACCATGTCATTGTATACACATTCGCTTTTTAAAAAAGATATTAATGGATATACACCGTTAGATATACTAATAATTGCAAAGAACTTTGGCTTATAGATTTTTTTTCAGACATGAACACATGTAGTTAAGATATATAAACTGACTGTTGATATAACTGCAATCTTTTTCTTCTCGGGACTGACAAAAAGAAATTGCTAATTTCTATGATAGTTTTAACTTTCTTTTCAGTTGTCGATGATATGCATTTATACATGCGGTAATAATTCTGGAAGACAAGTTTTTAAATCCGTATATGATAAGTCTGAACTTTCAATTTTCATTATGTTTTGCGAACTTTTAAATTCAATACAGTTCTTTTTTTTCATGTCTATTTTGAAATTATGAATTAATTTTATTAGTGATGGGTCGGAAATAAGAAACTGACATTTCTCAACATTATACCTTGATTTGAAGGCATATTCAACGTACTAATGGTTGATAATTACCGTGTGAAAAAAGGAGGATCATATAAAGTCCAATCGAAATGTGTCAGATACAGTCGTATGTTCGATTTAAGTATTTCTGTTGAACTGATTTGCCTAGTGTCACTCCACTTTAACACCAAAAAATTTAAATTGGAGAGTTTAATAATTCTACAATAAAAAGTTAGTCTCTTTAGGCTTTGCTGAGATAGGGTAATAAATGAAAAACAGTTCAATTGATTTTCTAAAAATATGAAGAAGGAAAACATTGAAAAGATACTGTAAAATTAAAACAACACAAAGAACTTCGACAACAGATGCAGTCGGAAAACTTCGTGCAAAACGACCGTATATGACCGCATATCACTATGATTTATGCATATCATATCTGAATATAACTATACTGAGATCGTGTGACAAATGTCTTTGTATATGTTTTATTATGGTAAATGACAACGGAAATGATTTTGGATTTGTTTTGAAAATTACTTTTGTAAATACGAAGTTCTTACCGAAACTTAGGAAAACATCACTTGGAAGTTCGTCACTTTTTATTCTCGTCACTTTCAGAATGATGTCTCTCAAAGTTACGTTGTTGATTTTATCAATCGTTGCGTCATCAAACTGGCGAAATCTAAATAAATTCGAAATCAACTGCTCCTTTAACGTTTGAAAAGATATGGTTAACTAAATATCTATAGTGCTTTGCTTTCTTGTCGCTTAATCTTCTTTCGAAACAAATAAGTTATTTTTTGTTGTGAATACAAAGGAATAAGATGTTAAAATATGTTTTCGTTGCGTTAGACGCAAGTTTTTTCATTCATATCTTCAGGAATTGTTGATATATTTTAAGACGAATGGAAATTTACATTCAGCAGAAGACATCATTCCAAGCGGAAAAAAAAACATTTGGGTTCATTTATACTTCAAAATCAATCTCAAAACAATCATACTTGTGATAAATTCAATAAACGTTATAAATCATGTTTTACAAACGGTGTGTTATTAGAAAGCAATATTTCAAACAGCCTTGCTCTGGCCTTTTATCCTATCTATTCAACTTATATGCACGGAATATTCCAAGCTTATATTCAAAACTAAAGTAAATTCAAACGTTTTGTAGCTGTTGAATGTGTGATGTTCAAAATATCATTTTCGTATTTGATTAGTGCTTGAAGTGAATCATTATTGTGTCTAAAAAGGTTTAAATAATAGATCACTTCGGCAAAAGACAAACAGAATCATTGATTTATAATGAAAAAAGTTGAATAACAACTCCCCCGCGGAAAGCAAGAATATGGCAATCATAGTATATGTCCAAAAAAGTTGACATGTATAGCTGTTCTTCTCTATTAGAACTTTGGATTTTGATTAGCATCTGGGGACTTTTACAATTTCTGCATAATCTAAAGTTTTTAAAAAGTATGCATTCTGAAATGAAATATACTCTGAATATAAAATAAGGAGACGTGGTATGATTTCCAATGCGACAACCTTCCACCAGAGTTCAAATGACGTGGATATATGGCGGTATTAAAAAATGAAAACAACACTTTTTTAAATTTCGTGCGTCTGGAGCGCTTTTTTTGATTTACCTTCATCAGGAACTCAAAGCCGAATACATGAAAGCTAAGGATGTATTATAACAGTTGAAGAGCTATATGACCAAAAAAGACCTAAAATAATGGACAAATTCATCTAAGGTCAACTTTGCCGGATGGAGTTGAAACCTTTGTTTATAAACGGAAAATTTAAGAAAGGTATGTTATAAATCATGTCAATTTTGATGTACTGACTACTAAGCTAATGATACATTCGTGGACTGATAATCCCCAGCAGAGATAAGAAATGTAATAAATGAACACTTTATAAATGTCATGCGTCCGACACACTTTGTTGGATTTAAACATGTTTATGAGTGCTCAACCCTCCTCTAAGTTGGGACAGTCGTGTAACAGCACAACATAAAAACAAACTATAGAATTTAGTTTCAAAAGCTTACCTCAATAGATCGGTACAAAGCACACAAAAAAAACAACTGACTAACATAAAACGTCACCAGTGAGTAGAATATGTTTTTCATGTACACATGTAATTACATTAATTTACTATATAAATAATCATTACCTTTCATCTGTATTTTCATACCAAAACCTATCCCCATGTCGAATGCGTAAGAACTGATCAAGAATTATGTTTCTGAACAATGGCCCTGGTCCATCAAATGTTGTTTCTAACATTCCTCCAACAAATAGATCAAGTTCGTCAGGTGCTGAACTGTTGCCATATAAACTCCGTACTCTTTCAATTGCCTTATGATAGTAAAAAATACGATAAATGTGTATATAACTGAAATACTTGATACTCATGTCTGCACGCTTCACTGTTGGAACCTACTCAAGTCTGTAAGTTAAAAAACTATCAATCCATATTTCAATTTGATTGACAGTGATAAATAACAATGTGCCAATACTTTATCTTCTAAATCAATTGGTATTTTGTCTGCAATCAAAGATTTCTTAAATGTAACTAAAAAATTTAAAAACGAAGGGGACTATTTTTCAGATATACTGTAAAAATTTAAGGGGAAAAAAAACAAAAATAAACATGAGTACAACGATTCACTTCGAAATTCCAGATATAGCTTATTAAAGTTAATACTCTATGCTCAAGAAGAGAAAGGTTAAGAATCAATGAAGCTTCCTTTAGGGTCCTCAATGCTCTTCAACTGCGTACTTTGTTTGGCCTTTTTAATCTTTTTTTAATTCGAGCGTCACTGATGATTCTTTTTAGACGAAACGCACGTCTGGCGTACAAAATTTCAATCCTGGTATCTATGATGAGTTTATTTAAAAGACATTTTGTAGTTTACTCAATACTAACATCGATTAGGCTTTTATTGATTTTTCCACCATTAACAGTTTCGTTGTTGATGCCGTTCCAGTCCACACGAGGTAATCCATATGCCTGTCTGATGTCGTTATATCCAGGAAGACCATGATCTCTAGCTCTCTGTATATTTAAAGCTGCTAGATCGCGACGAGAAAAATCCAAAGTTCCAAATAAATGTTCTTAAAAAAAAATAGATGTTTTTTTTATTTTTTATATCAAAAATAGGTAAAAGGAATGTTAAGCAAAAAAATGGTTAACATTTTTAATACTCGGAGAAATTGCGTTCACATGGTTCATAAAGGTATACAAATATTTAAAGGTTGTAACTACCGCTAATACAATCGAATCAATATGGATGACTTCTTTGATTACCAAAATATTACAACTTTTCATAAGACAGAGATTGTACAAAAGACAACTTATTGTACGGACGGACGTTCAATTACAATAACTTTGCCCTCTTTCCAAAAAGGAGGAACAATCAAGCTGTCAGTATTCGTATTTGATTTATTTTTTTCCCATACTAGTGATTTATAGAGACAAATGATTAAGAATTTTGAATGGTAATTATATATAAACCATGGATAATCGAATTTCTTGTTATGTGTTCCAAAGACAAATCCGAATAATTCTCATGGTGTTTATTTAATGGATGAAAAATGCTGACGACCAAAGAAAGAGCTATTTACTTAATTGACGTACCCTCACAAACATTAAAACGGTATAATGTCGAACTTAAATACAATAAAAATTAAAGACACAGTGCATTCACATCATTTATCATTTGCTTAAAGCGTAAAGCGTACGTGATATTCGTGTTTATTGGAAAATGAAAGACACTAAATTACCTCTCAAATCAGGAACTAAAATATGGTCTTCCTGTTCGCTTATTGTAGATGTCATCCCACGTATGAGTCTATCTATATGAGGTTCAACTGTTTCCTATAATATCAAATTATTGAACGACTAAGTTACATTTTACCATAAAGGTGTTGGTACTTCGCAGTATCAGTAATTAAAGTCAGCTTTTATTTTGTGTTTTTCGTGATTTTTAGTGAAACTGACAGTTTTTATATTTTATCAGAAGTATTTATTATTTCTTTTCAATTTCGGGTGGTTTTATTTGGGTATCAGTTTCATTATCACAATATAATGCAAAATAGAAGCTATATACAGGGAATAGTTTCGTTCCGAGGGTCACGAAAAAGGGACTGCGAGTCGAAAATGTCACATGAAATCGTTAAAATAACAAATTAACAGAATCGTAGCCTTACCAATAAGTCATAATTAAGTTGTTGAGCAATAATTTCAAAATGGCGTATATATCGACTGACACAAGTACATTCGCATCATACGAGGACGCGACAACGAAAAATTAAATAAGCATGTAATTTAAGAAAGAAAAAGAAATTGGAGGCCCAAAAGTATGTGCTGCACTTTATAAATATAGCTGGTTCACAAACCACGCCTCTTTTGGATGATATTAAATATTCATAAGATATTTCGGTTTTCTTTCACCTACAGGCTTCTTAATTTTAGTATATATGTAAGACTCTGAACCGCGATGGTCACGCTGATGTGCGATGTTTTGACGCTGAAGTGTGTTTTCGGCTGTTGTCTGCTCTATGGTCGGGTTGTTGTTTCTTTGACACATTCCCCATTTCCATTCTCAATTTTATTTTGATCACGCTGAAGTGGGATGGTTGCATTGAGACGCTATCCTGTTGATAGCTACGCCGAAGTGCGATGGTGGTAGCGCTGACGTGCGATGGACTTAATAAACTTTATTTTCAATGCTTTCCATGTTGATGTAGAAGTTAATTTGTTTGATCACGGTAGAAGCAGTTTTTTCGGGTTTTTGGGTTAATAAGGGGCTTATAAACTTTTATTACTACGGGAAACGAGGAATGATTGGTGGAGAGGAGAAAGTTAACCTTCTGATAGCGGATTTTTTTCCCAAAACAGCAAAAGGTTCTTTTTTGGTGCGATGGAGGTAGGTATTCTCTAAATACATATAGGTCCGCAGATAGACTCTTCGTATCATAATATTACGGTAAACGAGGAACTCATGAGAGGAACCAAGTAAATGAAAGACAAAATGTTAACGCGGAATTATGTTCACAGGCAGAAAATCAAAGAAGACGATCTCCCATTTAGTATGCATCTGTAACTAAGGACATACATAGACAATAACGAATGCAAATTTATATAGTAACTATTTAAAAAATCTACTTCTCATAATAATTGAACATCTGTAGATTTTAAACTAGCCATCACGCGTTATATAATAAACCATCGCACATCAGCAAACAGACCACCACACATCAGAGAACAGACCATCGCACTTTAGCGTGACCATCGCACTTCAGCTTTACCATCGCACTTCAGCGTCCCCATCCGCACCTCCCAGTCATACATATATATTAAACTGAGCTTATAAACAGTAAGGAACGGAGGCGTATGAATGATGAAAATATACCGAACAACCCTATATGTAAATCTTTGCCAAATAGTTATATAATTTCATTCCAGTTTATTATTTGTAATGAAACATCCTAGCAAAAGTTACACACACAATTTTTGGCGGAAAAATAAATTGTTTACTAGAATTTCGATAGAGCATACCTGACCAACCCAATAGGCATTACACAGTCTGATGGCATGAACTTTGTGCGATGTTGGAGACGATACTGTGCGATTACTCTCGTATTGACAATTGACATCCCTGTAAAATAGTCAAATAGTATGTGATAAAGAGGAATATAACTTGTAACAAATTATATTTGCAAATAATTATCGATAAAACCAAATATATAAAACATTTGCAAATGTCGATGTACTGAGTAAAATAGAGCTATTAACATAATAGTTAAAAGGAATACCTGTCAAACATAGGTATAAAAGTTTGTGGTCAATAATGAAGTAGCATCCAGGTTTTATGAGTGAATAACGATGCTTTTACAGGTTAAAAGTATTCCATTAGTGTATGTATGTTACAAAAAGGATATCAAATGAGTTCAAATAAAGTACTTTTAAAACATAAAAACAAAATACACATACAAAAGAATTCCTATAAACGACTTGATAATGCTGTATGCACATTTCCTACAAAAAATTGTCGTTAATTTGTACAGGTTATTTGTTAACATCTGTATCAAGCGTGTATTTAAGGGCTTTTTGACATAAAACGCTGACTTATCGTTTTCATTTACAACCTTTCTATAATGTTCAAAATTATTATTTAAACTATCCAACAATGGAAAAGAAGAACACTGTAAAAGTTGTATTTACAGTACAATTTAGGAGTTGTAAGTGATTTACAGTGCAGGGAAGTGGAAATATTCGCGTATTGATTGTAATGTATGTTTTCACCCGAAAAAAAACAATATACACTCTAAAAAGTGGACTCATTCACTTTACCTACCGTAACTTATATGTGAGTTCTTAATTTAATAGTATGATACTATCAATTTTGTTTTTTTTTCTTAAACTAAATTGTAGATGCTTAAATATTAATACTTTGGTAAATTTGGGTTAATTTTGAAGTTTATCAAATATCAAGCATAACAAAGTAAACATTCTATAAGCAAAAGCTATATACGGTTTCTTTCAGATACAGAAAATAGTACAGATACAAATAATTAGTTTTTTGGTTCATTATGTTCGGCTTTATGAAATATTTTAATCCTCCACACACACACACACACTTTGGATTGTGGTTTTATTCCAAGTTATTCATTAGATAAGAATTAGTTGAGAGTACTGAAATTTGTATTATCACAATTTATGAATTCCGTGCATAGTAGACGGTTTGGTCGCATAGTTCAAGTTATTCATTAGATAAGAATTCGTTGTGAGTACTGAAATGTGTATTATCACAATTTATGCAATCCGTGCATAGTAGACGGTTTGGTCGCATAGTTCAAGTTATTCATTAGATAAGAACTAGTTAAGAGTACTGCATCATACAAAGTAAACACGTATAATCACAATTTATGTAATCCATGCATAGTAGACGTTTTGGTTGTATAATTTTCGAACATTTTTTTGCAAGAGATGAAATAGTTTTGTGAATCAAACATTTGCGTGCACATCAAGCCACATTACCTAGTCCAAATACCAGGTGTAACTACCGTATGTCCCCATCGCATTGCAGCAGTTTGAAATTCCTGGGTAATACCAGGATGTATTTCTGAACTGTAACCATTGAAGCAAAACTGTTCTCCGCAAGCTGGTTAAAAATAACAGTCATAATTTAGGACAAGCATTGAATCATATGATATAAATCATTAATTAAATAAAACTAATTAAAAAAAACATTCTACACACATCTAGACTTCTTGCTCGTACATTAAAGAAACTGAAAATAAGGAGAGAATCTGGTAAATTTTCATATAATGTATTAATAAGTTCATATCAGCCCTCTTTACAATATAATTGTTTTGCAAAAAAATCTACAGTCGTGATTGTATTTCGTCAGCTTTGGCGAGTTTTTCACTTCTAACGCTTGATGGTTTTCTTACAGAAAAAAAACTTCAGTTTGTCATATAGGTACACAAAATGAGGTGGTGATTATTTAAACATTTTTAAAACAACATCACCATTTGTGATTCTGTAGCATAAAGATTTAATTATAAGAACTGAATGCTTCTTTTTGTAGTTTTATAGGTTTGTTTGAACGTGCGCACATTTTTAGTGTGAGCTTCCACGCTCCTATAAAATGTGCATCGGTAACGCTTTTACACCAAAATAAAAACTACAAAAAAGCATTCCATTTTTAAATACAACCGAAAGTATCGCCTTTGTAAACAAAACAAAAAAACGAGGTAATACGGCTAGAATTAAAGAATATTAATACTATTTTTTTCCTCTCACTTAATGACAAGAGATTTTATTAATTTTCAATAATGACAATGGCTGAATTTACTGAATTATAGATTATTATTATATTATATATTATACGACTTCGTGAGAAGTTATATTGCAGCTATAAATAGATACATACGTTCTGACTGACTTCTATAATAATTGGGAACTTTGAAAAAGGTGGTACTGTCCGCTGGGTCTGTTATTTGAAGCCATCTTGGTAACCAATCACGCATTATAATTTTCTGAAATCATTTTAAAAGTGATAAATATGAAACGAGAATGAAATTGAAATATTAAAAAAAAGAATGAACTATTTAATTATTTTGTTTGAATATGTGCCTTGTAGTATTGTAGTATAATTTTTGTTGTTAATTATTTTGAATACTGCTAAACACTTAAATGCAGAATACTATATAGCTAGTATGTACGTATCAAGGTAAACTGACCAAATAAGTTTGTTTTTTTAATTAACATTTTGAAATGGGCTCATTTTTTACTGTCGAAATGAAGGGATATGGTGTGTAAATTCATGACACAAGTTATTTATGCGCACTTTACAAATCCAATTGGTGAAGGCAAATTCGTGAGATACAGGCAATTAAAAAAAATCGCTCTTGTTGGTTCCATAAAGTTTGGAAAAAAATGTTTAAGGGATATTTGTTATCATTTAGTCTTTATATGAACGACTAAAGCTGCATTGGTTTGTAGTTTTGAACAACCAATACGGAGCTGAGATAGGACACATTCCAATTTCATCCATTCTTTATACTTTTAGCAAAAACATATTTGCCTAATGATTATGCTAAATATAAACTGACTTCAAATTCGAATGACTCCTAATGACGTTGAATTTATTAACTCGTATGCACTATTCAAACCTACCAATTACAGCCAAATAATTACATTACATGTCTTTCTCGTTTTTTATATAGATTAGACCGTTGGTTTTCCCGTTTGAATGGTTTTACACTAGTAACTTTTGGGGCCCTTTATAGCTTGCTGTTCGGTGTGAGACAAGGCTCCGTGTTGAAGACCGTACTTTGACCTATAATGGTTTACTTTTATAAATTTTGACTTGGATGGAGAGTTGTCTCATTGGCACTCATACCACATCTTCTTATATCTATATATGTTTCATTATAATACGTTATTTTGATAGGCTAACAGCAATCTCGCGTCATTCTGAAATTAACCTTCATTTCAAAATGATATGTAACATTCATAATGACAAGAGCTTCCACAATAAAGTGCACAGGTAAATAAAAGAAAAACTTGATAGAATCCGTGTTTTCATGATCCTAGCAAAAAAATGCAATTATAAGTATTGAATGCTTCTTTTGGTAATTTTATAGGGTTGTAAAAGCGTTGACCGTGCGCACTTTTATAGAATGAAGCGCTTCATACAAAATGTACTTCGGTCAACGCTTTTACACCCCAATAAATTTACAAAAAGAAGCATTCAATTCTTAAATATTACCTGATGGTAAGCTATCACTAGCCTTCTTGCTTCATTAAACAGTGCTTCATCGTTCCAATTCGGGTGCTCCGTTTCAAGTTCTTTTGCCACATAATTATGCCATCGAAAAAATAAAACGCCGAAAGTAAGGAGAAAGGGATTCTCAAAACCACGTGGATTTCCAATTCCTGAAAATATATATTCATTGTAACTTACATGATAAATAGTTTGACTACATAAAAATGAAATACACAATTCTCTACTAAACATTTATAAAAATTAATTATTAAAATTAAACCTCTCAAATAAGTTTATATTCATATCATTGACAGCTGTTGTATAGAAAACTTAAAAAAAAAAAAAACAATTATTTTTTTTATGTTCTGTTGAAAGGAAGCTTGCCTAACAACTTCTATTATTAATTATATTAAATCTGTACAAATTAGCGCAATTGCAAATAAGATTGTCTATTATAGAATACATTGAAGTTACTTGTATGTTGTAACAATCTAATATCATTCATATTATAGTTGTAATTTTTCTTTTGTGAAGTTTATTTTAAACCTAGACACACAAAAGTTGATGAGCACGTTCAAATTAAAGATTACTTCAATGAACTAATCATATGATGATGCAAATTAGTATAAACGCAAGTCATAGTGTCTTTATAAGAATAACTTTCTGTAGGAAAAGAAAAGTCAGTCCAATTTCAGTTTACTACATGAAATTGAACAATCTAGCAACATTAATGTTGCTTAGCAACCGATCAAAAATTGGTTCTATTTTTATATTAAAAGAATACATTTAGCAATCTTTCAAGAATTGGCTTTCATCTATAGTGTTTCACTATAATAAACATATCTTTAATATAATTATTCAACTCACGAAATTCCAATTGAATCTAATAACACAACAGTTGCTTAGCAACATCCATTAAAGACTACAACTTAATTGTCAAAATTGTCAGACATCAGATTGTTTTCAAATTCAAAATATGAGCACCAACTTAGACCATGTTGAAATTTTAAATCATCTACTCGAGATCTACTCTTTATCTTTCTTTTATATTTAATATCATGATGGTCTATGCTCATATCTTTAACTTCTGATGTAGAATTCTTCACCAATCATTATCAAATGTTAGAACTTTGTCACTTTTCTTCGTTAATAATCTTTTTTAGATCACAGTTAATACAAAAAATAGCACATAATACAAAAAAAGTAGTACATAGATCGGCGACCAGATACTACAGAATTGATATTACCAACGGATTTTGATGTGGTTTAATTTTTATTGCTCGTTTGGGGCATAATGTTTTTCGGTCTGTGCGTCCGTTCGTTCGTCCGTCCGTCCGTCCGTCTGTCCCGCTTCAGGTTAAAGTTTTTGGTCAAGGTAGTTTTTGATGAAGTTGAAGTCCAATCTACTTGAAACTTAGTACACATGTTCCCTTTGATATGATCATTCTAATCTTAATGCCAATTAGAGTTTTGACCCCAATTTCACGGTCCACTGAACATAGAAAATGATAGTGCGAGTGGGGCATCCGTGTACTATGGACACATTCTTGTTTTGTTTTTATGTTGTGAGTTGTATACTGCTGTTTTGTCTTTTGGTCTTTTTTTTTTTTGTTGTTGTTTTTTTTTTTTGCAATGGCGTTGTCAGTTTGTCGTCGACTTATGGGTTTGCTTTTCCCATTGATATCTTCCGCCTCTCTTTTCCTTTCGGGATGTGATTCAACTTTAAAATTGGGGGCCAGAAATAGCCTTTCGCATCAGAACTTGTCTTTTAAGACCGTGACCTAAAACTTGTATATGTCTTTTTTCTGGTAAACAATTACATAGTTTGTTACTCGTTCTTAAGTTTACCCATGAATATAACACTACTTATTGTATACGTCAAAACTTACTCCAAAATCGGTTGACTGGTCTAAGAAAATGGTCCCTTGGAGCTGGAGGATTAGCAAAAGGAAGACGAATGTCATTATCTGCTGGAAAGCTTTCGTTTATCTTCCTACGTAATGGATCAGGGACCTTCGCTTTCAATCGTCCACCTTTAAACTCTCTTATAGCATCTGTCCATGCCTTACCAGGTCCATACATCAATGTTCCATCAATGTATGGAGTAATTTCATTTAGCTGTCGGGAATAAGGTAAGACATTCTTCAAGTACTCTGATAATTTTTGCATATTATTCCATATTGATAAATCATAGAAATCCCTATTTATACAATGATAAAGTGTCAGTTTAATTATAAAAAAGATATTAATCAATTAAAAAACAAACATTAGAAAAACAAAAATAAAGCATTGCATGTCCCTACAAGTTTAACTTTAACATAACAAACTTTCAGTCTCAAGAAAAATATGTGCAGAGAGGAGTTAATATCCTTGCAATATCAAATAGTATCAAATAAGAAAATTGTACAACAGTGTAATGTGTAGATTACGTCGATTAACTACCACTGGACCATTACATTATGGAGTAAAGCGTCTTTTATGCTCTTAACGTGATGACTTGAAACATTTGTTTTAATATCGACTTAAAGTGTCAGGGTATAGAATTTTGTCAGCTTTACTATGACAAAGTAAATCTAGATATGTTTGTTATATTGTATTCTCATATAATGACATTGTTGTAACATTTCCTTATTTTCCTTTTAGCACCAGACCTGCTGTCTCGGGTTATTAGGTGAATATCCAGTTCTAGAATCGTATCTTGTTCTTGGAAAAGGCATTTCTAAACTCTCCTTTCCTTGTAAATAGGGATGATCTGGAGGTACTGGAATGTTGAAATATTCTATAGGACAACCTGGCCGTTGGGAGTCTAAAATTTCTTCTACTATTTGTTGGCCTAAAACATTTAAAGAAGATGAAAAAACGTTTAAATTGACGATTGATTAGTTTAAAATCGACAAAGTAATATTTCTTCTGGTTTTTTTCTTTTTTCTTTTCTGCTTTCTTTTCAATGTGTGTTGTCATGCAAAAATTCTTTTCATTATAGAATATGGTTGTTTAGTACTAGTTATGCAATAATGTGTACAGCAATAAACTCTTTATTTTGCACTATCTGATTACGTACAATTCATCTATACACTAAACAAAGCAAATACTATCTTATGGAAACTGCTTCAAAATTGTTTAGTTTAACATGTTTTATCTGCTCAAATATTAATTCAATAAGGTACAAAACAGACTTCTTCAATATTGTATAAAATGGCAAAAGCAAAATTTACATAGAAATAAGCGATAAGAGAACAGATACTTGATTTGTAATGCAAAGGAACGAGGTAAAATTGATCCCCCAACATAAAATTGGCTTACACACATGTAGGTATGTGTCTGTTACAATCTTAAATCATGATAGTTTCATTAATCTGAATGGGGAAGAACTTTCTTTACCAAAAAATACGAGCAAAGCGTTTCTGCTTCTCTTAGAACCCAATCCTGCTTCTCCGTGGTGTGCTGCTTTACTGAGTTCAAAGGGATTTGGTCTGTCTGCGCCGGACGGATGGTAAACTCCATCGGCATACTTTGGTACCGACCTTCTTAGAAGCTGGCCATCTTAAATAATGTAAGCAAATACAATTATCACGTCTTGATAAAAAAAAAATTTAAGATCATATTAATTGCATTAATATTCAATGTAATGTAATACAATGCAATACAATACAGTGCGTTGCAATACAATACAATGCAATACCATGCAAAGTAATGTTGAATCCCAAAAGTCAAACGTATCTTCCTCTCTCATATGAATATCTTCCTTAGTCTGACAGATTTATTTTGATAATACTGTTTATCAGGGAAAGAATGTTAAACTGGGGTTTAATTTCCTTAAAAACTGATTAAACTACTTCTCAAAATTGATTAATTTAGTTTGATAAAGATGAAATTGAATGCCTATGTAACGAAGAAGAAGAAAGATTTTTATAAGTTTTGTTTTCTTTACAAATAATATCACAAGTTAATACATTAATTAAATTGTTATTTATTTTTGATAAACCCATCTGATCTTTTGCATTAAACTTAAGATTAGTTATAGTTATATTTCAGTTGTATATTCAAAATTTAAACAAACTGATAAAAAACTTTAGAGGTTGAATTGTTTGAGACTTCGGATTGAACTATTTTCTGTTGTTGAAAACTTGATGAATTATTCAAACTTTGCCTATAAACAGATTATTTATAATTCAGAACAGTATTTAACTGTACAAGGTATTTTGTTTACCTAAACATGCAAAGCAACAACAAAAAACATACACACAAACAAAAAGCAAACAGTTGCGCTTATATTGCTGTTCTTCATCTCAAAATCACAGTGAGGACTTCAAAGGGGAGCAAAAAACTCCCACTTCACTGCAAGTTTTAGACGGCCCCAAGCACCGGCTTGAGCGGAATTCTTTGCAAAAATAATTTGAAAAAACTTTGTAAGATGCAACACCACTCCATTTTATACTAGGACAGTGTATCATCATATATATTGAAGGTTAATAAAGCTAAGAGATCATCAGAACCATCACAAAAAAATCAATTTAAGTCCGATACAATTGAAAGAAAGATTTCAAAAAATTAAATTATGGTAATGATGAATTAAGTGTTCTGCAAAGTTCAAATTACTCAAGGCTTGAATTCGAAAGCCAAAACCACGAAATCAAGTATCCACGAAAAAAAACAATTTTCCAGAATCCACGAATATCAGTTAATACATAGTAGATGGGTGATGTGACAGAAGAATGACCAGGTGAATGATGTGACGAAAGAATAGCTAGGTGAATGACGGGAAAGGAGAGTGTCCAGGTATAATGATCCGTGAATGATGTGACGAAAGAGTGACAAGGGAAAATATATGTCAGGAGAGTGACCTCGTGAATGATATGATAGCAGAGACAAGGTGAACTATGTGACGGGAGAGTGATCATGTGAATGGTATGACGAAAGAGTAGCCATGTGAATGGTATGACGAAAGAGTAGTTAGGTGAATGATGTAACGGTAGCGTAACAGGTTAATCTTATGACGAGCCTTGAGAAACACCCGGTGAATGAAATGACGGGATAGACCATGGAAATGATAATAGCGAGAGGGTGACTAGTGTAATCATATATCAGGGGAGTGATTAGGTGAATAATATGACTGCAGAGACTAAGTGAATCATGTGACGGGATAGTGACCAGGTGAATGCTATGATGGGAGAGTGACAAGTAACCAATAATGAAGATGATGAAGACGAAGAGCATACTTGGAGATATAAGTATACATGAATATCAATATAATGCAGAATATTTTCTATATTCTAAATGTCTATTGGTAATTTTTGGAGTCCATAAAATACTTTGTTCCTATAATGTGCCTCAGCTAAATACTATGATTAAAGTAATAAATCCCTTGTTAGATGTCACATGCAACAATTAACACGTATGTTGTTCCAGGTCATTACTCCTTCTCAATACAACTTAACCAGGAAGTATACCCGGATCAATAGCCATATATACCTATACAATATATTAAATGACATGAAAACGAAATAAAAGTTAAATTGTTCATTGAAAATTTACAGCATGTACTTATCTAAAAATGGTTTTATGATATTCATAATTCTTAATATTTAATATTCTGTTAAATTGTGAATACATAAAAAATGTTCATCCTAATATATTTCGCATAGTATCACATCAGTGCTTTGATGAGCTGTCTTTTCTACACACAAGGTTACCTAACTAGGTATTGTAATACTATTGTTGTTCTGTGTCCGTTTGATGGTAGTGTTTAACGATTTGAATAAAAAAAAAGATTCTTAAGTGGACATCTACAATTTATTCAAATGTATGTCCTTTTTATAACTGTTTAGTTATATAAGTTAATATGTTGTTTGTCATTGATAAAATTTTTGAACGAGAATAAATTTATGTTTAAAATTGTCATCAAGGTGTATGCATGTTAAACTTGTCACGTGTGTGTTTTAATTTTCTTGTTTATTTTCTTCCGGGTTGTCTGGCTTGTGGGTTTTGAAGATTTGACTTTACGCAAAACAAATTTAAAAACGGTCTTAAATTTGTTTGTTCTAAGCGTTTTCTTTCTTGTTTTGCACCAATGCACTAAACCTTTGCTTTGTGTGTGTGTATGTATTTTGCTGTGCATGTACTGATTTTGTGTCCATATCCTTTGTTTTTCTATTAACCTGTAGATTAACTACTTCTTAACTCTCTAGAAACAACGTTATGCTAAAGAAAATAACACTTCCTGTATACAAATTTTTGTGTTGTGAAATAGTCTTTTGTAGTTTGAGGAACGATGCAGACTGGTGTATTGATAAAAGTTCAGCTACTGAATCGGCAGTCATATTGATATATCAAAAAGTCAGTGAATTTCTTTTTGACATCATAATGTTTTTGTCGTTTATTGTATTCGATGTTGATGGCAGATCTGTTACACAAAATGTGGCGGGTCACATATTCACAACTTTTTTTAGACTAAGGGAAATTTAGTTACTTAAAGTACTTAATATATTGTATTTACAGATGTCTAATATTGGTGTTTGTCTCACTACAATTAGATGGGTTTTTTTTTAGTTTCTTTTATGTGTTATTGCCTTATCTACATCATTGACGTACATGTATTATACCCTTTTTCCTTTTTAGTCATAGTATTATACTAACTTCCTATGAAATTCTGATTCAAGTTCAAATTCCAAATTAAACTTACTTTATTTTATTTCTTAAACACATGAACTGAGGTTGGCATGTAAACGAAAAACAAAAACAAAACAATAATACCAATATAACCACATTCATACACCCATTCTCGAGATCATGCTTTAGCCGTGAACGATGATAAGCTACTTATTGAAAACATGATCCCTAAATTCTTTTTCAGGGTGTCCTTCTTTATTCAGGTCATTACGTTTTCTAAACATGTAAGTCTTTGTCCATTTTGGACAAGTTTGATCAAAGTGGTTTTCTTTTCTTGTTTTGTACTAATGTTTAGAGATCATCTTCAATTCACGATGTAACGATATTACATACAAATGTCTATTTCACCCTATAATAGTACGCGTAAATGTGAATCCCATCAGGTTTTTTTACATTACTCATTAGAAACGTTTTTTTACGTCAACTGAATTATATATATGACCAAAAAAAATAAAACCTTACAAATAGGTAAAGTTTCAACACTCTTGTACACGGTTGTCCCCGTTCTGTCTTTTATGTATGGCCCTTTTTTTAATACAACTTCAATATAGTCATACATTTTTGACTTAGAAATCTTTTCTGCTATTTGGTCGGGTTGTTGTCTCTTGGACACATTCCCCATTTCCATTCTCAATTTCATTTTTATGAAACACAATAATTTCTGTACGTTTTCATTTTATTTCTTAACTAATACAGACAGGATTTTTTTCTGCGAAGTTCTTTGTACTGCCGCTAGTAAGGGTACTTACAATATCTGTCCACTTGAAGGTTTTTCATGCAGTAAAATTCTGCATAACATCAACATATAACTTTACTTTTGATCTGGGACGTAAATAATAAAACATTATTTCAAAAACATATGGCGTGGTCACGGATTTATTTTATTACAGCAAACTTTTAAATGTTTATGTTGATTTCTTAACATAAAGCTTTTATATGTACTATGTATAAACTTATACGTATCGACATTTTACTATGTCTGTTTCAGTTGAGATACTTTCCAAGTAGTAATGCAGTTTTTCAGGGTAAAGAGTCGCAAGCTGGCTTTTTTCGTGCAAGATGTATCTACTTACCAATTCCTCCCCAGTCAGGATGGACTAAATTATTAAACCAACCATCAAATGGTGGAAGTTCATGCTCTGGAGGAGGATCACCTTGACAGGCTACAATAAAACAACAGTTTGAACAAAAGGTTAATTAATTGATTATTGTTTGTTAAGATTCTAGTGGCATATATTTCAGGCGTATTTAATACGAAAACAAAGGACAGGATTCGCTTTTGCAGAAACATGGCCTTGAATTTCAACTTTATCACAAATTATCAAAAAGATCACAATTTTTCACTTGAATAGGTCTATTTCAAAAGCTATAATGCTGAGTAAAACAGATCTCTTCAAAAAGGTGTATAAGAGGCTCCAGAGTCAGCACATTTTTTGTGATTTTGTCAAAAACGATGGTTTTGTCCATTTTCGGAATCAAAAATTTCAGGAAAATATTTGCCCCAACCAATACGATCCAAAATGTTCTGTATTCAACAAGGGTGCAAACGTTTATGTTGAGTCCCTGAACAATTTTCAGGATCGGGGGTTGTGAATAGTACCAAAATTGACATTACAACACACTAAATGCCATTATGCGGGGCCATAACCTTGTAGTTTGTAATAAGATGTACAAAAAAAAAGAACTTAGTATTAATAATAATACCACAACTAACATTTGCAGTACTTTGGCCAGAATGAAAACAATATTAAAGTATTATGGCAAATTTAGCCCTTTGTGAACTAACTCTTTTAAACAACAGAACAATAAAGTATCTGATGCAGAGTGGGTCAATTTTGGACTACAACTGCAAAAAGAGGAAATATTTGATATGAAACCAGTGAATTTACGACGTGAAGGCAGTTTCGATGTTCATACTATTATTAACACACCATTTCAAAAGCTTCACAACAGATGTATATTATATAAGAAATTAAAAAGAAATTCGTTTTTACCATTTTGTTTGGTTATAAAAGTTATGCTAATTTTTACAACATATAATACTTGTTTCGATAAAACGACTTCGTAATAGTTTTTTAGTGTGCAATGGGTTTTTAAAAGATTGCATTTCTTTATCTTTTGTCATAAGTAAAATATGTAACAGAAAGTAGACTGTTGTCTGTATGCATTTACGTCCGCTTTCGTATGGTATCAAAAAGCCTTCCATGTAGAGCGATACAAATTGAGGAGGAAAGCTTTATTCTTTTGTTTCCTCATGTTATTTGTCAAAGCTGAAATCTTTCTGTTCTTTATTAGTTTCCGCGTGAAAGTATTATCTAGTCTATTCTCTCTGATTAATCCTCACAGTCGCAAGTGTCACCAGGGGTTCTCCCATTCGGCAATACAACCCATACAAACGCATCCACGCCTTGTAATAATTAGGAAGTTAAATATAATGTCTCGTGTATAAACAGTTCCACGCTCTTTGATCCCTTGCCAAACTTTTTGCGGGGCATGTAGGTGGATTCAACATTTCTGTCCTTATCAATATACCTTGTCGTTTCTGGTGGCAGTCTTATATAATTACTAGCCCTTCAACCGGACAGAGACCCACTCTGCAGACCCTATATTTGACACTGGGCGTTAACCAAACAATTATCAATTAATCATTTATCTATCATGCACTTTAGAATATTAAGAAAGTCATACATTAACGCCTTATGGTATCAGGTGTTATTGTCTCATTGTCAATCATACCAATTATACCACATCTCCTAATTTTTATATGTATCCTAAAAATAACAAATGAACTTTGACTTTTAGTAAAAATAATCGTGAATGAATTAAAAGGTCATTGAGAAAATAACCTATTGAAAAAGTCACAAGTTACCGAAATATCAATTTAGTGTTCAAATTTTTATAATATTTTTCATATAATAACGTGTTCTGATATTTGAACCTATAGAATGATAATTTGTCTCTAAACAACTCTTAACAAACAAAAAATCAGTTTCTAGATTCATCTCAGTGTCCACACAGACTCAATCAAAAAATTTTGAAGGTATGTATCTATATTACTTCGATTGAGGAGAACGTCAAGTACATGTCTTATTTCATTAAAACAGTCATAAAAAATTTACACATCATCTATGTAAAATGAAAGTTAAAGGGTTTTTCACAGGTAAGCCAATGATTAACGTCTTAAAGAAAAATGTTTTAAAGAAAATAAACATTGTATATACCAAACACTTTATTGCAAAGTGTATAATATTTAGGCTATCTAAGATATAACAGGGAAGTAAGCATAACATTGTCAATATTTGGACTGTTGTTATCAGATATTTTTCAATCAAAATAAATGATAACTTAATATCATTTAAAGGAAAACATCCCTACTATCAGTGCTTCAGATTGAAATTTGTAGAATAAACGAATATTATTTACATGTATATATATATATTATGCATATTTCTTCAATTGGACGGTGTATATTTTATCATGATAAAAAATATTATATTCATATTTCATAAATCAATGTAGCATTTTAACTATAATTTACTAATATTGTAACAAGGAATGATTGAATTCAAAAGGTGGGCTCTAGAGGTTTATAAACTTTAGTTTCCAGCATAATGTTCGTCAATTTCTTACGTGATTAAAAACTATGGAGAAAGTGGCGCGCCAACCACAGAAACTCTCTCTGGCCCGTTAATGGTCAATATATTTATCAAGCTATAATGCCTTTTCGAAGTATATTTTCTAAAGGAGTGAATACTGACTTAGTCGTTTTTAATAAAAGATTTTCATTAGAAAAATAACGAAATTAGATGTTTTCTTCAATTATTCAAGGAGCCCCGGTGGTAGCACTAAGGTTGTCGTTTTTAACCCTGAAAATGTGGTAGATTGTTTACTCCACTCTTTGTTGACTATAGGATTGCCAATTGTCCTGTCGTAGGCCGATGGTTTCTCTCCGGGCACTCCTATATCCTCCGCCAATAAAAACCAATAAAAAGCCAAAAGTGTTGAAAGTGGCTTAATACACCAACAATCAATCAATCAATAGTAAAGAAACTGCACTGCAATGGGCGTTCACCTTATTTATATTGTGGTTATATGTTTAAATCTAAACACTTATTGTTTATTATGTAATCTTAACTAAGATTGTTTAAATTTAAACACTTATTGTTTATTATGTAGTCTTAACTAAGATTGTATTCGGTAATCCAAAATGACTGAAAGATTTAAAAGGCTAACTATCTAATAAGATCTCGTTTAGTTCGCAAGGACGTTTAACGAATATCAACTATAACATTTCTTTTTCTAAGTATTAGAAGTTACTGGTTTAGGATAAGTATAAAGGCGAGGAAGTTATTTTCAAGTAACCAAAGACAGAAAAAAAAGTAATCTTAATGAAGTCGGGACTTTGAAATTGAAAAACTTACGTCAATACTTTATATATACACTTAATATATCTTAATGTCGTGTATTCTGAAGGCGCTAGTTTAAAGGGTCAAATGTTGTAAATTCTCAAGAGTCAATTTCAGTAATCTTATACGTTTTATGCTTTCTGATTATTCATATATATCTATATAACATGCTGTACTCTAGTTTTTTTTAATAATGAAGTAATAGCAGTAAAAGCGGCTTACAAAGGAAATAAAGATGCTGTCAGTTTTCTTTTAAAAAAAGCGGACATGTATCAATTCAAATTTATTTGCTAAAACTAACTTTCAGAAATATGAAATGAAAAAAAAACAGGTTGAACATTTTGCCAAATATAAGTATGATAATTTTGAATATGTACATACAAATATCTATACAATCAGATATACATACTTCCTATAATTAAAAAAGAAACTGTAAAAATAATATTGCCATTAAAAGCCTTACCTGCCAGTGGAAGAGATAGTAGAAACAGGAAAATTTGGTAACTTGTCATTTGTAATTTTCTCTTGTGCAGAAAATACATTTACAAACTTATATCTGCACTTTTGTCAACTTTTTGATATACCTCACATATGAGGAAGTTATTTGTGAAACCACGTGACTTGAACCGAATGGAATTTACCACAATGAAAAGGTGTACAATCACTTTATTTACATTATATTCAAAGAAAATAAATTTACCTATAAAAAGTGGATTTTAATTTTGATAACAAAAAAGAAGTTAGTACTTAAAGTTTGTTAAAATATTTGACATATATCAGTGATTTGAAAAGTATTGTTAAAGTTTGAAACTGTTGCAGTATTACCTGTACTAATACTTTGGAACTGTTTAATTGTTATGAATTATATATGATGTTGTTTAAGGTGGCACGGTAGTATTTCCTGGCCCATAGGGATAATGATATCCTTTTTCGAATTTTCACCACTTTCTAACACTGCCCAAAATTCTACATACACAGTTAACTGAAGTACTTTCATTATAATATTCAGAAATGAATTTGAATATGTATCAGGACCGTTTACTTTTTTTGCTATCTTTAAAAACCTAAGGCCACTAGTGCTTTTAGGTCTTTTATCATGCAGTAAATACAAAATTAAATTAAAAAAAAATTCTCAAAAATTCATTTTCACCTGTATGTAAAATTATTTCATATTTTTCTACACCTGATTCATCCCTCAGTTTGGGAAAGTATGTTCATACTGTATTTTTTGTCCAATCACACTGTTCAGATACATTGACTGCGTGCACTTAGTTCCACCTTTGAAGATAGGAACAAGGATGCCTTTCCAAGTTCTTTGGTATTCGTCCGAATTTGACGATGAGATTGTATAAGGCGGTTACAAACTTCACAACAGCGCTACCTCCGTGACGCAAATGCTCATTTTGCACTCTGTCATGTCCGGTGGCTTTTCTATATTTTAACTGTCCTATCAATTTGGAAACTTCTTGTTCAGTTATCAAACCACCAGGTAAGTATTCACCTCCAACACCACATGTTTTAATAATGTCATTGTATACGCTCTCAATAGAACATTAAAATTCATAGTCAAATTTATCATTGTCCTTAATATTGGTTGGTACAGCTCATAAAAATACTCAGCGAACCAGTTTGCTACAGACTCCGGAGTACTACACACTTTATCTTCATACACAATCTCGGGGTAAACTTTGGACGATCAACCTTTAAAACGTTTTATTTGTTTCCAATACAAACGTACATCACATTCTGCGGTTTCAGTGAGATCATCTCAACACTTCTGCATATACTGCCCATAAGCCGCTTGTGTACATGTCTAAATTCGGACTTTACTCTTTTGTACATTCGATAAGAGTCAAAATGCAATCCTCGAGGCTGACCTTCTAGAACCCAACATTTATGCATTGATCTTTCATTGTCATGTGCTCGCTTTACATCTGCGTTCCAATAAAGTTTGGTATGTGGATTGAATTGCGATGTCCGCAGCAGTATGCAATATGTGTACGAATTCGTCATAGATAGTGCCAATATCAGCAAAAGAATAAAAATTCATTTTATCAATTAACATTTCAACGGGGTCATTCAGCAGCTTTTGGTATTCATTGATCTGGGCACCAGATACCTTATGCCAAGCAGGTAATTTGTCGCTAGAGTTCATTACACGATGCGGGTTGGAGTCTGTCACAAAGTCAATCACCACTGGAAAATGATCGGACATGCTACTTATCGACCCTTCATCAAGGATTTCATAGTACCTTAGTTTTTTATATATATACTTTCATTACATAGGATATAATCTAACATTGTTTGTTTGGTTATACACGTATAATATGGCCCTTTATTGCGTATTTTATAACCTGGCATACAACAAATGATGCCTAAAGATAAATTTTAATAACTCTTTTGATTTATTACTATTTGAAGTAGAAATGTATGATAGGTTGCTTTTGCTAGCTCTTTTCCTTCTTAACGAATAAAATTTTTCTGAAAATACTATTACTTGGTGTTCAACATTGTACCATGATCAACCTCCTGTATACGTCAATATTTTAACGAAAGAAGTTATGAGTTCAACTTTTGGTGATCTGATATATAGACAATATTCTTCGGCTGTTTTCTGCTCTTTGGTCGGGTGGTTGTCTCTTTGACACATTCCCCATTTCCATTCTCAATTTTAATAATGATGTGTCGGTCGAGTTTCAGTTTCAAAAACGTAATGTTTTACAATGTTCATTTATTTTATTCCTGGTTATGACATTTTCTTGACGGAAACATGAGTATAACCGCAACCGCAATGACTTTGAAAGGTATACCGATTTTTCACAACAAAAAAATGTTATAATTCTTTTTTTCTCAACTGAGGTTTTTACAGGCTGAATATCAAATAAGCATGGTTCGATCATAGAAAATAAAAATTGGTGGTAAAAGTTCTATTTTCAAGTACCCTTCATATTACAAATTGTGTTTTTAACTGTTTTTATTCTGGAGGAATTCTGTTAAAATTCACAAATGCAAGCTGCCTAAGCAATCTTCTTTAAACCATTATCTGTAGACTGGTTTATGGCAAGTTATGCACTGTCTATAGAGTCATCTTATTAATGTAAAAGACTTATATGAGCAATATGACGACAGATTCCACGTGTGGATTGAATCGACTTATGAGATCATCCCTAGTTTTTTGTTGGTAATCGTGTTGCTCAGTCTTTGGTTTCTAAAGAAGTGTTTTGACGAATGGTGTATGTCTTTTCGTCGTTTTTATCCGGGTGTTCCGGAGGGTTCAACAAATGCTTATTAAATATTAATATGTTATTACCGATGACAAACTGGAGGTCAAGTTCGATATTGACGACAATCACTTTTGCCTTTCAGGTGTCATGGTCCTTGGTAGATTATATCAAATTACTGAAGTACTGAACTTCGGATGACCGCAAGTTCTGGTGGATTGTCACAAGCACTTGTCTCAGAAAAAAAATCACATCTCTATACCTGAAAGTTAGGTTAAGGTACATAGATATATTTTTTTCTGAGACAAGTTCCTGTGTGGATGATGAATAAATGACAGGGAATTCAACCTCACCGTAATGATTATTATATTGTAGTGATATAATCATTTGCTATCAGTATACTCTGGTTTGTTGTTATATATTATAATAATATTTGTATACCAGTTATATATAATAACTCTACAGGTAAATTTTCATCAATTTATATATCATTCTATTCTACTATTCTAATGATAGTGCAGTGCAAGTGCATGGTGGACACTCTTCTGTAATAATTCTTTTTTTTTTGTAATAGATTGGATTTGAGTAGCCATTCATATTTTCCCGCTTTTGCTGCAAAACGCTCTCGAGATATTCTTCCGCATGCGTTAACACAAATTTCCATGATTTGTTATTGATATATATATTTCTCACGACAAAACATTTTCATACATTTATCTATGTTCTTAAAAATTATTTTCATGAATATTTATTGATGAAATTAATATATAACAAGCGATAAGGAATGTTATTTTGCACTCGATAATATCCGCGTAATTATACGAAATACGTTCGGTTATCAGTCAAACGGCAAGGTAATTTCTGCGGCAACATAACACCGGTATGACCTCTCAAGGTCACATCCGATGTAAAAATGATTTTTTAGTTCATTTTCATGAATAACTTATGAACCATTCAACCAATGCTTTCCAAATTTTAATATGTTGTTACTGATGACATAATGTAGGTCAAGTTTGATATTTACTATTTTTACTTCTACCTTTCAGGACAAATGAATCAGATCCTTGATTGATTGGAAAATAGGCACAGAACGTTGCAGGTCATTCGAGCATGAAATTACCATACAATAATTTCATTCGTACTAGCTTCCCTCTCAAATTCAACAATCATGATTACCTTGAAAAAAACCTGTTTACTGTATATTTGACAGCTCATTTCTTGTTCGTATTTTTGCCATGGTGTTGTCAGTTTCTTTTTGACTTTAATATTGATTTTTAGTGACCCTTTTTTATCTTCCGTCTCTTTTTCCCCCATCTTTTTGTAGGATAGGATTTGTATAGGCACTGTCTGTTTTCTTATCTTTTTGATTTATCATAAAAAAAAATAATTAAATGAAGCCGATTTTTCCTGGGTATTTACTTTGTCAATTTATGTGCTATAACCGAACAGGTAAATAACCGCTTTATGTAGTTCAGGATACATGAAACAGAACATTTTTGTAACAGGATCAGAAAAGTATAATTTTAATTTAAACCACATCTACATCTACCAACTTTAAATTAATCTATATTTTAATGTTATTTTACACGGTTTGTCCCGGACATCAAACGATTTTAAGGATGTTCGTCATCTACCTTGTACTTAAATGTTATAATCATGTACCTTGAGTAGCATGTTCGAGATGACACTATTGGCATAATTCAATCTACATACAATTATCAAGTTTATTTATCCAGTCTTACATAGATGTAAAAAAGAATCACTGTAACATAAATAGGGACACACATAGTTTTATAACGAAAACAAAAGCTGCAGATATTGTGTTTTAATCATATTATTAAAATTTTTATGAAATTATCCTACTCGAAATTTCACTTCAACCTCCGCGTGGTGATGAGGGAAAATGGAAGAGTTGATAGTATAATAGACTGATAAGTAAAAATATATTGCTATTATTTATAATATTTGCTTGTATTATTGGCACCAATGAAATATCATATTTGATTAATTAAAAAATGGTTTGTGGCGCAAAAGAAGATTTTTTTTGGTGCAAATTAAATGTTAATAAGCGCAAACGCAGAGCACCACTTTATTCGGGACAAGCACAGTAATGTGTAGTGTCTTATAACGTAGATTTTATGGTTACCTAATCCTAGATTGTTCTACCTTGATCAGTCAGATTGCAATGTGTACAGATAAGAAAATATATTAAAAATCTATACGTAAAGTTCATATAATTTGATAATGTTTGGATTTTAATTCGATAAAGTAAGATCAGAAATACAATTACGTGATAATAAACAATACTGTATCTTAGAATGATAAAATTACTAAACGAAATCGAAAACGGTTTTAATCTGCATTTGAAAAAAAATCATCATCTCTTACAATGTTAT